CATGCTGGTGCCCAGAGTCTTATGCTAGAGCATAGTAGCTCTACATATACGCTTAAATGTTTTTCGATTCAGATTACTGTTGTTTTTTGTTTGACCAAAGTTATGATTTTCTGAATATTGATGCGATTTCATAAGAATCATGCCCTCGGACATGGTACATTGTGCTCTAGATATCAAATGAATATGATATGATGGGCATCTAGTGATTGTTATCTTTTGTCAATATAATTTTGCTGATTGAAATGCATCATATAAGACAAGCTTTTTGAAAATCAAACAGGCACCGCGGAGCGTTGAGAAAAGTGGGGGGTCTAAAAAAAGTGGGGAGGGGGGCTAAAACCGTATAAAAAAGCCTTTACTAGTAGTTTATTACTCAATAACGAAATTTTTGCAAAAAAGTGGGGGGAACTAAAGTTCCCTCAGCCCCCTGCTCCGTGGTGCCTGTCAATGCCGTTTGAAGATCGAATTTGGCACAACTGGTTGTGTTGGTTTGAAGATATCTGTTTTTCTTTCACTTTCAATGCCCTGTTTAGTTCCCTCTCCTTCTCTGTCATTATCTTCTCAAAAACGGCTAAGCGACTCTAAATCTAAATAAACTGATATTTTCTTGCATCAAAACAGTCAGCTTTCCCTAAAATCAAATGCAGGTACAGAGGTTTCTTTAAGAAGAAGCAATATACGGACTAGTAGAGCTTACAATGGAATATTTTTGTAACCAGCTTTGCAAATATTTATAAACAAGATTGAAATTTAGGGCATTTGCTTCCAGCTTTGTTTCAATAGCACTTCAGATTCAAAGACCTTGTTTCTATTGAATATGCTTCTTTGTTGATATTGATACCCCTTCAGTGACTAAAAATGCCTGCCAAAACTACTTGCATAGCCCAAGCAGTTTCAGTTGCCTTCTTTACCTAAAAATATGTCGAAAATACACCCAAGCCATCCTAGTTTCATCAATACAGGTTATACTCAATCAGTGCATTTCTATAGAAATAACTAAACATGTTTTCAAAGGGGAGAGGGAAACCAACTAGTAGGCATGACAAAAATGCTGCCGGTGTTCTATGACTATTTGTAGATGGCCACTTTTGTATCACAAGTGTATTTCCAATACACTTTATCTTAGAGTGATATAGAAGAGCCAAATTCTTCTTTAAAAGGGTCCTTCAGAAAAATCAAGCCATAACCTTCATAATATAAGGCTCTTGCGGTTATGTTTTCTAATTACAAGGAGAATAGATGGCTGTTTACAAGATCATTGATTGCAGTAACTGTATCGGTCAAACTTTTTTATAGAAAACAGTTTGAATCTTGATCTTTTATTTGAAATCTTTTCCTTACATTGAAAATACTTTTCAAAGAGCACCCACTTTAATGAAAATATTCAGGCTCAGAAAGACCAAATTTTTTGAATATAATAATAACATTTCTTAACATCAGCTCGCATTTTTGTGTCTCATTTTTCAACATTGCCTGCGATGTTCATAACAGAGGGACTCACATGACTGAAATACCTCATCTTTTCAAAGAGCGTGGTTTCTATCTGAGGGAGGGTGATGTTCCCTTGAACCAACATTTTAGGAATATTGAGGTTGGACAAAATCTTTAGTATAAAAAAGGGTGCATGGTAGTTGGCACTAGCTTTTACAAAGCGTTAAGATAACTTAGTCTCTAAATCTGAAATAGATAAAAGCAGCATAATCAAAATATATGTGTTGTTTGCCAATTGATCTGCAATCCCAAACTCAGCCTACACCGTTTTTTGATATACATACAAACATATAACTAATTTTCTCGCCTGTACACCCAAAACCGCTTGCGTGCTGAATTATCCCACGATGTAACTCACATACTGCACAGGGCCTGGTTTTTATGTACGGAGAATGAGTATTTTGAGTCATAGCGGCTTTCGTTGCTTCCAAGATCTAGTTGCTTGGCTCCAAATCTAGAAAGACTAATGCTACTCACGAATCACATTTGTTGTGAATTTAGATCATCCCATAAGGGTAAACATGAAATTTGCAGTGAATGAAGTTTGTAACGTTTTTTGAATGTAGATACTGGATGGACCCCCAATAGGAGCCAACCTCGCGCAATGAACTATTATTGAAATTAATTTGATCAATAAAGCGCTGCAGCCTTTTTTGGATAGGGTTTGCATTAAATCGTATGGCCATTGGACAGCAAAAAACAGTGTCTTTTGGAACTGTTAACCATACCAAAGCTGATCGGTTAACGAAATAGTCAGTTTGAAACGATACTCGTGGAAAGCGGAAAATGGTTCCAAACTAGTTTGGGTAGGAAGCGAGCAAGCATTGGCGTTTTCGACTTGGCCTAACTAGTAAATATGCTTTTTGTTCCAGTGATCTTTATCTTTGTTTCCACTGCAGTGGCGACCTTCAACTTGTTTAATGTTGCGAATCAAAATGGATGCAAGAAACATTTACATATGTAGATATACATTTCATAACTTAACATTTCCATCTATTTTCTGACCTTTTATGCTCTGAATATGTCAGACGAAAAGCTGAAGTATGCCTTTAAATATTTGCTCTCTTCAAAGCGATTCTTTTAGTCTTTCCACTCCATTTTGATTTTTTTGCAACCAAGGAGTAATCACAATGTCTGAGAATTGTCTACAATGATTCTAACAAAATGCAAAATCTACGTTTTCATATCCAGGTTTCAATTCATTGAGTCATTAAGGAGATGGCAGTAAACAGATATTTTCTTGAAAGACTAAAAGCCCGCTTCCTTTGAAATGAGCTCCAGACTTTAGTGTAGCATGTGCTTCCCCGGAACTGATTGTTAATTTATGTAATTTATTAATTTCATCGTCTCTATCTGAATCTTTGTACTCTGTTGTTTGTACAGTATGTCTGTTGTTCTGTCTTGATGTGTTGATTAACAAACTGTGATGTTGTATAGAATGATTAGATATTAATTGTAAAGTTCAGTTGTTGGATTGAATATGACATGAATATATAAGCTTGTATTTGTCTTCCTCGCTACATTTGTTACATCTGTATTAATAAACATACAATTTCATTATTGATGTCCTACAGTTCGGTTTTACGACTTTTGGAAAGAAATGGCGATGTTAACATCAGCTCTTCCAAGTTGAAACGTCTACTATATTAACGGCTAGGCATTTCCTTTAAACGGAACCCTTCGGAACTGTTCTAAGTTCTGAACGTAACTGCTGGCCGTACCAAAAAGAAGTGACCTAGGAAAAGTTGCATTTGGACAAGTTGCAAAATTTTCTCGTGTGTTTAAACTGGTAGAAAGGTTCCAAATAAACATGTGTTTAAACTGGTAGAGAGGTTCCAAATGAACTAACATGATGACCTTACAAAGTTGCATTTTGTACAGTATTGTACTGTATTTCTACTGTATTTGTACTGTATTCTATTGTATTGTGCTGTATTGTGCTGTGTTGTTCTGTATTGTGTATTTATAGTGTATTTAGAGCGTTACGTTTTGGAATATTTGTAATGTTGGGTGTGGAGGCAACTCGATAACGTTTTGTTTTTTGCCTCCATCTCAACAATGATCAATTCTTTTTGCACTTGTTTTTATTGTGATAAAAAAATTACCACGGATAGGAAACAATTCTTTTTGAAAACTCGTTATAAAGCTATTACATGATTCATTTTAGAGGTTATAATCTCATTATGATATACGGCTTTGTATGCCCTTTTGAGAAGTTATTTCAGAATTCCAAATTGAACCTGTCTCTTTTAAATAGGTACTGCAACTTTTGAGCATTGCGTTTCAAAGACCCTAGCTTAAGCAGCATTAAACAAATACTCATATTCAACAAAAGAAGGCACGTCACACAGCGCTTATCTACAGCCTGGAAACAATACGAAGGAAATTTCTACCTCGGCTATCAAATATTTTTGCATAAGAGACATCAGTAAAGAGGCCACTCGAACAAGGTTCCAAACCTATACAACAAAAACACGAGGCATAAATGGTGTCTTGTTTGATGATGCCTTTTTCGGACAAAGATGAAACATGTTCTAAGTCAATCGGATTGTTTGATCACATTAGCAAATTTCATTATTCACATTTTTATGAAACACAGCCCAAGTAAGCAGAATAAATCAGGACGAGAATGGGACAAAATAATTCATCACTTTTCTCCCATTTACGACCGCATTCCAGGGCGCAAAAAGTTTTAGTTATGCCCTTTGTCGTTCCATAATTTTATTAAAGCCCAATTCACACGACACTTGTTCGCCCCAGTTTAACGCAAAACCGGGCCACACAGGGTTAAACTCTGTGTAATTTCCACGGCAAAATTGCTTTTCATCGTGTGAAGTGGGTCTGGGTTGAACCAAGGCTAGAATTCAGTTTTCCATATTTAAAATTATCTAAGCGCATGCGTGTCATATCTTCGGCTGTTATGTTGCTGTGTGGGGAGGTTTAACGAAATGGCGGCCTATCGAACAATTGCTGTTTTCGTGAGACTTTTCCAGTTGCTGTTTTCATGTTTAGACGCTATTTCGAGAATTAATCGTGACAAAAAGTGGAGGGCAGGAGTTTCTTGAAGAAAGGACAGGTTTTTCATTCGCTTGTAGAAAGATAATTGATATCCTGAAAATTTTGCATCTATCTTTTGAGCTGTTTTGATCTTTATTAATTTTTAAACTTATCAGAATGCGGCCTTTTTCGAAACCTTTGTCTGTCACTTTTTAAAACCATCTTTCCAAAGACGAGCCTTTTGCACATGTATCCGTCAAGATCTTGTTGCATTCAAGCTTCACCCCAATTGTGTATCAAAGAAAGCACTTCCTCGTCATCCCAGAGAGAAAAGGAATTTCTCAACCCGGTTTAAACTCGAGATGGCTCGCTTTACATGACAAAATTTAATCCGGTTTTGCATTAACCCGGGATAAAAAGTGCGATTTTCCTGTTAGCTCTAACTTTATGTGACGGCGGTTTTCCCCAGAGCTCTGAACATCTTGACTGATCTAATGCTATATTCTCCCCAGGATACTATTGTCTCTAACGCATTTTCATTGGCTTGCTGAAAATGCAAACAGACAATCTGATTGGCAGCAAACAGTTTTCATCTTTGCTCGATTAAGCCAAGTCTGGAAGGGAATCACATTCTTTCACACTATAACAAAACTAATTGTCTATGCAAAGGCTAAAAGCAAGTATTAGCTTACTTTTGCACCTATTAATTTTTTTCTACAAGTCCTACAAACGTGCCTTGGCATCATCGTAATTCTTTGCAAATTAATCATAGGAAAGTTTGCAGTTATGTTTGTTATAACCGTGAAATGTGCGATGTTTTCCTTAATCTTCAGCAAGTTTAATTATTAAAAAAACTATCAATTTTTTATGACTCATGTTGAACTTTGTATGCAAGTTTATTGTTGCTGATGCTACAGACCTCATACAAAATCGCAAAAACGCCAACGATTGCGTTTGAATTTTTTCTTTGATTTACAAATCTTATCTCCCTCACAAGCCGAACTACATCCCTTTGAAATCAACTATAAACATACAAGCTGAGTGGCAGCTCGAATATTTATGCAGCTTTCGACAAGAGCAGCTGGTTTATGGCTTAACATGGTAGTTATTTGGCAGCCAATGGACCAAGGCAAACCAATTCAGTAGACACGGTCTCTAATTTGCAAGCCTGGACAAAGGAGAACGGCGATTAAAGCTGGCAGCAAATAAAAGTTGCAGAGTGCGGCCCGAACATTTTCATAATGAATTGGGTGACAGTTTTAGCATTCACTTCGCTTACCTTTCTGCTAGAGAAATATGTCGAAAGTCGGAGTGGATACGTCAGTGAGGTCTATGAAAAGACAAAATTTTTATGCGACGTAGCCAAACGCAAATCGTTTAAGGCTCGAAGTGAGATTCAATGTATCCACAAATGTGCCAAAGAGACCATGTGTGAACTCATTAATTACAAGCCACACAAGGAGGAAGATGGAAACGGAAACAACTGCGAAATCTTCAATCTTCCTCACAATCATCTTTCTTGTACAATGTCAAGAAATGAGGCAAACTGGAAAGCGCTAGTGTTTTGGGTAAGATAATTTTCAGCCTTTACATTGACGATGTCTGCCATCATAACCTAATTTTCTGAATATTCCCATCGGTTCTCTTTCGCACTGCGTGTATGAGTAAGTTTACTTTCATACTAAATTTACTTTTCATTTACATATCATATTCTAAATGTTGTTTGCTTTCTGTACAATGAGCTTTTCCATCCTTGATACAGATATGCATGAAAATGCGAACATTTATTGATACCAACTTTCTTGCAAGATCGTTTCTAAACGGTCTAAAGGTTATTGAAAATTTGCTTCACAAGTTAATACCGAAGCATGCGTTATCTGTCTGACAAAACAGCGTCCGATGCATAGTAGGTCAGAGCAATTGATATGATATGAATTCGAGACTTGAATTCGAGGGATATAAAGAGTTACTTTCACCAAGTAAAGAAACATATCAATCAATGGATTGTTTGCTGATTATCACATTAAGCTCTTTCTTAAATGTATCGAGCACTGTATGACAGAGGACAGACCGGCTTTATAGGAAACTGTGTTTTTCTTTATGAATTTACAAATATGTAGATAAATATATATTGATTGAATAGGGGACCTGTTCGCTTTTACAACGTGGTTTATGCTCCCGCATTCATAAATTTCTAGAATCATTGATGATTGATTGATGTTATCAATATATGATGATGGTCCCTGCAGGTAGCATGATTAATTGCCTGTTTTTGTACAAATGTTTTGAGAAGTTTATAGAAGGCTTGGCTAATTAATATATCTTTTGATAATCTTCCAATCCCCCTCCATTTATGCTGTCTGTAAGGTTTTGGTACTCTCCGGATTATACCATAAGAAATGCCTTAGTGATAATTCAATTTACGAAAAATTTTACTTTGCTTCATCACTCAAATGAAATACTCTTGGTATTTGAGCATAACATAACGCCCAATAAGCACGAAAGAAGAACTAGCCTTGGTCGTTAGATTTGCAGAAAAATGCATCTAGAAAAATAAACACAGCAATAAAGAGAGTCTTACCTTACTGCTTACATACTTTCGCTTGATTATAATAGCAAATAACACCACGTGCTTTGCGATATTAAGCTGAGACTTGTTGAAATGAAAATCAAACAAACTGGAATTGGAAACTGAATCACAAAGAGGAAGACTGAGTTTGGAATGAACGAAAGCATATCAGAGCCGAAAACAGGATCGTCTTCATGTTTAATACAAATATGATTTAAAATGCAAAAATGACAATTTGATGGCCATTTCTTTTGTTTCCTTGTTCTTACTGACCAATAGATAATTCGCATCATCATCATCATAAAGAAAATTAAATTATCTAAATACATGAATCGTTGAAGAGCCACTCTTACATCAACTACTGACATTATTTGAGTGGTTCTTCTTACAAACATAATAAGCAACAATTTACAGCAGATTAAACAGTAGTAGCAACAATAGATATATTAAAAATACGAGAAGTGATAGTGTACAATCAAAAGCAATGAGTGAAAATCTATGCCTAGCAATGTAGTTTCGATTCATTTTTACAGGAGATTTTCCAATTTTTTGCGTTGTCTGAATATTTATCTTACAAAGGCTATTTAACAAGCTGTTTCTACTGTTATTTGTGTTGCTATGGAAATGCAATTACAAATTAAACAAGATGTGATTAGGATTAATTTTTTCTCCTGATAAATATTCTTTCCATAGAATAAAATTTCACTAAAATTCATTTCTCTCATTTAGAAATTCAAGGTGCGGCAAAATAAATTGTATCTTCTGAAAGTATAATCTATATAAACAATTCTCAGGTCAAGGAAGCATTCACCCGAATGAAATATTTAAACAAAAGACAATAAATTAGTGTACAAGTATAAAGAAGACCGTTCTGTTAATACGAGGGAAAGGAATTGCGAAGGAGAAGGGAAGCGTCTCTCCACTTTACTCTGGCACCCAGGGTACACTTGTGTAGAAGTTGATAATGTTTCATTGCTATAAGTCCATGTCATACGTCAAATTTAGGCTATATCTTATATATATTTAGTCTAACCATTGCAGGTGAAATTTTTTCATTTCATTTGTTTTGCCTTGCTAATATTTTTGAAAAACCAAAGTCACTACTGCTAACTGAGAATGCTACGAAATTAGTTGAAGAAATTATGCCACATTAGCACTTACAATTACAAGAATAATTGTCCTTTTTTATCATTAAGGGTGGCACCAATTTATGGCAATGATTTCCTATTTGGATACTGGTTACAAAATTTCTGTCTGTTGTAAATAATTCATAGTATTTTCTAGCTTTAAATCATTTATGCAGTGTAGGTAAACTATAACAGCTAGCTATTTTAGTCTCAAATTCTGTTTGCTTCATCTGAGCTACATGACAAAGAACACTGAAATAAGGAACAATGAAAAATGCACAAAGCAGCTCAGTAAGTTATTAGAGGCGAAATTGGCATCAAAATGTTCTGCTTGATTATAATTGGCTAACGAGAAGAAAACATGGAACAGAAATTACTACAAAATTTTGATTTGCTGTATCAGATTCTAGCTGACTCAAATCACTGTATAATTATGTATAATTATTTGTAATAAAAAGCTTTCTTTTAGGATGCAAAAAATTGCCTTTTCACACAGCGGCATTTTTGTTTTCCCTGCAAATGTCAAGGAAACTGCACCACTCAAGGCCTTTCCACCTGCTCGTGCGATTGTAAGTTATGCTCTTTTCCCTTCAATATTCGTAAATCAGCAAAACATGAAACTTAATTTGTAATGTACAAATTAATATTAATGGGTTCTTGCAAACCTAAATTTATTTATAGAAAACGTATATCACAAGATTATTACGATTGTCAAAGTTTTTGACATTAGTCTTTCGTTTTAGTGGTCCAATTGCCAAATTTGTTGGTTACATTTGAAAGCAGGCAGGGAACGGTGATGTTTGAAAGAGGAGTCGATAAAAATAGTCACAGCTCTGTATTGCTGGTTGGCAGTGCTAGTATTGTGCCAAGTATCAGGAGAGGGGGAAACATTCTTGATTTGCCAAACAAATATTCAAGAGCTGTCATTGGAGACTTTCAAGGTATCCGCTTGAAGTACGTATAAGTTTAACAGAAACTCTTTTTTGGCGGGGAAATTATTAGCTGGCCATATTTCCCCCCTTTTCCCCTTAATGGTACTGCAACAAAGAGATATTTATTTTTCTTTCCTTAGCGTTACTTATTCATTTACCAACGCCCCTGGTTTCACTGGCCCTAGAGCGCTAAAAAACACCTGAATGTCTTAAACAAAGTAAAAAGGGGGAAAAGCCACATGAATGTTATTATGCATAGCTTGCTGGTCAATGCTTATAAAAGACACGTGCACAATGATACATGAGAGAATCTGCAAATTAAATGACTGGAACACGTATGAAATGCTTATTTTCGTTTGTTGAGCATTGTTGCATTCTTTCTGGATGTGAGCCTATCTGTGTCAAAACTGTGTGTTTTTTGTAGCAATCCGAGGAATACAGACTTCACTGTCTCACTTTGGCTCAAAGTAAATGATGTAGTAAACTCTGATTGTACTGTTATCGCTTCTGGAAGAAGCAATGTTGACACTGGCCTAAATATCATTCTAAAAGACATGGCTAAAGTCATTTCCGCTGAGATTATTGCTTACGATCGATACGTTAGTTTGAGTCACGTGGTTGGTACAAGCCTCGAGGTATGGACCCATCTGGCGCTTCTTCATATAGATAGCACTTCAGGTAGATATATTCAGTCATTTTCGCAGTTTTTTATTCAAAACCCAAGAATTTTGTGTTTTAGTTTAAATAATGTTTATGGAAATAAGAAATCTTCAGTTTAATGTGGTACAGACAATTTTGCGGAAACATATTTAGTCCTGCAAAGTTTAGGTCTAATTGCAGCAAATAAAATCATTTGGCCTCATCCAGACTTAGTTTGGAGTCAACAACGGAGCCTATCACTTACACTTGCTGTTCTGCTATAAAAGATTTCGAAAAATTAGTCGAAGTAGTAAAGAATATTTGAAAGATAAGGAATTAATAACTATTCGAAATATCTAAGGTGGAATTGTAAGAGCCTGAAAAAGTTTGTCTGCAAAGAGAAAAATTCTTTTAAAAAAGAGCCTACAGTCAAATTCAATTTTAAAACTTTGTATTAATAAAAGAGAGGGAGATTATACATGGATGCATTTATAAAGAATGGATTGGCAGCGAAAATTTTTGAACTCGTGGGTCTATCCCTATACCTTTTTAGAATGTATTTAGCATTTAACAGTTACCTTTTTCAGGTACTGCTGCAAAACTGTTCATCAACGGAATTCTAGTAGAGTCAACAAACAGTCTTAATTCAAACAATGCCAAGACGGGCCAATTTGGAACATTAGAAATGGGAACGCATAGTGGAAATCTGTTCCCTGTTACTGGAGATGGCTGTGGGATCCAATTGGATGACCTAGCAGTATGGTACTCCGTGTTATCTGATGAGCAGCTTCTGCAGTTAGTGAGCCGTGGTGGTAAATGAATTATTGCATCTATTTCATTTGTAATCACCAGTCCCCTTCCTAAACCTCACGCTTACTACGGAGCTGTCCATAATATTTTATTTTGACATCTACATATATAATATATAATTGCAGTTGCGCAGTCCCGACATGAAGGTTTCATGTTGTTTCTGCTTCTGCAGCTCTGCACTTTACTTCTGATAATCTTCTCCATTCTTTGCGGTCCTTTGCTGTGGATTGTATCTTTTCAAAATCGCCATTGTTCTTTATGTTCGGTAGTGGAAATGACCTTTCCATTGCTCTTGCTCTGGTGATATCTTTATTTAAGGTTGTCACGAGAGTTTCTCTAGGTCTGCCTCTGAATCCCCTCTCCGATCCCTCAAAGTAAAATCTCATTTTCTTCACAGCCGGTGTATCGTCGGACAATCGCAGTGGCGGATCCAGCCAAAAATCTGACTACCGCCGAAATGAGATAGAGGGTTGACCACACCCTTTAGACCACACCCATTTCTTGGTCACACCCGCTTTTTTAAAATGATTATTGCTTTCTATAATTTCTTATGTAGCCCATTTTCAAGAGACAAGCGGTGCTTTACTGAAATTTCATGTATCCTTACAACAAGCTTGAGAAGAAATAAATAATCTTACTCAATATTCTGAGGATGGATATTCTTAAAAAATTTTACGGCATTTAGACGAGGAACACCATAGAATTAGAAAAAAGATACATTTGGCAGAATTTTGAAGTGTCGCCTAAAACTCGCATTTAGTCTGACAATTACTTATGAAAATTACAAGTTTAAAAAGCTAGATAAAATTTGCAATTATTGAGAGCAACTTTTGTTAAACAAAGAAACATACTTTTGGCGAATATTGTGGGCCTGACTTTTAATCCTGATGCCTTCTTAAATTTTAGAATATTTGAGTCTTATTAGAATATAGTGAGAATATTAGAATATTTTAAAATATATTCCTACGAATAGTTGTGTATTGTACAAAATAATGGGTCACATCGGCTTTGAAGTTACAGTTTGCCCACTTGCAGAATATGTAGGCATCCCCCATCTTTCTGTAACGTTTGAGCCGTGTTGAGCGGCAGTACTACTCAACCCCCCATCTGAGCGGTAGTCAACTCGGTTGTTCATTGGTTGTCAACAAAATTTGTATGCATCCCCCCAGGTTGGCAGTGATTTCTGACGATTTGATTGGTTTAGGCAGGCTGACTACCGCTCAGTGCAGCTCGAATCCGCTCTAAACCGACTCAACCCCCCTAGCTAGCAAGCCATGATTTTATCATCCCCCCATGCTAGCCTTCTATTTGCAAACATGTGGCTCGGCAATTGGCACGCAATTTCCATAGCGATAAGGGATTAAAAAATATTTCTGTCTCTGTGGAAATTTCAGGCATGTTGCTAGGAAGAAAGGCTTGGTTTGCAGCGCGATCAAATATTTTCAATAATTAAATATGGTTTAATTAAAGTAGTAGGATAAACATGAGAATGATCCTTGTTTCTATAATTTTTGAATAATCTGACTACCGCTCGAGCGGTAATGGCGGTAGTCTGGATCCGCGACTGAATCGTAATATGTGACCAAACAGCCGCCATCTACCCTTGAGGATGTCAATTGAAATTGGTCCTTCTTCGCATCTTTTGTACAAGTTCTGATTGGAGATCTTGTTAGGATACTTTTTTCCATTTAGCTGTCTCAGTTGCTATCTGTGAAAAGCATCTAGACCTTTCGTATCTTTTTGTGTCAGTCCCCAAGTAGAGCTGTTTTACATCAAAACTGGTTTTACAAGTTTTCTGTAAAGCTTGAGGCGAAGTTTTCGCTGACGTGGTCTTTTCTGATCCAGATGTGATTTAATCTATTCATGGATGCTATCGACAACTGTTTTCTTCTTTGTATATCTTCCGTATCACCTAACAGAGAGCCAAGCTTTTTAACTGTCCTCCATCGCTCTGTGTTTCTGTCTCCTCGAAAAATTTCTGTTTGCTCTGTTTTGCTGTTGTTTACTTTCAAATTATCTCTAAGCAGAATTTCTCCAATCTTTTCTCTGACATCTACATGTTCTTCTATAAATCATTTCTAGTTATTATTTTTGTTGTGTTTAACATCCTAGTTGTAAAGTTTTATACATTTAGCTAATCGATATGTCATATCTACAACCTCAAACATCCGCAAATGTCATGATACCACTCTTTGACAATCTGTTTCGATTTCCATATCCCTATAGTTTGTTTTCGTATGAAATACTAGCAGAAAGGTTTGTCAAAAAGAAGCAAACTTCATGTTTACAATATTTTGCTGATAAAAAATTATTTGGTGATTTTAAATTTTCTGCCAATAGATGAATGCTGAATCCAACAACTTGATGACAAGAGATTTGCATAAAAGTATCGTGAAAGAAGAGATTCAAGAAATCTGTGTTCCAGCCCTGAACTGGATTTTGTTTGTTTTTAAAAAATCGACTTGAGATTTAGTTGCATGAAAACAAACGCTAACGATATTCAGACAACCTTAAGGAATCGCACAAGTGCATCCATTTGAAGGATTGATTTGTTTTGCATTCACCTAAGATACCACCTAGAATATATCAACATATTCCGAAGAAAGGCTAATTTGCACATTTGCAACAGTATTTGCACATTGCCCACGAGAACGGGTATGCTTGGACAAGAGTAGCTCCAATTGAACAAGGGGAGCTATTTATATTCGAACAAATGCCTCCTCGACATAAAACTGCCTAGTCTTGATGTAGGGTGCTTTTTACCCCTCCGTGCATACTGGGAACTTGTAAACCCATCGAGGCAATTACTAGTAAGGTATTCTATACACACTATGTGTCAAAGCGTTTTAAAAATTGATCCAAACCTAGATTATAAGTGTATGAAACTTATACAACCATTCTTAGTAGCTTTTCAATTAACAAACTTCCCTTGAATTCGGTGCAACAATTAAAACCAATGTTAAAATTTAGAAATCCGGTACTAAAATTTAGAAATCCGGTGCTAACATTCAGATTCTGTGAAAGAAGGTCTAGTATGGCTTTTTTTCTGGTACTGCCTTAGAGAATTCTGTGACATTACCCAATATGGTACTCATAGCCCCTTGGATTGCGCCATTAAGAACCACTGTGGGGAGCATATTGTCGATTCTTAGACCCTATTTAGAGTAGATCGGATCCGAATCGGATCAAAAAGAGCATGGAAAGACCTTGCGTTTACACCGGGAATGGTGCGTCCGTATACTTTTTGATCCGATCTTTTCCAGGTCCCTTGTTAACAGAGACTTCGTCAGAATTATTTCGTAATACCTTCCTCAGCCTATAGTAAAAGAGGTTCTTTTTATAAGTTTATACATACTGTAGAATCTCTTGACATCTTTTGGAAGCCTATTCAAATACTCAAATATTCAAATGCTAAAAACTTCAGTTATCGCTGATATGAAGGAAAGTTTTGCTCAGTTTGAAGCAGAATTTGAAAAAGCGCATATTGTTCTCATCCAAGTTATAAAAACTGTAGCATCTATGAAAAAGAATAGATGTTTTCGAAAATAATAACCTTATCCAAGCGAAAGTTTAAACGTTGAGTTGAATTGATTCCGATGGATTTAAGCAGTTCTGCAGAGCGGTAAAGAAGGAATGAGACAGGATTTTCAAAGTTATCTTTTGTCAAATTAAAAAAAGAGTAAAATGTAAAAACCGTCATAAAAATGTTATAATAAAATCTGTAAAACTGATTAAGCATGTGTTACAATAGATCCAATTTGTACCTAATCTCTTTCTTTCTTGACTAACATTTCTTAGAAACGTTCACACAAGTAATCTTGTTTTCTTCGCTTTTCTTATGCTTGCATATCAGGATTCAAATCGATAAAGTTCGTGTTTTGAAAGATTTCAGCTCCGCTTCTGAAAAGATAAATTGAAAGAGATTCCAGATTGATATTTCTCTGTTTTAAAAACCTTATTACTTTATCTCACTGCACTTCGATGGCAATTGAAATTAATTATATGCGGTCTCATATATCAAGTCTACAAATGGCAATACAAAAATCAGTGGTCAGAAATCTCTCTCGAAATTTTAAAGAAAAGTACGACCCATTGTGAAGCTTCGCAAGCCCTAGTGCAGAGCCTGGTCATGGCAAAAAAATCCAGGCTTGCATTTCACGTATAGGTTCACGACTCTAGGGGAATTTCCTATTTCTTATATTCCATTTAGTTGGTATGGACATGTCGACTTTGATAAAGAAGGTCTTATAAAGATGCAGTAGCGCTGCAAGTGTTACCCACCTCTCCTATAACTTAAATGGTAGCGGGTTGTATAACTTTTAGAGAGAAGTTATTATTAAAGCAAACAAAGGAAAGTACATCATCAAAAAGAAGGAGACCAGAAAATACGGGTGCAACGTTTTTGGAAATATTACTAAGATACAATTCTAAGCTTGAAGAAGTTCTAGCAGACAAATAACATAGTCCTGTAGAATACTTTTCGATAACCAACAAAGAAGAATACTTTTTTGATTTAACAATATACCGTGAGACATCATTATCGGTTTCATAGTTCACATTAAAACCCAAAGCCTATGCTCACAATTGCGCATAGCTTATTCAAAGAGAAATTAGCTGCGGGGGTAAACCATTTTTATATAAAGGGGATGACAATAGCCTATTGCTTAAAACAATCAAAAGTTACTGGAGCAGGAGGGGCAATTGCCCCCTAGTTAGTATGTTAATAGAGGCCCTTGAATTTCAAAACCCCTTCACACATCCTAAGCACTTTCTACCCGAAGATACCTTGCCAGGAACTCTCGTCATTAAATCTATTTCAAATGCTTGTATTTCAAAGTTCAGTTAAGTTTAAATCATAAGGCTGGATTAAATAGAACCAATTGCAAAGGGAAAATGTCTCTTTGTATAAGAAAATATTGAAATTATGGGAAAATGAATTCTCAGATTTTAGAAAGAGAAATTTGCTGTTTATCTGATTTATGCAAATCTACTTACGTTTCATTTCTATGATTTCCGACTTAGCAATCTGTACTTTTGCCAATGATTTTTCAAGAGTAAAACGATAGATGCATCTGAATACAAATCCAAAAATGAATAGAGCACAAGCAGCAACACCTAGAGCAGTAATCAATGGGGATGTAACGGTCGAGGATGCAAAAATATTGCCAGAACGAGCAGTTTCTTGAACTCGTGTGCTTACCTAAAATTAACAGACAAACCAAATAAAGTTTTATATTTATGAATAATCAACATGAATCAGAAGTTTAGGACAATATCATGTATTAAAAAGAAGGTTTTAGTGTGGAAACCTAAATGGCTCCATCTTGAGATAAAATTATCTAAAGCAGACATCCAAGCAATAAGCGTTATAAATATGCTAACCTACCTTTTCAGGCAGGGTTTCAACTGCATCACTCAAAAAACGACTTTCTGCATCTGCATTAGCCTTGAAAAAGCTGCCCAAAAATACAGACCATTTCTCATAGGAATTTCCTGAAAACATTAGGCCAATTTCAGTGTCAGATTTTGGGATATCTGTTCTCATAGCCAATTTCAGTCCTGAATTCTGGAACTTCCTCCATGTAAAATTGAAAACAAATCTGTCCAAGACGATTCCTATGGATTATTAGAAATTCTTTAAAGCTTGTGCGCATGAAACAACATACTGTGTTATCAAGTAAGGATATGCATATAGCTTTTTGCCTTGCAGCACAGAAGTAAAGGAACGATTAAAGCTAGCAGTAAAAACTTTAAACCTTAATCTAATTGATTTCCCTTTATTACAGAGCAAAGCAAACAAACCGTTGATATGTAAAAGATGGTAATGCTTTTTTTGGACCTAATAGTATGTTAAGATAGCATCTATCAAAATCCTATTTTATAGTTTACAAAGTGTATGAAAAAACATTGTATATTTTTTATTATCATCTATTTGAATTATTGCATATAATTAATATATTCATCTTTATCTTTGATAACTCATCTTTAAATCTTTTGTTTCCGAAAATAGAATGTGACACATGCATAAACAACTTTGATATCGAAAATAATTGGCACCTTGGATTATCGGGCCTAAATGGATTTTATTGTACAGGGTCTGGATTAGGTTTTTTTCTTAATTTCATATCACTGTCTTTTAAACAAAAAAAAGTGGTCTTCCCTATACGGGCTTCCCTGACATCATACCAAATCATCAGAAAAGAGTCATCCTATTTTTCAGCTCAGCAAATTTGCGATCTCTGAGCATTTATCACAAGACTTTTGTCTTCGTAGTTGAAAATTGAAAATAAACGCTTCATAGAATATCTAATGTGCATGAACAAATTTCTTAACGATGGATTTTCACAGATATACGTCTGAACTAAAGACACTTGATCTCTAGTCTACTGATAGAGACTCAGCCTTTGTCGTACCAAAATGTAATACAAAATTTAATCATAAAAAGCTTACCATTCAATCGCCGCGTCTCTAAGTCATGAATCATTTGTGTATCGTTCATGTAAGCTGAAGAAAAAGCAGGTTTTACTGTCTATTCAAAATATGAAATATTTCGAAATTTCCCAAAGTTTTCATATTTCCAATTAATTGTACTTGGTCGGAATTAGGCTTTAGTTTGCTGCGCTCAAACGACTCAATTATTGGCATCCTAAGGGATTTCACCGTAGCCTGTTGTGTTCTCTACTTCATACACCAACTTCAGAGCCTTCAACCATTCATATTCATTGATAGCATAAAGCAGTATTTTAACAAAGCTAAGTTTACAATTGAACAGTAATTTCATGGAAATAGCTTGTCATTCTTGGCCTACTGAAACTATGCGGAGTCTGAATCTACATACAAATGCATAAATATACATTTTGTCAGATAATTTTCATTTTCTTTTCTCCAAGTGATTTTTATCCACAAAAAAAATTTTATGTTTAAAACTGCCTTTGATACAGGTAATATATTTGTGTCACTCACATATTGGGATTCCTCCTTCTTTATGCACAACATTTTCTTCATATCCCAGTGAATTTTTGAGTGGTATTCCCACCTAAAATGCGCATATATCATCAGATATCAGATAGGAAGTAGAACAGTTCTCAAGAAACATGCTTGTGGTATATCCTGGCTATATTGCTCATGTGTTATGGTGGCTCATCATTTATGTTTAGAAGGCTATTAGTAGCTCTTGGCGGAGTTCAAAGATGTCAAGTTTTAGCATAAGATGGATGACTATAGCCCCACCCATCCCTTCCCCCCGCCCCTCTTGCTCCACGTTGCCTGTAGTCAGAAATTGTTATATTTATAAGTTTTATATAAACGATTGCTTCCAAACTCCGAGTCTACTAAGAGGTTCAGACAGCCTTCAAAAAAATTTATTTTAAAATGAATTGACGGTACCTTTAGGCCAGTCAAGTCTTGTTTTTCCTGAATCATGGCCGATGTCAATGATGAAGAGAGCGATGCTGTAAACATTCCGGATATTGCAATTCCCAGAGTTATCCAGAATACGGAAAAAAGTCTTGCAAGGTAAGACTTTGGTGTTTTATCTCCGTACCTAATGTAAGGAAGTTGCTCGTACTTAAGATATTTTGTTTGTTTATGGCCAAAAGCAATGTTAGTAGATTATAATAATTTTTGGAACATATTAGGTACAGAAATATTATTACTTTTAAGTTACGTATTACTTAGAAGTTTAATACTAGAGGGCAAAAAGCCACAAACCACGTAAATTGAGTGGAAAAGCCGCAATTCGCAGCTATACACCATTCAAAATTGCAAAATTGCAACCTGCCAAAAAATCAGTAACCCGCAAACCAATATAATATTCTCTCTAATTTTTATTCATATGAAACAATATTCAAGATTTTAAATCATGATTCACGAAATTGTAATTCACGATATTCTTACCCTACTGTTGTCATGGATACATATGCCCACCATCCTCCTTCCAGTATACCTGTCACAAAACCGCGGGGAAATTCTTCTGTGTTTTTTCTCATCTCCTACAAATCCAAGATTTTATCGAGTATTCTTATTCCAACAGATGTTATTCAAGACATGCTTAAAACTATCATTTCAACAGAAAACGGCTTTAATAAATTTACCAGAGAACATGACATTGCTACGGTTGACAAAAAGCCCAAAGACAGTCTCAGCTCTGAAATGTCCTCCATGACCACTGCCTTAATATCATCGACTCGGGAGTTTGTTTGTAATAATTAAAAGTACGAAGAAAGGCAACAGTAAATAGATAGATAACTTTTACAGAAAAAAGAAAAAATTTGTTTGGGAAAATGAAGTAACCTCTACAGAAAAAGCATCTGCATAAAATGTCTTACCAGTAGCCAGATGACAATGCCTCCCTGAAAAGTCAATAGCATCAGAACGACAAACAAAGGCCATGTACTTAAGATCGAATTCAAAAGCGCAGACATTGCAATTTTTGTCTGGTCATCAAGTTGAATGTAAACAACTCCAGGGTTGTTCATCAGCTTCATAAAGGGCTTTCCAAATATTTCATTTTCGTTCTTTACTGCAAGAACTGGCATAAGTATTGAATAAAAGCTTTCGTTGTTGAAGAAATTCGAAAAATCGCTCCAAAAGTCCACTCCGTGCAAATATGTCACATGTGTGCAATTGTTGCAACAAGATTGCAGAGCCAGAGAAAGAATAGCTAAATTAGGATGGAAAGATGAAATTAGAATTCTGTTCCCAAAATTTAAAGACTCACCAGAGAAAAACTACATGGCTTATCTATTTAAACGATACAGTTTAATTTGCCTTTTTGCTTTCTTTTAGTTGTCCTTTACGTATACTTCTATAACATAATTTTCTTCACAGTTTCTCTAACACCATCTCATTTTCTCGTCAAATACTTGAAGTTTTCTTGCCTTACAAATAGCAGGGTTTCTAGGCCATATAGGCCAAAGTCTTGCGATGTTGATACTATTATGCAGCACTGTTTACTTATAGATAATAAGTTAACTTGTAGTAATATTCTTCAGTAGTAAAAGAAATAAAAAGGAAAGTTTTCCACACCCTGCATTGCTGCTTATTCTTTTAACTTTTCAAGCCAAAATTGTTTGCATTTCATTGTTACCTGGAAGGATCCCACCAATGTTGCCATTTTCAAGTCTATGTATATAAGGCGGGGTCTCGTAGTATATAACTTTCAGCCTTTCGTTACAAATTGGTGGCTGTTGAAATACACTGTATTCACAGGTTTCTTCGATGTTAACAAATCTTTTCAGCTGAAGTTTCAGGTCATATCTGTAAAAGAATTTTAGAATTAATGATTTGTAAAACCTGAATTTTGCATGATGATTTGTGATTACGTGTTTCAAACAGAAAATAGCAGATACAAATTTCGGTAGATTTGGTTTGAAATTGATGTTGAACCAGGATTAATGATATTCATAATACCTTATTGTGCATTTTTCCATCTTTGTGGCATTGCTTGAATCTAATAAAAACGCCAAGAGCAAAATCAACTTAGAGGCCATCATTGATTTAGGTGATGATCCGTCTCCATGAAATTGTCATAAGTAGTATTGAATTGGATATCTAAGACCATAGGATATCCTTGATATATTCAAATCAACAATTCGCTTATTTACTTCGATTACTGGTGTTTGTATTATATAACATCCCTCAAATGGCCAAAACAATGAAAGAGAATAATTTATTATATTAGCCGCTTACCTGCGAATCCTTAACTGGCTCCAGTAAAACATTGCTCACTATCGCTGATGTATGTAAATTTGATAATAGTTTATGTATGTAGAAGAAGTGTTAGCTGTAAATATTAGTTAATTCTTTGTTCAAAGCCTGTACATCCTAAAAAGCATTTGTTCATAGCATTGAATGGATAATGTGGAAGTCACGTCAGAAAGAACTGGCAAAGAAGCTCGATACTTTACTCGCAGTTTTCCCAAGAGATGACTCTGATATTCAAGAAAAAGCAAAATAATTAATAATTAAAACAGGCAGAGATACTATAGGTAAAATAAAGGTTTTGAATTCCTAAGGATTATTATTATATAAATCACGAAGACAAATAAAAGAGGACTGGGTACGAGTGGCACCTCATGAAATGGGTCCCGTCTGTGTCATGCTCAGCATATTCGATCAAGGCCACTGCACAAAAGGTTATAGCAGGGATAGCCCTAACCCTAACGAAAGGGCGGGAAAAAAATCAAACATTTTGAGACACCACTAAAGCTTTTCGTATGATAGTCTTCAATGTATTAAACGTGAGAACATGGATCAAAAATATACACCCGGTTATGGATACTTAGATAAAGTGACTGATCAGAACAACGTCTTGACATCATGTCTAACCGGGACTGTTGGAAATTATTAATCAAAGGATTCAAATAACTGAATTTGTATCATGTCTTTGTAATTACCATAAGCTTATTAGGTGCTACATATTCACGCGATTCAAAAAGTGCAAGGGAATTTAGTGCGAAAGTGGATACCGAAATCGTTGGATGGTCTCGTCAAAAAGCAGTTGTAGATTACTGATGTTTAGCGATGCAATGTAAAGACTTTCTAGGCTGATTTCTATATTCTGTATTTCTATACGAACACTGTGTTATACATATATCTGCAGTATCAAATGATCTGCCACATCTGTTTTGCTCCCTCTTCCAGAATTATAAAACCTAAATAGTCACATATTTTTCTCTCTGAGTAAAGATTTTGCCATGGTAGAGTAATTTTGTCTGAAGTGTTTGTCTGAAGTTTTATGCAAACCAAACAATCATGGTTTATCACAAACTTTCGCAGTTCTGGCATTTTTTCAAAATTCAATTACAGATTAAGATTCAATTCAATTGCTTCGATTACTGAAGTTTCTTAATTTTTCATTTTCTGATTTCTTATAGCATCTCTTTTCTTATATCGAGTTTCTAATAAGAAAATAAGTGCATAACCAGAGCCAGGAAAATATCACGGCCCTACGGCCATTGGCCGGAAGAAGGTAGTAGAAAAAAAGAAATCGAGGAAGGTGACCAAAAATTGAAAAAAAACTTGACGAATTTTGAGAAATTTTATTGCTTTTTGGTTTCTCAAAATACATTCTATTTTTATCATCAGACAAAAAGCTAATAATTACACTATAGGCATTAACTATTTATAATTTATATGTTTAAATTGTGACGCACTTTCTTTATTAATTGAAATAAGCATGTAACTTTACATCTGCTTAAAAACAATCTACAAATTTTTGAATGTTGTGGAAAGGACGAGTACCCCTAATCTCCTATGCCCATTTTAAACCCATTGAAAATGAGAAAGGTGTTATAGTAAGATTTTCTGGGCCGGAGGGAGGGCCGAGGGGCGACAAATTTTCTGTATTTTGTTTAGCTAATGAGTGTATAACTTGACTTCGTAGTCTTATAAGCCTTTTTCATGTAACCATTTTCAAAGAGCCTGGGGTCAAGGAAGTAAATTGTGATGACTAGACAGAAAACAGCAAAAACATTTGGCTTTGAGAATCGAGAGATCGACAAGCTGAGCGGAGCAAGCAGAAAATACTTTATTCGACATTTACATCTCCCATAGCACAAGAGACAAGGAGATAACATGGGAAGCTCAGAAAGCAAGAATTTTGAAGAGGAAATTCCGTGGAAAGATCCGATTTCAGTGCTAATTGTTGGCGCTGGAATGCGTGGCCAGGTTTATGCATCGTATGCCAAAGACTTTCCAACCAGAATGAAGGTTGTCGGCGTAGCAGAACCGAAAAGGTATCGACGAGAAATGATGCGAAATTTGTATAAGATTGAGGAAAAGTTCGTATTCGAAGACTGGCAGCCAGTAAGTATTAATTTCATCATTGAATGACAGTTTATTATATTTTCTTGTCTCACACTGCCAATGGGCCTATTTACATGCAGGGAACGACAGTTTTCGACAATATTTTGCGCATGCAGTCATTCCACGCATCATTCATTCATTTTTTATTTGTTTTTTATGCACCACAGGGTTTACTTTAACGTACAGTGATTACCAATTTGTGCAGTGATGAATCGTAATTGTGCAATGATAAAAAAGTCAAATTTTGTGCACTGGTAAAACTAAAAATAGAGGTTTGGTAGCAACTACCAGTAGACCCTTTAAGCTTATAAAAGAGTATTACAATATTAAAAACGAAAATATAACAGTAACAATGATCATAATATATGAAATCTCTATGAAATATTATCGAATTCAGTACCTAGAAGCTATCTAGCTTGTTTTTTCCTCATCTTCTTCTGTGAGCTCTTTGTTCTAGAAAACTTGTTTAAACCTAGACCACTTTTCATCGTTGAAATCTCTTGTAAAGCTTGAGCGAGGGCTGGTGTAATTCGATAATTTCACATGCATGCAGTCATAAAATCACATGCATGCAGTTCAAAGGCAACAACTAGATTTTTGAAAATTTTGAAAATGTGCAGTTGTTAAAATTCCTTAAAATAAACACTGATACACCACAGAACAACAGTAGCTCCAGGGCTCTTATTATCATGTACAGCTATGATGACATAAGTACAGGTAATCTTATCATCATAGCTCAGTTTTTGTATTTTTGCAGTGGTCGATATTGCTTAAAAATAAAAGGAAACAAAGAATGTATTTGCATTTTTCATTTTCATTACTCTTCCTTTATAAATTTCCTATTATTTCCCACCCAAACGGTTATCTTAAAGCTTTTATCCAACTTGCGTCAGCTATTTGAATTTAAGTTTGCTATAAAAAGTTCACAGCGGTGCAACCATTTTGTGAAGGGTGGTGCAATACTTTTGCTCACCAAGTGTAGTTATATAGAAATAAAGTTATATATAGAAATAGAGCTCTCCTTTCACCAACCAATTCATTTTGCTAAAAATTTTGATTATTTCAGGCAGCCGAAAGAGAGAAGTTTGCTGATGCTGTGGTAATTGCAACTATGGACTACCTTCACAAAGATCCATGCATAGCATTTGCCAAGAAAGGTTACCACATTTTGCTTGAAAAACCAATGGCCCTAAACCTGAGTGACTGTGAACAGATAGTAAAGGTTTGCAAAGAACAGGGTATCATACTTGCGGTTGGGCATGTTTTGAGATACAGACCACACTATTTGAAAGTAAACGATATTTTGGAGAGTGGAAAGATTGGTATGTAGCTATAACTATACAAGAATCACAATTTCATGAATTTCTGGATGTTTTTGCGAAGAACATGATTATTCTCATGCATCTTCATTAACTCTGAATGAATGGATATGTTGCACAAAGTGTCCTAAATTAGTACCTGAGTTAGTCTATGCCCACACTTGTTTTGAAATAAGGAAATAGGAATGTGTTGAAAAGTAGATTGATAGAGGGACACAGGTCAAAAGGGATAATTTTTGTTCTAAAAAGACTTCCAAAGGATGATTTACAATAAAAAGGAGCTTTTTTAAGTTGCTTTTTTCTACTTAGCATCCAAAGGTACTTTTTAGAACACTGAGAAGCTTATGCTTATTGAGCAGTGTCCTGGTACTTCCTCTCCATGTGACCACACCTTGTGATTCCTATGCCTGGAATTATAGAGAGCTGGCGACTCTCCTTACTCTGGGTGAAAGTTTGGTCATGCCAGTGGCTTGGACAGCAGACCCTTGGGTCTGTAGTCAGCGCCTGAGCCATCCTCGCATAGTTAAAAAGGGAGACCCCAGAAAACAGGGTTACATATTTGCAATGCTAAAAAGGTTTCTTTTCTGTGTTCCTATAATATAAATTTATGTTTATTATTGCACCTTTTTATTTATTATATGACTTTAATTTTCAATTATCAGCTTTTACTCACAATTATAATTTTATAAATAAGCTGAATCATTTTTCACTTTTAGGTGATATTGTCAGTATCCAGCATATGGAACCAGTTGGTTGGTACCATTTTGCTCATTCTTATGTCAGAGGAAACTGGAGACGGCAAGAAGACTCAGGATTCTCATTGTTAGCTAAGTGTTGCCATGACATTGACCTGATTAATTCATTTATGAAAGATGCAAGGTGTGTTGCAGTGTCTTCATTTGGTGCACTAAACCACTTTACAAAGAGTCAAAAACCCAACGGAGCTGGAGAAAGATGTCTTGATTGTGCTGTTGAAACAAACTGCCCTTATTCTGCAGTGAAAATATACCTAGAACCTACCAAACATGGAGTCCCAAATGGATTCTGCTTTTCAGTTGCTGATAAACCTACACCTGAGACAATTGAAGAAAATCTAAGAAAAGGACCATATGGAAGATGTGTTTACGAATGTGATAATGATGTCATCTCAAATCAAGTGGTTAATATGATGTTTGAAGGAGGCAAAACAGTAAGCATGTCAATGGTTGCTTTTACAGAGAAGCTTTGTGTAAGGCAAACTAAAATATTTGGAACAAAAGGAGAATTAATCTGTGATGAAGACTCTCCAATAACTGTGTACGACTTTACAACAAGAAAGAAAGAGACCTTTGAATGTGACACAATGCCCTCTGAAACAACAACCATGAGTGGACATGGTTTTGCAGATTACCATCTCATGCATGCCTTTGTTAAATCAGTAACTTTCAATGATCCAAGTTTTATTCTATCAAGTCCTGATGAGTGTTTAGAAAGTCACAGGCTTGTGTTTCTATCTGAACAATCACGTGTTGAGAACAGGGTAATTAATATTCAGAAATCATTTTAAGCAAGTTTAAAGCATGTTTAAAGCAACTTTGATTATCTGTTTTTCTTCTGTTTGAAGCAAGATTTTGTATGACTAGTTACTGTGTTTTTAGAAACATATTCAGAAAAAGAGAATTTAGAAAATGAAATGGCCTAATCAGAGGTATCATTTGGGAGGGAATAGGGCAAATGTCCCCGAGCACCATCTTGTCAGAAATTTTGTGTTGTTTGCATGAAACACAAGTATAATTTTGGTGCTATTTTGAGGATAACTGCACAAGAGATCATAGTGTGAATTTCTGTTTTTATTTACAGTCACACAATATTTTATCAGATAAACACTCACTTGAGGACTTTAGATCAACATTACCTTTTCTAACTCCTTAACAAGCCACACCAAAGTAGGACACACCCTAGTCAGAACATATATGCAGTTAGGTCTGTCCCCTCTACTGAACTGAGGCCATAAGCTCTTGTTCAAGAATTTAGGACAAGTGTTAACAAATTTGATTTTTTGACTCACAAATTGCCTGTCAGTATTCTTCCTTTACACTCTGTTCTGATTCCCTTGCTTAATTGGCTTCACGTGAACTTTCCCTCTTTTCTGATATATTGATTGATTAACTGGGCTTGATTGCCGAATAACTAAGAGATTAAAACTGAGTTTTTACACCTATTTCTTTGCTGATGATGACAGGAGATCCTTGGGGAAATGTTCTGTTTTTAAATAGAACATTTGAACAACCATTCACATTGCTATCTTACTGACATGTTGAAGGATTATTACTGTTTACCTCAATTAATGATAAGACTTAACACTGGAAGGTCATTGTAAAAGTGAAAATTAGGGAATAACTGGCTGTTTCTTTCTTATGAAGATCATCACTTTTATGCTATGTTTATTATCATCTTTTCAAAGCAACTGTGCATCCTTGGCATTTCAATATCTACAATTCCCTTCATTGGCGAATTTGTTATTTCATAGACAGAAAGAACAAAATATAAAAATGGCAGTTGTTGACAATGGAGAAAAAATAAGAAAGCTGTAAAATACTGTAAAAGCTGTATTAGGCTACCCACCCCACCCCACTTTCTCAGAGACACTAGGATCAATTGATAACCCCTGGGACATCTTCTAAACAAATTTTGACTCACTTCTACAATGCACAAGTAAACCATGGGCTGTACTTAATGTTGGGAAACCAGCATTTTAGCGCAGTATGTCGCAAATTGCTATATAACTGTATCGTTGATGTGCAGTTGCTGAAGTAACTATTTATTTGTGTCAGTGTTTGTAGCAACATGACTCTTGGATGTTTAAGGAATATACAGTTACTATGTTTTACCTTGGGAGTTGTTCACTTTGATCATATGAATTATGAAACGAATTATTGAAGAGAAAGTTATGTTTAAAAATGAGCAAATGTGTTTGCTACATTTATGTTGTATTTATTGGAAATCATCTCTTCAATTTATAAAATAAGTGGTCTGATATATAAACTCGTGAAATTTAATGCACATAATCTTATCATCATCAAGGGACCCACGCGATGCACATGCTTTTCATTTCTGTTTGACATCAGGGGCTAAAGGGGGAAGTAATAGAGAGGAGGGGCTTATTTTTAATTTTTGCTTGAAAAGGGAGGCTTGATAGAGAGATTTAGGAGATTTAAAAGAGATTTAGGTTAAAAAAAGGGGGGGGCTTAATAGAGCTTTTACTGTAATACAACATAAATATATATATACATATGATGTATTACAACTTTTGACACATATATGTGTCAAAAGTTGTAAGTGTAAATTTTGCTTGCTTCTTTTATTACTACAAAGGTTTGCCTGTTGGCTGATATTGTACAGTTTATGAAAATTGTTCTTTGTAATACAAATACAACTTTGATTCAAAGGAGGCCACAACTTTAACATGCAGATTTTCTCTTAAAGCATCTTGATTGCAAACAACATTGAAAAGAGCTTAAGTTGACCAATAAATTCATTCTTTATCTCATGCAGAATACAAAATACTTCACATCTTGATTATTTCACCTTGTGTCGAGCGCTTGGGATTAATTGGCTTTCGCCTGCCAGCCATGGTAGGTTCTTCATCACTTCCATTATTTGTATGCACTTGTATTTCACTATTTCCACGAACGAAAGTGTTTCCATACATAAAATGGTTTGGGTATGCCCCTTGCATATGACTCGGACTATAACTTACAACAGAATTTTGAGAGCCAAATCGTGTTCTAAAGATCAGGTTTTGAATTTCCAGTTTTAATGCTTCTTTTGCCTCACCTTCTTCAATCTTCCCAAGAGATTTAAGAATAACTGTTGCAAATAATTCATCATCTGATCTAGAAGAAAATTCCTTTCCAGTTCTTGTTCTTTTTTCTGTTGATTCATCTGCATTATCAGTGCACTGGGTGTTCATTTCTAAGTCCATGATATTTGCATGCCTCTCCACTTTTCTTTTTGAAGCTCTGAATCTTGGGATTTGTGTTTTACTATCATCAGATTCATCTTCAAGCAAGATAGAGCAAAAATCAAATTAGGTTGCTTTTAAATTTCAAGAATTGATCATCAATTTGACAATGGTAAGGCTTCAGTGTACCTGTCCCCTAGGATACCAATTGTAATACTATCCCTGTATGGTTTTGAATGGATGCTCACATACTGAAAGGTACTTTAGTGTATTAGTCTATTTCTTTATTTTACAATACAACCACACTCTTTTTATAGAACATTTTTATTAAAACATGAGTCTCAAAAGTGGTCAAAAGCTGAGAGAAAATTATGAACAAGCTGAGGGTAAGGTACTGTTTTTTAACCAACTTTGTTTACAAACGTCTTTCAGTTTTGGATTCTGTTTCAATTGGATGTGCTGCAACTCAGTTGAAAGAAGTCTGTTTGAAAAATGAGGTAGTTTTTCACCTTCCAAGGGTACATTGTCCGAGAAATTTCAAACTTGTTCTATAAGTAAATAATTGCTTGCTCCAATTTTATTACCATTGCTGAATTATCTAAAGTAGGCAAAAATTCTTTGGCCTGATCACCCAAATTTGGCCTGCTTGGACCATAATAATTTAAGAACAAATAAAGAACAATCCAGCCACAAAGTTTTGAGAAAATAAATAACAGTCACCTCACCTCAGTTTACAGGCTATTTATAAAAAGATTGTATAGTTGACACGGCTGGATCCAGGATTTCAGCATTGGGAAGTATTCCCTCCGCCGGATTCAACGCTACCATGGTGGTGATGTTTGAAGTTTTTAAATCTCCCGCGCTTTATAGAAAAATGTAATAGAGATTTATATCATATTTTGGAATGTGATCTTCCTTACCTTTATCGAAATCTTCCAGTATTTCAGGGGACTGGCAATCATCTTCCAAAACATATGTAGTTTTGTTTTCTGCAGGCTTTTGCGTCATGTGGTCTTGCAGAAATTGAAGGGGAGTCCAAAACTGCCACCTGCTTTTAAAGGGAGACGTCTTTGTTGGGTCGTTCTCCCAAGCAATTTTCTTTCGCTGCTGAGAGCCGTAGTATGTTCGTAAACTGACCATTTTAAGCTGAATTTCATGGAATGACATATTCAAATCTTCGCAGATCTCGATCATTGAATCCCGTCGCTTGTTTTTACTGAAATACCATTCATGTTTCGTGTCGTACAACGCAGGTCTTTCGCCCCAGAGCAAGATAAGTCGGCGGATAACATCGTCTGTCCATTTGTTGCATTCGAGTTTGACTTTTTCTGAACTCGTATCCTCGTTCGTTCTGGTCGGTACTCTGAATGGATCTGCATTTATGAACGTGTTTGCTGTCTGTCCTTCTTCCATTTTTCGACAATATTCTCAAATTTACCAACCAGCGAATTTCACAGCAATTCGACGACATTGATCCCAACTTGAACGCAAGGTTGAGAAAAACACCTGGCAATCATTGTTCAACTCGCAGTCAACGCCAATGAGGAAATCCCTATTGTGAAATCTTTTTGTTCTTTTGTACTGCCCTCTTGTTATTGGGTTGTCTTGACATCATTGAACGGTGAAAAATTGTAAGGCTCACTGAGGGCTAGGGAGAAATTTACTAGAAAATTGCAGCACACTCCGCTTCTAGTCACACCAAATGTGACTCTAAACGGAGTCGGGCTTTCAAACCACAGATATTCTATAGAGTCTAAGTTGTGAACAATTTTTTTGCGGTACAGAATTTGAAAATGGCTTTGAAAAAAGCAAACACTTTACGACATACTAAAAGCTTTTTCGTCTGACACTCCTCAGAGCATAAAACGTCAGAATAAGGTTCCGAAAGAACACGATGGAAAATATATACCCAGTTGTGGATCGAAATAGGCCAATCAGAAAAACGCAAGCACAAGACCGGTATGGTTGACCAATCAGTGCCGCGAGCCTAAAGAAAAATAATCTAATTTCTTGTCGGGAAATTGTAGGCCTGGCCGGAGCCCCCTAAATTAATTGTTACTTCACCAAAACTTGACGACTAAACCAGAAAAGGAAAAGAGAAGCAACTGACATATTTGAAGGCGCTGCAAGCTTTAATATGCATGAAAATGTACACAAAGTTTGACAAATACAGTTGGAAAATTCTTGAATGATTTCTTACTGACTACGTTTAGTTGCAGTTTTGTAGAGACAGTTGTTTTTTTGTTGCATTTAGAAATGCCTGATTCAACCACCGGTTGCTATTGTTTGACTCTGTCTTGTCTATTTTTAATATTTCATGCACTACACTCTTTTTTATAGAACAATAAGAACAATTCAATTTTTTTTTCAGCTCTGGATGTTCTTATCTTTTGGATAATTTTAGGCTCTGGTGTTTTTAAAGCTGTATTTATTTCAAAATTGATTTTTCTATATCTGCAAACTATGAATATTCTCCAAGTCCAATGAATAACAGTTCTGCATGACATTTGTAGTAGCACTGTTCATTAACTGATAAAATCACCTCTCTTTTGTTAACACAGCAGGAAATTTTTCAATTCAAAATACAACCAATGGGTCATTATTGTTGAACAAAAAATTCTTCCTTATCGATGCCATAAATATTTTAGATGCATTTCTTGCCATTCTTAGAAGGCCATATCTCAAAATTTTTCTCCTTAGCAAAATTTTACTGAACTCCTGAGCAATATAAACATTTTGCCTTCTCACTTGCAACAAAGTACCACCCCCCGCCCTACTCTTTCCATAGTATCGAAGCTCTCATCTCAGCTGCCGCTCGCACACGGTCAATGTACCTGGCTGCTCAACCAATGTTCGGAAAAACGTCAAACCTCACCATGTTCAAATTGCAATAATTACATGACAAGAGTAACTTAGAAATTTGATGGAGCCCCCCTTGTTAATATTTTACGACTACATCCCTGCTAAAAAATACTACAGCGAGTTTAAAGATAAAATCATATTACCAAGTATTAATAACAACCAATCAGCTAGAGACACGTAAGACCATAAAAGTATCCTTTAAGCTTAATAAAAGAAGCATTAACAATCAACAGCTAATGAGTGTCCCGGAATCAAAGTCATTGCCAAATAATTCTTCGATAGTCACACGTCTTCAACTGCTAAACACAATAGACCTTGTTCAAATCGAGGGGCAATTCACTCTTGTAAATAGCGTACGAGATTCTCCCTAAAACAAAAGGATTTCTTGGGATTTTCCGATTAAACAATAGGATTTCCACCAAAGGTGTACGAGATTTTCTGGGAGTGATTTGCCCTTCGGTTCAAATAAGCAGAAAGTTTTAGAATATAACGAAAAGCTAGAAAGGAAATTAACATGATGCATATTATGTTGAAATGTTTGTCCTGTATAAAGGTTCGTCTTATTGTTACATCATTTTAAAAAAAAAACTTTTCATTATTCTTTGGTACGAATTTAAATTGGCTATGAAAAAATAGGCTGCGGAATTATTTTTCTAAAGACTTCTTATAAAAAATAAGGCTGTAAACAGAATAGCCCTGTGATAATTTGTATTCAAGGCAGGGCTAAAATACGCAGGGATCTGAACCATTTCGAAGAATTGTAAATGGAAATCATTTATCGTTTAATGAATTTGTGCAGATCCAACAAAAAGTTCATACTCTGGCAGGGGTTTTTATAGAATGGAAAGAATTTCGTGATTTTAACGAAATCAAATGTTTATCAATGCTATCTTTTCCGTAGACATTTAAACTAAAGGAACATGTCCGATATTTCTACAACAGTTGAACTTTGAAATTTTAGGCATTGAATCTAAGTTGCTGCTGCATACCGACATGCCTTGCAGGAATAACAACGATAAAGGACACACAGGTTCATCATTTTACCAACATAGAAATATGATACAAAAATTTCTTCAATGCTTCAAATACACAAAATAAGTTTTACAAAAGCTTACAAATTTCAATGCCAGTTCTCGTCGTATGCAAACCAGAATATATAAGTCATTTGCTGCTTCTCTGAAATGTTACTGCTCCTCCTATAGCAAAACGCATCTCGTCAATTCTAATGTATCTTACTCTTATGTATTCGTTCCATATTCGTACTTTCCTACATAGTACAGAGTATTTCCTTAAACTAAAGTCTTCTAACATGAGCTCAAGAAGCCAAGAGGAAAGATACTGGCGACGGAATATACTTACAAAAGCTGTTTTTGCTACGTCCAATCCCTTTATGTAAATAAATCTGGGAATTGATGAATCAATATCGACGATGTGTGATTGAAGTTTAACTTTTTGGATCATTCTTTTGTCACTAGGTCTTGCAAACTAAGCTTATCTTTGTGATCTAAAAATCTCCAACTAGTAGCCTAGCAGTCGGTCGTATTGACTCTACGATTCCAACAGCTCGCCGCCTGGAAGCATTTTCAATTGCAGGCATCCAAAGCCGACACAGCCTTAACATAGCTCTCTCCAAGATATGAAATATAGGATCTCTTTGATCTGGGTACTCTATCCAGACCAATTGCAGATACCGAAAAAAACTTCCCATCGAATATGTGGATTTTCGGGCTGAAATGTGGATGATAAAACTTTGTAGCAGCTCTTTCTAGCAGAATTTGATATCCCCAAATCGCATTCTCAGAAGCATCCGATCTTGTTAGAACAGCGTTAGCTGGGGCTCCAGCTAAATTGCAACTTAGGTAGTCCTTGGGATCTGCAGCAACGAAATATTTTCTTGTCAAATTTAAACAGAAAATGTGTATTCTAATTGTAAAATAGCAAAGTGATTATAGTTACTGGGTGAGTATAAAAAACAAGGGGCGCCACACGGATCAATTTAAGGCCCATTGTTTTTGGTATGTTAATTAATGATTTAGTTGCTGTCCTAAAAAGATAATTGCTGTAATTCTGTGGACAACGATTCTTAATGGCTATTTTATAGCAACATGAATGAACTAACAAATGATTAAGAGTCACATAATGCACTACTTCAATGGTTTGTTGAAAGACATGAAGTTAAATGAAGACAAACTGTTGACTTTCCAAGCCTATTCTAAATAAACGATAGCTGATTAAACATCGACTGGAATGTGCTTAAAGAAAGTACATGTGCAAAATTAGCTACTAGGAAAAGCATTGGATCAGCAATTCGATGAGTAACGAAAGAAAAACCGCAAAGGTGCATGGGTGAACGTAGCTGCTGCTGCTTTGGCAAAAGTGAGTGAAAATAAGCAAATATTCAATTGCTTTCTTTGAAGGGACCCATTTAGATCATTTTATAACTATTATCGGTCAACCTTTGAAGAAATACTAAACGGAAAGCATTTGAATATAATAAAGGCTGGCGATGTTGATTTTTTTAAATAGAAAGGTCTCAAGTTGTTCAAATCGATCATCTGCGAATAACTGCACCTGTAAGTATTGAATCTGTATGTAAGTGATATTGGATGCATCGATTATAATTCATAACAGTGGAGCTTATAAGCTTGCAACATCAAACGAAATGAAAGTCAAACGCAATTTAGCTTTTATTTTATTGAAACATTAAATGAAGAAATGAAATAAATATACCTGCAACAGTATTGTCCTTGCACAACAGTTTATATTTAGCTTGATCAACCGGCCTCAGTGACGTAAGCATTGACTCTTTCAAAAAGGCTACGTCTCCTTCACCATCTTTCAAACACGCGAATGCTCCTTCGTAGCCGTAATATGGCTCCCGTTTATCTCGTGCACATTTTGCAGCCCCTGAGCCAGTGCATAAGGAACAGAGAGTATTTACGCCATAAAGCTGCTTGTTGTATTTTCTGTTTGCAGCTCCTTAAATAGACAAAGCCTTACAAAACATTCAAATACCAGCATCAGCACATAAATACAGTGGTTGGTGAAACACTTAAAACATTGTTGAGTGAACTATGATGTTGCCTTGCTTTTTAGTTTCATTGCGGATCACCTAAAATGGAGGAAAGTTTTGATACCTTTCTATCGATTATTCACATCTCTCTTCTTTCCAGCCTTTACCAATTGGTATACCGTGTAAATAAATTTCTTAGGCCGATTCCATTACCAAACTAGCATAGATAATTTGCAACTAATTTTTTCCTGAGCGTAGGCACCCTTTTTAAATACTAGTAAGTCGATGGACTATTGCTAACTTGAAGATATTTGCAAAAAAGAACGAAAAATGTGCATTAGAAGTGCCTATGGAAAATCCAAGTGTTTGGCGTTACGTTACGTAGAACAAAGCTTGGTTGGTTCTTTATAGTTTTTCGACCAATTCCGATTGTTACTTATTTTAGATTCATCTATTTTACCTTAGTCACTAAGGCTGGATCCTAGGTGCTTTGGTCCCATAGAGCAGGCATGAATAATTTTATAGCTATAAGTAAGAAGGAAGACATAGCGAATTCTGGCCGATAAAAAAAGCTTCTTGATTAGTTAATGCAATGAAATATATTGGTATAAAGGTAAAGAGTTTAAAAGTGATAACTTGATAAAACTTTATTTAAGAATTTATAATTTTGATTATTTAATGTGAAAGGACATTAATTATAAACCGGTCCTTTCCATGACATAATGGTCGAAACAAAAAAAGTAAATCAGTTATTGTTACATTGATAACATCTTAAACAAATCAGTGTAATTTGGTAGTTTAATATTCTGAAATGATTATGCACATTTAGAGACATTTTGTATTGTACCTCAAATACAAAGGTCCGAGCCCAAAGGTTCTGTAAGTCGAGTTGAATATTATGACGTCAAAAAAATTCAATATATGACTATAACGTCATCACGCTGTAACATAATTGTATTGGTTGCTTAAAGACAAGAATCAAACCTGGTGCGCAGCTTGCAGTGAAAAAAGCAGCAACAGAGGCATACTGATTACTATGCACACATGCCATCATATTCGAGCTCAGCAAGTTGCCAACTGGTAAAATCCAGCCCGAAGATTTCTGAACTCCGGTATGACACGATTTGGCACCCTTTAAAAAGACAATGGGAAATTTATCATTTCATCTTTAATGGGTTTTCCAAATAGCTAATCATTTCGAACAGTTAATTATTTGAATGAGTAAAAGAGGAGAATTGTCATAAATAATCATCATCAAGACAAATTCCGTAATCTCTTACTTTTTCACAAGATTAGCGAACGTTTGTTAGATAAACTTCAAGGGGCTGTAGGACCAATGTGTTGACTCTCCCCCTCCCCCTCCCCCCACTCAGCTATTTTGATACACTGATGGCTTTTAAATGTAAGTTTGTGCTCTTTCTATGAAGTTCCACTGGCCATCAAATTATGGAAAAAATTGAGTATTTCTTTCCAGTTTTCTTCGCACTTTAAGAATCTATTTTTAGATAATGCCTTTCAAATTCGTTTATGTAGAGGTGTTGAAACAATCTTTTTGAGGTACAGAATTAAAAAATGGTACTGAAAAAGGCAAACATTTTGAAACATGATACCGAAGCTTGCCGTCTGATACACATCAGTGTATAAAACGTCAGAACATAGATCGAAAATGCAAAAATGGGAAATATGTATACCCAGTTTTGGATCGAAATGGGCCAATCAGAAACGCGAGCACATGAATGTTGAGGTTGCCCAAGAGTGGCGCTTGACTATTGAAAATTTTACCAGTGGAATCCTAAGGTGATAACGAACTCCTTTTGTCTACACAATAGCGTTTTTATGCGGATAAAATGAAATTTTATCAGATTTAATTTCACGAGGGATGTTGTAGAATTTGATTTATTAGGGGTTTTACTTTTATCCGAATTGTCTTTTCCCCTTCGGGTGTCAATTATCATGCTTTCATTTTGGTAGTTGGTCCTTGTGTCTCCCTATTTCGATGCATTTGAGATATAGGTCAGCAGGAGTTCTGTATTTTGGGCTTCTACACAAAGTTGTTGGTCCCTTGGCTCTGATAAGGGTATTTAAGCATTTGGGTGGGGTCTATCGTGATTGTTGGTAGACTTTTCAACGCTCTTCTCTTTTCCCGTACCCAACCCCCCCCCCCCCCCCTTCCTTTTTGATATCTAGCTAAGTGTATTTTCTTCTTTAAGTCTTCCTGTTGTTTTCTAGTTTAGGATGGGTCCGGCTTTTTATCCTGTCATATTTTGTCTTTCCCTCTCATAACTTAGGAATCTTAGGTAGGACTGGTGCATTGGGTCCCTGGTGGGGAATCTTTTCTTGCCCATTCCCTGCCCAGAACTTAAAACTGCTTGTACTTGAGTTAATCAAGTTATATCTAAGATTTAGGGTTTTTATTTGGGTTAGGTGAAGCAACTTGGGCCGATGCACCAACGGCCCAATGTCACTCTCTGTGATGAGGGAATGTAACCTAAATGCCTGATTTCATGAGGGATGTGGCAATGTTATTTCTGAGGGAGCTATTGTTTTATCAAAGTGAAAACATTTATCTTTTGGTGTTATTCTCCCGAGTAGAACATTAATTCGTGCTTATGTAGATAGATTCCAAAATTGCTAGATGGAACGTCGATCGGGCTTTGCCAAAAATCCTAAACATGTCGCCATTATGATTTCTGCACAATCTGGATTTTCCAGTAAATGCTGCCCGATAGCAGAATCGAATGTTGTAGTTGTACTTTTAGATCTGCCAGACCGAGGTGGCTGTTCTCTTTTGGGAAGAGTTTTGTTTCTAATGCTGGAAGTTACATAGTGTTCCATTCTATCCCCAGTCTCTTGGTTGTGCGTCCTACGTAGCCAGAATCACATTGGCATGTAAACTCTTAGATAACTGAACTCTTTTGCATGGAAGGGCGTTTTTGTACTGTAAACAAGAGAACATGCCAAGCTAATGTTCACTATCAAATTTACACAATACATGACTCATCTTTCCCATTTACATCTGATGATTCAGATACGGTTAACAACCTCTGGGCAGGTAGCTTGATGAATCGACGACATTTCGTTGTTCGCTTGGTCTTCTACAGTTGTTCATCTTCGCTTTTACTAAAATTGATTTAACCGACAGGCAATAGAAATTCATTTCCACTAAAATGGTTATAGCTATATCCACGAAAGACCAACGTGAAGGAATGAAAACTTGAAAGCACGTGTTCTACCATTCATGCAGTTCGAGGTTCTAGCTGAATACGATGCATTATGCATGTCTCTGATCTGGGCTCCCCTAAGACAAGCTACAGAAAGAATCGCCAGTTTGTGTTAGTAATTACTGTTCCATTTCAAAATACTTATAAACTGTCTATTGTCAACGTCTCTCACCTTTAACGTGCCATATGTTAGGTTACTCGATTTTTTAGCGACTGCAACAGCGAAATACTTCTTGCCACTTGCTGTCAGATGTTGATGCCTTTCAGACATAATAACTTGCAAACCATAATTTTTGCCTATAAAACGATTTAGGTATTAAGCTGAAACAATGCTTAAAAGGCCCAATTAAATATATCGAAGCATCACTAGGAGATTATACGAACATTTTCATGCTGTCTATGGTATTTGATCAAAGGTTTGTTCCTACGACGTCTCACAACAACACGACATTACATGAACTCGCATACGCTTGTTCCATGAAAGCATCATTACTTCCAATGTCACCTTTGTATGAAAATAACGTTACTTTCGTGGCAAATGATAACCGGTCTTGACAGAAAAAAACAACTAAACTATTTAAAACTTAGTTCTATAAGTAGGAAAGCAGAATTTTCATTACCCTGGGTGCCAGAGCCACAAAATTTCGAGCACGTAATTTGTTTCTTCTTGAATCTGTGTCTCTGGTACAAAGGGTAATTTTTCATTTCCAAGTATTTTGAATTGCAAAATCCTCGCTTGTCACCACTCAAAAAAGCCATAGCGTGAAGATTCGCAATTTGCGCATCCAACAAACTCACTGCTATCTAATGGAATTGATAAATCCATGCCTAATAAGATGTTAAACCTTTGTGATTCCGTTCTATATCATATTGAATGAGACTACTGCTAATGAAAATATAAATGCATGTTGCTACATCAGCACTGTTTTGTAGTATCTCTTCACACTTTCAACATGGACCAAAATGACTTACCAGCTTGGTAAACCGCCCTTCCAGAAAATGACGACAAGTCAGCTGCTCCTTGAGCAATTTTTCGACAGCAGTCATTTTCTCCTTTCCCCAAGATACACGTTATTTGCCCAGGGTATTTGCTGCTAATCTGTTGGCATTTCGCATAGGCGTCATTGCTCTGTGCACACCATCTTGGAGAAGTTGTACCTAAGAAACAGAGCTCCTAGCTAGCGACAGCAAAAAATTTTCGAGAATTCTATCTTCACTTTATTTTTGTGTCAGGTACTCGATGTAAAGATGAAGTAAAGATACGTAAGGAGTCAATGGAGTTGAAAAACGTTTACATAACTGAAACGCTTTCAGAAGTAACGCAAACCTTAAGTTGAAAATGACAATTGAAAAGATAGCAAAGTTTCAACAATTATGAATTTTTCTAATGTTCAATGCGAATGATACAGAAATCGATTAAAGAAATCTCATAAAACCACTCTTACTTGCACTTTGCCACGAATTGGTGACAAGAGCCACGACCATCAAAAACATCTTGACTCCAACCATCTTGATTTGTCATTTATCACAACTGCCAAGCCGCTCTCATGTTCGCAAAAATATGCTCTCTCGGGATCGTATTAGATTACAGTTGAGAAAAGGTCGCAAAGATAACCTGGAGAGCTCCTGGCTATAAGGAGCTTGTCTCTGGACGGGTGTTGGCTGTAAATGCAGCACGAGAAAGCTGGGTGAGAAAAGTCAATTTAAGCCAAAAGTAGCAATTTAAAAAGAAAAGGAAAGAGAATGCGTCCAGGGGAATAAACTTAAAGCCCCAAACCAAAGAGCATGGTATAAAAATTATTTCCGTGTGTTAATTTTAGGAATTTTAATTATGTTAAATGTAAAGGTGTATGTATAGATCCTTGGCCTCTCATGTTGATAGTTTGAAGTTATTAAACAGTTAAGCAGATCTTTAAATGAGTTATCTTGGAGCTATCTAAATGAAGAAAAGCTTGACATCATAAATTTCTTCGTCAGGTTCTATCCTTTTTCACTTTATATAAATATCTCTTTTAAAAAGAACGATATAATGAGAGCACAACAAAAAGGACCCGTTCAGGAGAAATTTGGAAAAATCGCAGTTTTTATTCTTTTTTACGTTGGTAATATTCTGCTAAACGTTAACTAATAAACTAACTAAGCGAATAATTTATTCGCTTTACAAGACAGTTGTAAATAAAAACGTCAACATGTTGCACTCAGCTTCCACGGTTTGTGAGTGTCAGGTCATATTTGATGCCCTAGCCAAATAATGAACAGATTTTGATTTGGTGCATACGTATGACTAGCTAGAGTAGAGGAAGTGAGTGGGCTGACGAGGTAAACCTCCTCTCCCCCCTCCGAGTATTAAGATATTAATTTGCCACCACACAATTGATCATCTTGCTATTGGCTGTGAGCCCCAACCCCCTCCCCTTCCCCTCCCCCCTCCGAGTAATATGATATTAATTTGCCACCACACAATTGATCATCTTGCTATTGGCTGTGAACAAGCCTAGGCACTACAAGATTTTTTAGTCCATCCATCTGCAATAAGTTTCACCTTCCCTGCGGAAAAGAAACTCTCTTGTTATGCTATTCATATTTTTGTAGAACGCACGCAGAGAACAGTCTAACTAGCGCACTGCAGTCCTTCCATCTCGATAAAAGAGACAAACCATATGCATGGTACGAACCAATCATAAATAAAATCAATATATTTCCTAACAGATTCACAACATGTCACTCACGCAAACAAAAAAGCACGATTCTGAGAACTCTTATGTTAACGATTGATTGAATATATTCTGACTCTATGGGCCTTACCATGTAAATTCGGAAACTTAGAAAAAATATTTGTTCCTTCAGTGGGAAAGACAAGTGTTTTATCAGAAATCTTCAATCATAAAGGCGAAAGCAGTGATAGTCACTCAGAGCAAAGCCACACTGCTGGTTGTACCAGGTTTTAACTTGGACCCAAACATGCAAACTGGAAAAATGCCCGGCTTAAAGCCACACTTTGCTTAGAAATATACGATTTTAATCAATAATTTCTAAAGCATGAGTCTACTGTTCTGAATATTGTCAGCTCAGAACGATTGGATTGTCAATTGACATAATAGTTCTAATCTACTCTCTATAAAAAACTATCTGCTTTGAGTCTTGAACAACAACCAAATCAAACAAAGACCTTGAAGATAACGAGCATCAACACTGCGACAGAGAGCTGAATCTTGGTGCAAAGGCGTGTGATTTGACACAGGAGTCCACTTGTACAATGTCCTTCATGTACGCCTTGTCAAGATAGCTGCTGTATGTTCGCTTGCTCGATGGGACATTGACAAGATCATTGGTGTCTTTAGAGAACAGTTTACCAGGGGGTGAGTACATGTCGCTTCCAAGAGCTGTTTTTGCTTGTTGTATAATAGTCTGGTACTGTTTGATTGGTGCGTCTGGTCTGGCAAGAACTGCGTGCGATGGCACACGAGCTAGATTGCAGGTTATGTAGTCCTTCGGTTCTGGAAGTAATAGAATTGTGAATGACAATGAATCTTAAAAAGAAAAGTTGCAATGGCTGGAAGCCAAAAGCAATAATATACTAACAAAAACTCTACCTAAGTGAAAAATACCATCACAAACCGTGGCTTCATCTTTGCTTAATGTCCACTATATAGAATTACATCCAACTGATATGAAGCACGATAACACCAAATTTCAAAATACCTTTCTAACCAATAGGAATAGCCTAGAGTTTGAAGGCAGGTTTAGAATAGTTTTCAAAGCATATCATAGGTATTTTTCCCAAAAATAAATTTATGAGAAATAACCGTGATTACGAGGCGTTCTATCCTTGTGACAGCGTGTTTGTCACTCCATCCTGCATACGTTTCGAGAGACCTTGCTAGATGGAACACAAAATTACACAGCAAGCTAACAAAACACTAAATATTTTCTAGAAATAAAAGACGTCAAAATTGTACGAAACAATCATTTCTTACTTAGTGCAATTTATTCTTTTGACACTTATTAAATTGTTAAACGTCAGGAAGAACGAACACCATTGCGATATAAAAATACTTCAAACCAACGTTTGTATGTTGGAAATGATTGACAATTACTTGAGGTGTTTTTTATGAAGACAGATTGATAATTGCTGGATAAAATTTTCGACGTTTCATATCAGAGCAAAAAGGTTTTAGGTAATGATAACACTGTTCGTGTAATTTGTGGATCTTGTGATTGTGCCCTCTTTTTCAATAGAGGCAGGCTAGAAGCCATCAAAACTAAGACTATATAGATCTGAGGTTGTTGCTTGCTTGATAAACTGTTTTATTAATACAGAAAGTAAAAAAAAATCAGGTGTCCTCCTGATGCGATGGCATTATAGCCTTCGGGTATAGTCAGGAACTAACTAAACTGGCGCGGAGTTTCTACGCTGGCATAGTTTTCTTTTGCATTGGATTAAAAAATAAGATGTGCCAGTAAAACACTTTATTATCGGAAATCCTAAATCAGAAGTATCATCCAGAAAATATGACAAGTTGGCAGAAAATATGTCCAACCGTAAGTAAAAAATATTGACGTTAATTGTGAGCAAGAACCACATAAGTCGACAAAGACTTAAAACAGTATTTTCTCCCTATTCCCTGCGACAGTCAGCTCTTTAACATACTTTCATTTTGATAAAAATGGTCAATGACAAATATGATTTAATAGGTAACTAGATTTTAGTATGTATTGTCCATTCCTTCGGCTCTTAAGAAACTCGACAGGGAGACCCAACGACACCTTCTTCGGTTAACATGGCGGTAAATTTCTAAGCCATTCATTTTGCAGGTGAAATACAATGACTTTTGAATAAACATTGAAAACTGAACCGTCAGAATGCTAAGTCCTATACCAAATGCTTTGAATCACCCCCCAATAAAAGAACGTGAACATAGATTAATAATCGTCGTTGTCAACATCAAGTTGTCTATATTACTGTCATCCGCGTGCTTAATTTGCTCGAAGAGACTGGGGCGAGAATTTGGGTGAAAAACTTGTCACGGGCCTTTGTTTACATACAGAAAAATACGGCGTTTACTAGCGACTAATCACAGCACGAATTTGCATCAAAAGTATTCTAAGTTTTGTGGATTTGATTCCTAAACATTTCCCGTGGTCATTAGTCTCGAAAATAGCTTTTTTAAAAGCTTCTGCCCGGTGTCGTGCTCTCAGAGGCTACGCAGGGTTAGGCCGGTTTCAAATATGGTCAATGGAAACTGCGGCATCATTTCTTGCAAAAGTAGAAACTGCCTGCAAAAACTTTGGAGAAGAAAAGATTTTCGACATTAACGAAGTGATTACAAAAAAATGATTGCCAATGCTTACGTCCATTTCACCTCTTCACTTCTCTGACTTTCAAGTCAAATTCTGATAAAAGACGTGAATGGATTAGACGTTTGAACAGGTACAAGATGGATTTGAAAGTTCCATCCTTATGGCTGTCTCAATGCGAAACAGACCAGCAGCAAAATTATTGCATATTTGGGACATGCTTGCTATACATGATTGCATACTTGGGACATGCTGAAACAATTTTCCCTGATTTTTCTCATTGCATGTTCTCAAAGCTTATATGGCGCATCAGAGATTCTTTGTGATGGTCTGCATGAAGTTTTAAGAAGGCAGTACTTGCTTCTGTTTTCACAACTGGGGCCTTGTTTTCATAAGCAACGAATGCTGTTGCAGCTAACTCGTGTTAACTTCCCATAATTTTGAGTCCTCTAAGGCTGAGGAAATGTTTGAGCTCTTTCATTTGCGAAAACCTGTCGAGATTCATCGTGCGCTGTTTTTTCAATCGGCGACTTCCCTACCTTGTTAGAACACCATGATTGACAGAAGCTTTTTAAAAACCTGCTTTCGAGATAAAAGACTACAAAGAATGTTTAGGAATCAAATCCACAAAATTTCGAATACTTCTGATGCCAATTCGGACAATATTTAGTCGCCAGTTAACGCCGTATCTATATGAAAACATAGGCCCGTGGCAAATTTTTCACCCAATCTCTCGCCCCAGTTTCTTTATGCAAACCCAGCGCGGATATCGAAAAGGTGTATTGGTATCAACTGGCCTAGCCATTACGACCTAAGTATTTAGCAGTTATGAACAGTAATGATTTAAGCGACAAAACTCCTAATGGAAGCATTAAATTTTCGATAAGTTCCAGTTCATGGCTCCTAAAGGGATAATGATATCCAACCAAAGCAGAAGCATCATATTGAGAAAACTTAAACAATTCCAGGACTAGAGCTCACAATGATTCCATAAATATACTAGATTGCGTGCGGTACAATATAATGCTATAATAACGATCAATGTAAATAAATTGTACCAGAAATTTTTTTTAAATTAATAACGACGTTTCGAGCATAGCCCGTTATCAAGTAAAATTGAAAAGCGATGATAAAACTAAAAAACGTAAAAGGAATATGGAATTCGACAAATGGAATAGGAAGACGGATATAAGAGCATGGAAAAGAAATATATAGAAAGAGCTAAAAATATATATAGATACATATAGACAAATACAGAATTTATGTATTTGTATATAGATGCACACTAATATAAAGAAAAAAAAACAAAGAAAAAGGAGTGGGGAGGGGGGTTATTAAAGATACGTAAACTGTTTATTAAATCCAGAAGGGTATAAAGTTCCACGTTTAAAAATTATTCGTTTTTCCAGTGACTTTCTCTTTGCACTCTCGCATAGGTCTTCCTATTCCATTTGTCTAATTCCATATTCCTTTTGCGTTTTTTAGTTCTATCGTCGCTTTTCAATTTTACTTGATCACTTGCTAGATGCTCGAAACGTCGTTATTTATTAAAAAAAATTTTCCTGGTACAATTTACTTACATTGATCGTTATTAGAGCTCAAAATATTTGTGATTAGAAACATGTGAATTAGTAAGCAAGAGAAGAATCATTGATATCGATCTCTGTTGCAGCTGAGATCTTAACCAAGTTGGACTTATCTACACTATTTTTGAAAGACTCTTTCCACAAATTTAGTGGTGCTACCAATTTTTGATTGTATCCGACATTGCCCGTTCCAGTTCAAATGACGTCGGATTTTGCAGCACAAATGAACATGTTGTTCTAAATATAAATGGCTTTCACAGTTGTAAGTGTGCATTACCTTTGGTTGTTCCATTGGTGCACAGTAATCTGTACTGGGCTTCATCGGCGCTTGGAATAATTCCTTGCTTAATGAATGCAACCTCCCCTTTGCCATCCTTCAAACATTTGAATGCTCCTCCGTAGCCATAATAAGGTTCATTTTCATTCCTTGCACATTTGTTTGAGCCAGTACCAGCGCATAAAGAGCAAAGTTTTTCAGCACCTGTTTTCATGCTGTTGTATTTGGGGTCGTTAGCACCTGATGAAAGAAAAAAAAATAATTAGGATTAATTCAATTGTTCAACTAAGTAGCTTTATTAATAAGCTTTATTTTTTTAAATGTTTTAACGACCCCTTTTGGTATTTTATCTAAAATCGTTATCTAAGACCCCGTTTACACTGTGCCGGATAAATTTTATCCGCATAAAATTTGTTCGGATTGATTTGCGTTTACACTGTGCCGCATAAATTTTGTCCACTTTGCCCTCCCGTTTACACTGTGCCGGATAACTACAGTCACGTGACCTCAATCATTCACAGAACGCTCAAAACGAGGTCATCTCTAGGCAACCGATTTTTTTAATAACACCATAATTCCCGCCAAAACGCCAAAGGTGCAAAGACTTTTCCATCATTCTTCAGAACCAACTGCTTCGCGTTCAGACAAAGTCCGAGGAAATTTGCAAAGCACATTAGGCCAATATAGTTTAAATAATTCTTTGTTTTAAAAAACACGTCGAAGAAATGGCAAACAAAGTAGGGAAAGCTGAAAAGGACGCCAATTTCACGTGGACTGACGAAGAGACAGCACTTTTGATACAAGTAGTTATCGACTATAAGGCAGCAAAGGTGGCGAAAGGTCTTGATTGGGAGATTGTGAAAACAAAATATGATGAAATAGCCACTCGTTTTCAAGCAAGATATCCGAAAGCTGATTCTGGAGTTAATTGTGATGAATATTCCAATTGTGAAAGTCCAGATAAAATAAACAAAGCAACACGATTCTGTCACAGAATTTTGTGATTCTGTTTACAAGAAATGAGATTTGGCGCCGCCTCGCGCCACCTTCTTTCTCTTTATTGAAAGAGCCTCGCTGTAAATCAAAATCAACCTCGCAGCGGATGTGGATAAAATTTATCCGGATAAAAGCGTTTACACTGTACCACATAGCTATCCGAACTAATTTAATCCACTTTCCTAAGTGAACTTATTTTGTCCTGATAGCCGCTCTCAAATTCGTGCGGATAGCGTGGGTCTAGTGTAAACGGGAGCCCTATCTGAACTAATTTTGATGCGGATAAAATCCATCCGGCACAGTGTAAACGGGGTCTAAGAACCCGTTTACACGAGACCTGGACCAGATCAGATCCACAAGTATCCGGATACTTTTGGATCCTATGCCTGAAATGGCAATGCGTTTACACGGGATCCGATCCAGAATCATTTGCGTTTACACGGAAACGGATTCAGATGAATTCAACAGGTTGCGCGCATGCGCTTTTCGAAAGTTGGCGCGCATATGACGTTTTCAGAAGTTTGTGATAAAAACACACATCCTGAACATGGAAGGTGGTAAGGCTAAAAAGGTCAGTTTTCGTGGACTGACGAGTAAACTGCGCTACTTTTAAAAGTAGTATGCAACTACAAAACTGCAAAGCTTGCAGATGGACAGGATTGGGAAACAGTGAGGACAAAGTACGATGACATATCGTCAACGTTTTGTAATAATTGTTCAACACAGTAGTCTGTCAACTTGATGTTCGGTTTTCTGGCGCCAAAAGGCCACGGATTACATATTCAAACTACCTCGAATTCAGATGCTAAAAAGGCAGTGAATGACTCTCTTTCAAGGCGAGGCTGCTGCCTTTAACTCCAAAGCTAGCATCAACTAATATTTTCAGCTTGTGCAAGAAAATGCTAACGGATAAAGCAATCTTTTTATCTAAAATACTACGGTTACTCAGAACTCTATAAGATTATACATTTTCAACTCACCAGGAGCGCAACTTAGGCTGAAATAATTTGAGACAGCCCCGTATTCATCACAATCAGCTGGCATACTCATCATATTGTTGCTGAGCAAATGGCCAACTGGAACAATCCATCCTGAAGTCTTTTTAACACCAGTATGGCACGATTTTTTACCCTGTAAACATGGAATGGTGAGATTCTCAATTTACACACGGTAAAATGTGCTTCAATGGTTAGAATCGATCATAATTTTGTCTGTGGCATGTCATTTACAAAGTTATTATGTACTATATATTTGTATACTTGAAGAAGCTTTTACTGTGTCATTTTACACTGCAATTGCAATTGACAGCTTTTGAAGGACAATACTCTTTTAATAAGTGTAACTAAAACTGGCCAGGAACATTTATACAAGATTGTGAGAGACTCAATAATGTCAATGGCGCTATTAACAGTGTTGACATGGGATTGAACTCTCGGTAAAAGGAGTCTCCATTAATCAATACAAGTGCTCTGTAGCAATCTTGACAATTTAATTTGACAGTGTTTTTCTAACTTATTTATCGTTAATTTAAAATTGTGCAAAATCAAATTAATTCTAACTGCTATTTGATTTCTCCAAACAGGGCCCGCACCGAGAATTTTAAAGTGGGGGGGGCCAAGGCGAAAAATGTTGGGGGCCAAGGCTTCTTACCCCTTTAATTGCAGTTTTAAAACTACTTGCTTCACAAAAAAGTGGGGGACATGGCCACCCCGGCCCCCCCCCCCCAGTAGCGTGGGCCCTGCCAAATGTTTGCTTACAAACAAGAACTGTTGCATGCATCTCTATTTTCACGAGTTTAACTTTATGGTTATTTGACATCATAAATGTCATACATTATATTCACCCATTGGTGCATTCTAAGTCCCATACAACAGTAATGTTCTATAGGCATCGAATACTATAAAACATATCAACTTAGAAACGCGTGTACAACGCTGCCTAGATGTTACATTGAGCACTTTAGAGCAGACTATCAAACTGTAACCTTTATAAGATAATCTATACATGAGTAATATCTCTCATGATGTAAATGATAGAGTCATAGCAGTAGAATAATATACCTTGAGTGTTTTAATTGTCAGCTTACTGTTAGCATTCACAACTGCTATTGCATAATAAGCCGTTTCTGATTCGGAGCTGGTATTAAGTTGCTCAGAAACTATCACTGAAAGATTATGTTCCATCCCTGTAAAAGGCGAAGAGGAAAAATACAAAGTCAAGAAAATAAGGACGCATTAGCCAGAGACAGGAAACCTGCGGCCCGTAGGCCAATTCTAGTCCGTGAGAATGTTTGTGAGAATGAAAATTTTGGTTGCCTGTGTTCGATCAGAATGTTTATAGAAGAGGGTTAGCTAAAAATCCAAAGAATAAAATATCTTATGTACGATGTATTATCTTGATATAAATGCGCATTGTGCATTCCCTTTTAGAAGCACAGCCTCAGTTTGTTGTTTTGATTGTCTAGTCTATCAGGTTGATACATGAAAGTGAAGTTACAACTGTTTGCAGCATTGAATTACAACTTTTGGATTATAATCTTATACTATGAAACATAAACAATCTTTGATCCTGTCTAAGCTTCCCCAAGAAGGGCAGCAAGAACAACATTGAGATTAGAAACACCAATTTTCTGACTCTAGACAAAAAAATTGCACTGATAGCACAAAAGTGCTAAATTTGCTTTATGATCTTTGTTAGAGTGTTTGATGTTTAAAGAGCATGGTTCCGAGTCTAGAGTGATTCCACGTCGCTAGTCTCCAAGATTTTTCTATCGCCCTTTTCATGACAGCATCCCGTCCAGGAGAATTCCTTAAACCAGATCATACAGCAATATCAAAAAATGTGAATCTGTTTCTCTGCTGCAAAAAACATATATGATACCGGGCCTCAACATTGAATTCGAAGAATTATAATTGACGTCATCTCACTTAAGTGCATTTACTTGATATATGAAAAAGTATTGATTATAGGACAGGGTAAATTGGAGGCTACTCCCCTGCTTTGAGTGCATTTAAGATAATCAACACATACTGAAGGGGCTTAAGCTATCTTTCAATAAAAAAATGAACAATCAGTGAGCGCTATTCCACTCACACGCTCATTGATTGGCTAATATCAATTAACAGATGATTTCAGCCACTATTACATCTGTTGATTGCCTTTAAAGATTTTCCTTCAAAAGCAGCTCCCTATGATCATTGAAATATTTACAAATTGAGAAAGCGTATACCTGCATGATAAATTGAACCTCCATCAAACATTCCGATGTCAGCCTGCTTTGCAGCAATCTTTGTGTAGCAATCTTTTTCACTCGACCCTTGGAGGCAGTATATTGGGTTACCAGGAGTACCGGTCTTTATTTTATTGCACTGGTCCAAGGCATCCTTCGATGTAACGCACCACTTTGCTGTGTGGGAATAAATTCGGAACAATGGCATACAAAAGGAGTCTTTGCTAAATAAATGCAACTTTACATTTAAAAACAAATCAAGAAGCATATCAGGTAATATAATATCACACTACCATACTAGTGGTAATGATAAAACATACCTGATATAATAATCTCACGATAAAAATCTAATAACATGATTGAACAACTAAAATGAATATCAGCATATATGGCATATTAGTCACCATGGTCCAAGCTCAAGAAATTAGTAATAAACATCATATGGTTTAATTATAACAGGAACATACAAAATTGCTGCCGATGGACACAGATATTTTGTGAGATCATTTAATGATATATGCTAACAGAGAAATCGGAAAGAAAGAAACAACTCTTCCTTGAACCAACGCGCACTCACCGCAATGGTCCAAAGCTGAAATGTCGTTGATGTACTTTTGGTCCAGGTATTTGTCGTAAGACTGGTTGGCTGTTGCCACAACTTCCAACCCAATGGTGTTTTTCGAAAACAGTGTTCCGTCATACTTGAGAGAAGAACCGGTTTTCTCTTGAAGCTTGGTGTCAATTTCTTTCAACAGGCTCTGATAGCTAGCTATTGGCGCATCTACACGCGCTAAAACCGCGTGTGAAGAGACACGGGCCAAGTTGCAGGAAGCGAAATCCTTTGGATCTACAATGTAAAATGAGGTTAGAATAAACAATTCACAAGATTCAAAGATTTTTTCAGGAGTGGCACTACACAAAAACAGCAAATACGCCATATAAACTTTTTATTGCGTTGTCTATCCCAAACGAGGCCAAAAATACCCCAAACAAAGACTTCTCGAAACTTAAAGTCAATTATGACAACATCAATTTTGTGACAACATATCTACTGTCACCTGTGTTCTGGCAACACCAAGTTTTACTCGTAGTAATCTGGAATCTAGATAACTCCTGGAGGCAAATCATTCGTACCTTTAACTGTTCCATCTAGACAAAGCAGTTTGTATTTTGCTTGCTCCGAAGTTGAAAGAGACGTGACAATTGATGCTTTAATGAATGCAACATCTCCTCCGCCATCTTTAAGGCACTTGAATGCTCCATCGTAAGAGTAATACGGCTCTTTGCTACTTCTTGAGCACTTGTCAGCTCCACTTCCAGAACAAAGTGCGCACAGCTTGTCTTTGCCTGTTAAATCTGGATTGTACTTCTTATCATTTGCACCTGCAAAAGTTTAGATTATCCGTCTCGTTCCTTTTTCACACAATTACTGAACGATACACTTCAACAAACATTATTTGGCATACTGACGTCGCAACACGAATTACAACATACAAATTCAAAGCTAAATCAATTTTATCCTTAGCTAGTAATGAAACTTCAAAATCAACAAACAGTACCCTTGGTACATGAGCAATATAAATTCAATCGCGGAAATAGAAGAGGTCCTCCGCTTCTCCACTTGGCTTTCTGTTTACGTGCTCGAAATTCTCTGGCACCCAGGGTACACAAGCAGTCACTTGAAGAAAATCTGACAAAACATGAACATTATTTGATAACTAGTTCTACAAGATTTGATTAACACCTTGAGAAGTTTGTTTAAGCGCTCTAGATTTCAACGTAATCTTTCATGTGATAGACAAATAATGATATGGCATCCTTACCTGGTGCACAGCTTTGACTGAAATAATTAGACACTGAAGCGTATTGGTTGCAGGACACCCAGCTCATGATTTTCTTCGACAAAAGTGCCCCGACTGGTATCAGCCAGCCAGATGTTTTCTGTACTCCTGTGTGACAAGACTTCTTTCCCTGTCAAAAGTTGAAAACAGAATATGGCAGTTCTTAGTCAAAAGACCGAGAAAATTTTGGAAAATAGGTAAAAATAACTATTGCAGAAATGAAAACAAAGGGCATGTCCTGGGTTTCCAGAGTATTCATTGGATAGTCTCAGCTATATTTACTTGCAGGTATAAAATACCGTATCCCCGCGAAATTACTGAATAACTTTCCTTTTCATTTGCTAAATATTCCCTACTCAACATCCCAGGTGAAACAACAAATAGAAGGGAATTCGTTTACCTTGAGATTGTTGATGTCCAATCCACTACCAGCCTTCACCACAGCTACTGCATAATAGGCAGTGGCTGCGCTGGCGACCCCACTAAGTTTTTCCGCCATGATTGCTTTCAGGTCGTGGTCTTTTCCTAAAAAGCAACAAAACCGGATGCACCATAAACAAAGAGCAAAGAACATGTTAAATAGGGGGTGGGTGACAAAAACATGACTTTAACTTCATACGGCATGAAATTAAGTGATCAGTTTACAATGAGAGGGTGTTTGCTACTGAGATTGGGGCTGGGGTGTTGCGCCGCTCTCTTTGTTGAAGCCCCAACAAACAAAAACATCCCTATAAACAACAACTCTTGTTTAACAATGTATGGAAATTTATAGGTTTGAACAAACACTTCACAAAATTCATTTGTCGTTTGTTAAAGCGGGATTCTAAGAAAGAAAGATATTTCAAAAGTATTATTTACTCGAATGAGTAGGTTATCTTGTTTTCGGGGAACAGCGCTTCTTTTGCAAGTAGCCGGTGTTCTCTTATTGGTGAAATATATATCAACGGTGAAATTTAAATATGTATGGACATTTAGATATTATGAAATTTAGATATGTATGGAAGGCCAGAAATGTATGGACATGTATATCATGGATATTAGTTTTTGTGAATGAAGTGTCATTTTGAAAAGCGGGAATATGGTATATATTTTATTTATCAAGACAAGACAGGTAAAAGAGGCTGACTCAAATAATGGAAATGGCTTTAGGATAAAGGATAAAGAGAAGATAAGACGTGAATGACAACTGTGATTTAAAAAATGAATATGAAATATAGCTACATAAAACCATGAAAAAAGTATTTAATGTTAAAATGATTATTTGCTCCTTACAGAAGTACCGACAAGCAAGGAATTCACTTTGCATAGAAAAAATTTATCTTTAAGATAACATCTACAAAAGGCTTTTTGTGGGTGTGCATTTTGCATATAGCTACACTGACAGTTGGGATTCATCTGTTATGAAACTCAGCTTAATAACCGCATAACAGAAATTATGCCAAGATTCTACACAGCTTCCTTCTTGATTTTTATCGTTAATATAAAGGCACCGAGTCACGATAAAAGGCGAGAGTTTACCCAAGTAAACCGAATGTGTAAATGCTGCAACATTAATAGTGGATCCATGAAGTTATATCGTAGTGGTTTCGAAAACACTCCAAAATCACATGAAATTTCAGGGAAAACATGAAAGCAAAGAACTCTCTCTAGGAGACGCGTAGTTGCAATCAAGTTCTTAAGTGTGATGTCACAAAACACCATTCATAGAAAATAACTCCGATGAGAGAAACATGTTGGGTGACTAATGGCCACAAAAAAAACTTGAAGTTTGCTAACGGATTGTTGTTATTTTGGCTTGGTTCATAAAGAGACCAAATTTCAGCGATTTGAATTGGAAAGAGCCTATGTAAGAAATTGTATGGTATGACGTACTCTTTGATATAGTTGTTGCTGTTGAAGCACAAGTTACTTAGTGTACACGTTGAAATAAGCGATAGAAATTAGATTTGAATTGAACGAGATTAGAGAAGACATCTAATTAGAACGGATCGAAATTGCAATCTAAGCTAGAATTTACGTTAAGATTTATCGAAGTTATATAGCCCTCTATTGGAATTAGAATTGGAGCCTTAACAACAAATCGTTGTCTTTCTTATCCATTATCTGTAGTACTGAACTTGAGTCACCAGCATATGGCAATTTCACACAGCTTATGTGTTCAGCAAATTTGCGACACATCTGGTGTTCCGCCAGGTCATTTGTACAAAATGCTAAAATTCTAAAAATAGCTTTACATGACTTCATCATTTTGCTACTCTTTGCCTTCGACTCCCAAATATAATCACTGCTAACTTCTTCGACAATTGTCCTCCGAACATTACTTACTTTCGTCTTCTACCTAACCATATGACTGTCAAAAATGCGCAATATGGTTTCTTTAAAATTTGAAAGAAAGAATGCTTAAACAGAAATTAAAACCATATATAACGACGCTAATTTTTAGATAATAGTAACGATATGTGAAATACTTAAAACATTAAATATAATTAGTCTTAAACAAATATTACATCTCAAGTACGAAAGTAAAACCTATTTGCACTGGAAGGCATTAAGCTTCCAGTTGGTGGGAATTTTCTTTTTTTTATTTTTCTTTTTAATTTCGAATTCTTTTCTTTTTTTATTTTAATGTTTAATCTTCCTTCTTAAATTCTCTGATGTTTTCAGACACTTGGATTACGACAGCCAAATGGTACTTGTTTGGGCCAAAATGCTTCAAGTTTCAACGAGATTCCATGACAAGGAAACAAATAATTTTCGATTTACATTAGTTGGACAAATACGGCATTGTACATTTAAGCAAACTTTGTCTTGAATTTCTGTGAAGACAGATGGCATTTTCATTTTAAGCAAGGCTTCCAGAAGGAGAGGCTTCAGATATCTTAATTTGATATTCAGATACCGAGATGCACTTTCGTGGCTACTGCTAATACGTCATACCCTGAAAAACAGTTCATTTTTCGTCGTCAATCGTTTTATTCGTAATGGTACTCAAGAATAAGGAAGGATTTGGTTTTTCATTTTTAGCAAGGCTTCCAGAAGGAGAGGCTTCAGATATCTTAATTAGATTTTTAGATACTGAGTTGCACTTTCGTGGCTACTGCTAATACGTCATACCCTGAAAAACAGTTCGTTTTTTGTCGTCATTGGTTTTATTCGTAATGGTGCTCAAAAATAAGGAAGGATTTGGTTTTTCATTTTTAGCAAGGCTTCCAGAAGGAAAGGCTTCAGATATCTCAATTTGATATTCAGATACTGAGTTGCACTTTCGTGGCTACTGCTAGTACGTCATACCCTGAAAAACAGTTCAATTTTTTGTCGTCATTGGTTTTATTCGTAATGGTACTCAAGAATAAGGAAGGATTTGGTTTTTCATTTTTAGCAAGGCTTCCAGAAGGAGAGGCTTCAGATATCTTAATTTGATATTCAGATACTTAGAGGCACTTTCGTGGCTACTGCTAATAGGTCATACCCTGAAAAACAGTTCATTTTTTGTCGTCATTGGTTTTATTGGTAATGGTGCTCAAGGATAAGGAAGGATTTGGTCCTTTCTTCTTCAGTTTCCTCTGAAGTAGCCCTTTGAAAAAGTAAACCAGCGGGTCCAATAACGGATTGAGCAGAATCGTTTTGAATTTAAGGATCGGTCTTCTAGAAATGAGCCGTGCGACAGCGTATGGATAGGAGCAAATGGTAAAGGCAACCACAACTAAAATGCATGTTATCGTCACGGCAAATTCATCGCCTCGCGACTGGCTTTCACTGTGCCGCATTTGCCTCATTTTCGCAGCTCGCCTCGTAACAGTGAAAACAATAATTCCATATATAATTATAATAGCAAAGCCTGAAGAAAAAAGTAACCCAGAGAAAATGTACATGGCCGTAAACCAAGCGGCATCCGAATTATCCGCGGGAGCGGCGAAACGGTTTGCGTATGAAATGACAGATAATGCAATACCACCGACCCATGCAGCCGCTATAAGCGTGTTTATTGTACGAGAGGTCATCCATCCAGCGTGTTTTAAAGGATATTTGACTGCTAACAATCGGTCAACTCCAAGAACGATAATATTTGTCACCGAAGACATGACGGCAAATATTTCGAGCGGAAACTGTACTAAGTCCCGCGCGAAGTGGCCATACATCGACTCATCATGCACCAGTTGGTAAAATGCTTGACAAAGGTATAACAGAGAAACGAGCATGTCGGCAACACATAAGCTGAGAAGTGTTCTCTCAAAATTCAGGATTTTCTTTTTGCGAATAATAATAACCATTTCGACCCCATTCAGCAGCACAGCCAGCAAGCAAACAGTAGCATTGCCTGGGTTAAAAGGCAGGATACCATGCTTGAATTCAGGAGGCGTTTCGTTCGTTAGATTCGTCTTGTTGAACATCGGTGCCTACTTTCTGGTTTTCAAGTCACCTATTTTCTGGTTTTCTTGCCTGTGCAGCTTAGGCCTGTTATCCGGTGTTAGTATCATAGATTTGTATTTTGCAAAGATGATTGTTATCTCACAAATCCTTTGACAATATTATTGTACTTTCAAGAGACAAGCAGTTTTGTTGCCATTCTGTTGTTGTTGACGGGCTTTTACGCCTCAGTGCAAAAATTTGAATTGAATCATCCGCGTATCGGTACCTCAGCTCGAGCAGAGATAATAGCCCTCAGTAAATAGTATATTCATTCTCTTTTATTGAACATTGTTATCATAAAGGCCATTGCAATCCAACAGATCCTAGTTTTTGTCATTTGTTTACGAGAGTTAAAGTAGAAACTTCTTGCTTTCAATTAAAATGATTTTTGCACGCACAAATATAAACAAGAAAATTTGAATAAGACCAGTAAATTTAGGAAAATAGAGAAACGATAAAAAGACTGAGTAAAAGAATGTTTGTTGCCACCCAAACAGAACTAGTAGCTTTCCCTCTTTATGCTCCCCGCTTTTCCTTAATACACTCCTTCTTAGAGGCTCTATAATACTTTTAGGGAAGTTTCGTGCAAGAACACCACAACCATCGCTCTCTAGCACCAATTTCGACTCCAGTATTCTCAACTATTGAATCTCAAAATAAATTACAATCATAAATTGAAAAAGTCAATGTCAGTGGCTAAAGATAGGGACTTTTTGTAAAAACGATTTTATTTAGAAAAATGGTTTTTTCCAAAATGCTCTGTACTATTCTGTGCTCGTGTGGCGGACTATATGTCGAAATTACACCGACAAAGCAAATAATTGGGCGAGAAGCTCGAGCAGTAAGATGAGAGTTAAAATTTAACCAGCTCACAACCTTTGAAATCTTGGTTTCAGATGGCCACCCTTTTTAAATGGATTTTTAAAATGAACATTATTATTTCTCATGAGGTTGATATTTAGTCCTCAGAAAGAATGAAAAACCAGAAATTTTACCAGACGTAATGATCCAAAGAGAAGTGTTATCAGGGTTGCCAACTTGGCTTTTTTCAAGCCAAATATGTCAATTTTGGCTTTTTTAAATGCTGTTTGGATTTGGAAAAATAGTTTGGCTTTTTGGCTTAATTTTGGCTTTTTTATGTCCAAGAAAACAATTTCCAATATTCTCAATATTTTCAATATTCTCAATATTTTCAATATTCTCAATATTTTCAATATTCTCAAAAACAATATTCTCAATTTTCCTATTTCCATAACTTGGGGAAACGGCTTTCAAGAGGTAGGAAACCTGCCCCCCTCCACCGGAATATTTTTAATAGCAACAAGACATCATTTCAAAAGCGTCGTTCAATCAACTTTCTTTGTAACAATAATATTTTTAAAACAATACAATGCAGTCTGCGCCCTGGCTAAATTTTTTTTGATTGAATTTACACGATACGGCTCTCGAGGCAATCCACCAAATTAAATGAATTTGGCTTCTTAGATATTTAATTGGCTTTTTTGGCTTTTTATTGGCTTTTTTGGAGCAGAACAAATTTGGCTTATTTTGGCTTTTTTCGGACAACGATTTGGCTTAAAACTTACGCATGCGCCTGGCAACCCTGAGTGTTATCAAAACATTTGAGCCAATTCCCAGTGCAAAAAGTGTATCGCATTTGTCCCAGCTTCAAGACAAGAGGTGCTAATCATTAGCTGATTCGGTGGACCAAATTACTTTCCACTTAGCAATCTGTGCTTTCGTTAAATGTTTAAACATATCAGCTGAAAAACAAAACGTTCAAATGGTGTTGCTGGGGACCCTATTTTTTCTGGGGTTTCCTTGCAAATGCACAAATGGGCAAAATCTCTCCTGATATGTAACCAGGAACCTTGTCTAGAGTTTCATCTATACCAAAAGACGAAATATTTAACAGCCACAGGGCCACTAAACTTTTTCTCACAACTTTCGTGCATTTGTTTGTCATGTCACCCGTATATACTGAAAATCAGACTGAACTGTCCTAGTCTTCGTTAAAACTTTCGATTCTTGTTGCAATGTTAACTGTAATGGACTGAAATGAAACTTCAATGATGAAACACAAGAATATTGTTTATTTTAGTACTTAATGTCATTTACCTGCATGGTAAATCATTCCTCCATCAAATACTCCAAAATCTGCTTCCTTCGATGCAATTTTCTTGTAACAGTCTTTTTCATCTTGTCCCACCACACACGAAAACTTTTTATTCAGCTGGCCAGCAAGTGTTTCACATTTGTTTTTTCCTTCTTGGGATGTGACACACCATTTTGGATTTTGACACAAAGCTGCCAGAAAAATAATAGAATGGCTTTGAAAAAAGCAAACATTTTACAACATACTTAAAGCTTTTTCGTCTGACACTCCTCAGAGCATAAAACGTCAGAATAGGTTCCGAAAAAACACGTTTGAAAAATATATACCCAGTTGTGGATCGAAACAGGCCAATCAGAAAAACGCAAGCACAAGACCGGTATAGTTGACCAATCAGTGCCGCGAGCCTAAAGAAAAATTACCAATGGAGTCCAAGAGAGAAAACGATCTCCTTTTGTCTACACAATGGCGGCTTTTTCGTTTTTATGTAGATTGACTCCAAAACTGCTAGATGGAAGGACGACCGGGCTCTGCCAATTATCCGAAACATGTCTTCATTATAGAGTTTTGCACAATCTGGGTTGTCTAAAAGATGTTGACCAATGGCAGAATCACTTGTTTTAACAGTGTTTCTAGACCTACAAGATCGAGGAGGCTGTTCTCTTGAGGGGCAGTTTTGTTTCGTATGTTGGAAGGAACATGCTGTTTTATCCTATCCCCCAATCTTTGGGTTGTGCGCCCTACGTAGCCAGAATCACACTGGCACGTAAATTCATAAATGACGGAACTTTTTTGTTTGGTAGGGACGCAATCCTTTTGAATGGATGGAAGGGCTCTCCTAGTGTTGTAAACAATCCGAGGATTGACAGCAAAGAAACAATTGGTTATGGCTTGCCTAATCTGACTCTCGAATCGCAAGGAAGTGTTACCAATCCATGGTAGTTTCAAATAAACTGGGCACTTTTGCGGACCAAACTTTTGAACAGCCAAAAAACTTGCGATCTTCTCCTTAGTATAAGATAAAATGACGTCTTCAGGATAGCCGTTGTCCAAGAAGATCGTTTTGAGTTTTTCCAGTTCAGCGTGCAGTTTAGATTTCGAGCAGATCATAAGTGCCCTATGTACTAATGTTTTGACAAGGTTGACTTTGCGTTGTTTTGGCAAAATGAATTCCAGCGTATGTACTGACCGGTAAAAGTAGGCTTGCGATATACACTGGTAAGAAATCCAGTGTTAGACTTTTCGACCAAAACATCTAAAAATAATAGAAATTCGATAAAAATGTCATAGGCTAAAAGGACACAGCCAGACCTTTGTACCATCCTTCTAAGATTTGTACAAGAAGCAGGCAATAGATGTCTACTGCCCTCGTTTGTTTTATAATTAACAGTATACAAAAGTTAGGTAGCCGTTAACATTAAGAAATCTTCTAAAAGTAATGGTGGGAAAATTACAGTTCTAATACGCTTACGCTCAGTCACTTCAATTTTGGTTATATTTTCAGATATCTAATAATCCCCCCCAAATAAACCTACAATCCCACAAACATTTCGTTCTAAAGGTTTATTCAGGAGCAAATGTTAGTAGCTTTGCCTGCCAAACCATGTAAAACAAGGCCCAGTCAATTTAGGCAACCAGTTATGTGTAGATCAACAAAAAATCACGAAATCAAAAGTTATGTGCTCAACTTTGCCTACAAATCACGCAAATACTCTTTAGCTTTGTTTTGTTTTCTGCAAAAACGCTCAATTTGTTATTTGCACAGGCATCATTAACTTGCTTTGCTTTCAAGATTGCCAAATCATTCCCTTTTCATAACAAAGAGCTGGTTACTTAAGCTGTTGAATCTTAAGAGATTCTCATTCTCGAGTGGCACAGGTTATTTAGCTACGAACAAGTTGTACCACAGGTATGCTGAATCACAGCATTGAAGTGGGGGCTGCGGGGTGCCTGCGGGAAACATACAGGGTGCGTGTGGTAATTTTTAAAACCTCTTGTCGGTAACATACAGGGTGCGTGTCGGTAATTTCTTGGCTTTGAAGGTGAAATAAACATATTATGCAGTTTAGTAATAAAAGACACTGCAATGATACAAATGTATGCAGCTAGGTTTTATCATAGAAATTTATGCACTGTGAAGAAATATTCAAAAAGATCTTGTTGATAACTTTCCTTTTCCACACCTTTCACGCTGCCACACTTTGATATGCTATATGCCGTATTAAAAAAACAGTTCTGGAGTCAATGCAGGCACCGCGGAGCGTTGAGAAAAGTTGGGGGTCGAGAAAAGTGGGAGGGGGCTAAAACCGCATAAAGGATGCTTAACTGGTAGTTTGTTACTTAATATTTGGCAGCTTTTGCAAAAAGTGGGGGCTAAAGCCCCCCGCCCCCAAGCCCTCCTGCTCCACGGTGCCTGCAATGTTGTGTTCAAGGTAGCTAGGGGCCGAGTAGAAGACCTTCTAAACATTTCTCAGTTATTAGACTACTCGTGTTCTCTCACCACTCAGACGGCGCTACCTCCTCCCCCTTAATAGTTCATGTTGCTACTACAAACAAATAAAATATTGTAGTATCAGCCGTTTACCATATTGGCCTGAGCCTGAGTTGAATTTGTCTATGAAACAAGAGGTCTTAAAAATTTTGACTAAACTGATTTTTAATAACTTGCTGTAGGTTGATTGGTACCTGCAAGGGTATTGTTTCCAAAAAATGTTCGCCTATTTTGGAAAAACATGCTCTGAAAAGCCGTAAAAAACGTGTTTTTGTAATAAGACAAAGGAAATATTCCCTTGCCAGTGTGGGTTTGTTATTTGTTGGGGAAACGAAGAGGCAACCCTCCATCCTGGAATGAAAGGGTACACTCTTCTTTTATAAGAGCAATTGTATAAGAACACGAGTCTCAAAATTGGACAAAAGTTAAAAACAAATTAAGAACAAGCTGAGGCTGGGCTACTGTAAAATGAAAAATTTTGCACATTTTATCTCAAAAACGAGGATTTTTAGCCATGTGTGGGTGCTTTTTCGGTGAATATTCAAAATTGTCGGCAAATGAAGGTTGTCTCACTCACTTTGTTGGCAAATGAGGCCTGAACACTTCCCTAGAGCGAAAAACCTAGCAATCGCACTGCTTACACCCTCTTAATTTAAGAACAAATTAAGAACAATCCAGCCTTAGATTTTCGAAAAAATTAAGAACAGTCAGCCTGAACTTAAATTTACTGGTTCTTATAAAAAAAAGTGTATGCGCATGGAACGAAACGAATCACTATTACGCAGTCACTTTTGATTCCAGGTCGGAGGGTTGCCTCACAGATTAGAAGATTTTCGCTCGTTCTTCTCCCCAACAGCAATTAATTTCGCTCGCTCATTTCATTACGAAACGAATATTTCAAAACAATGCAAAGAAAAAATTATGCAAAACATTTTACACCAGCAGCGGAAATCGAACTTTACAGGTGCACTGGCAGATTACAGGTGTGTAACAGTATCATCAGAATTAAAAAATGAAGATTCTGATTCATTTCAAACAGTTTATCTCCTGATTTCTTGCTAGAATCGACACAACTGTTAAATACTTCCTCGACCATTCAATAATGTTTTCTTTCATCACAACACTTTTTTCAAAATTAATATCGATTGTTCCTTGAGGGGTCCATCTTGTGTTGCTCTTGTGACTGAATGTAACTGTTATTCTTGTTCTCGAAGGCATGTTTAAATGAAATCACTCCGCAATTAGGCCGACAAAAATGAGCTTAAAGCCGCAGTTTTTCTTACAATGTTAAAATGTAACTCTTCCAATTCGTTTGCAAGTAGAATTAAGGCCATTAGGGGCCGATTATGAAATTTTTGTACGGGTTTTGTTTATGCTAAATAAAAGTACACAACAAATAATTCGCTTCTTTTACCGGGAAAATGCACTTGCACGTTGTATGGCCAATAAAGGCAACGGATACAGAGTGCCACTCGTGCCGCTTCGCTGGGCAAAAAATAATAGTGCGGGCCTAGCATTTCAACAACGTGCTACGCAGATAACCTGTCAGTCAAAATACCCCAAATCCTCGAATGAGCCCCCCCTTCGAATAAGCCCCCACCTAAAAATCATGTTTACAGATAAGCAACCCCCCCCCCATGGAGGCATATTCGAGGGAAGCATAATTGCAGAATAATATCTTATTTCAAGAAAGCCCCTACAGAACAATAGCTATACAGTATTATTTCCTTAAATTTGAGACCAAAAAGCAAAATAGCGACTTTTGTGATGATAAAAATTATAATATTTGCTAAATCTTCACACAGCACTTTGTAACTCTTTTAATGATACCAGTTGTTGTAATTAGAAGCTCAAAATGCTCATGTTTTTATTTTCTTCCATTCAATTTTCCATTTCTATTCATTTATTTCATTGAGAAAATTATGTAATTTTTACGTCAACCTTTGAGGAAAATACTCAACTTTTAAATATGCCCTTCCTTCGAATAAGCCCCCTCCTCTCGAATATGCCCCCACCCAAAAATTAATTTTTGCAAATAAACCCCCGAAGCCTTATTCGAGGATTTACGGTGCTTGGAAATCATGATGCACCTGCTAAACTTGACAACAAGGAAAAAGATGCCGTGTCACATTTCGTTGAATCAATTTTGTCTATGACGCATCTGCTGTGCTGATCAATCCGAATCAAGAGCGTAAGAGGTAGGGGGCTAAGGGCTGAGGGGCTGCAAACCTCTAGAGTTGAAAGCTTTCAAAGTTAATAGTTATATGTGGGCATAACTATCGCCAATATATGGGCAAAGGTTTCTTAGATACATTAAGCCACAACTTTTTGTTTCTTCGCTTGCATGCCAAATTCTGGAATGAATAAATAAAAGGCGAGTAATAGGTAAAAGATGTCATCACTCAATAATAAAATTCGCGTATTCGGTGGGACTGGGCACAAAAAGCAATTTACCATATTATCGGAAGAAACCTGAAATCGGAAGCATATGCATTGAGGGAAGCCGGAAGAAAATGATCCTCATGAAAGACATTGCCAGGTGTAGGATGCCAATTGCCGAAATCCTTTTTTCCGGAAGCGGAATATTGTAATTCGCTATTCAGAGCGACCAGCTGGCTAACATACCCAGTTTTGTCTATCTTTATCCGCCTTTGTCATTTCTCAAAAGAATATTCAAAGATTGTTTGCATTCCCTGGGAACGACTTGATAAAAACTACTTGTTGCCATTTGAATCTGTCTTACCATTCTGCTCAATTCATACTACATATCCGTTTTGGGTAGCCCAATAACCAGCTTGCTTATTTCTTTAGAATAACGGGCTGGTTATCATGCTACGTTTTAGGAGCTCTTGAGCGACACCGCAACTAGCCTGCGCGCAGATTCGACTAGTTCTCCCAGATTCGACTAGTTCTCCCAGATGATGAATTTGCAATCAACTAGATTTATCTCTAGTAAAACCAGTCGAGTCTGCGCGCAGACTACACCGCAACACGCGTAAATTCAATACTCTAGTATCTCTAATAGACGCCCCGTGTATTAATTTCAGAAGAATTTGCCCTTCCCGTCGATTATTAGCACCCCCCCTCCCCCGCCCCTTCTATTAAATTTTACAAATCTGTCATGACCAGAACACGCAATTTTCACTATGCAAGTAATATGCAAGTATTTCATGGTGATCTTTTTTATTATGTGGCTAAAATTCAAAAATTTAAAAAAAAAATTTGGTGACGTCAGAACTCTATTAATCCTAAACTGTCTCATACAATGGTAGCGTCAGCTTGCAACTAAAAAAGTGCGCTAATGCAACAACTCTCTGCGGCAAAAAATAACAACATTGACTTTTTTTCTTTCAACCCCCTGGAAAAAGCATACATTTGTCTGATACCCCCTGGAATATCCTTCGTGCCAGACCCCCTGGAATTTTACTTCCATCCTCATGTACAGATATCAAATGGAATAGCCCAATGCTGCCATTACGATTATGGCGATTAATAAATATAGCCTAAACATGGGATAAACAGTAAGGGAAACTACAATCGAGAAAGTTCATCGTGTATGAAAACCTTTTTAAAACAGAGGGACATTCTGTATTCTACTTCCAGTTTTAATGGGAACTCTTTTGACACCGTATGGACTTTCTATCATCACTTTTTTGACATTGTACCTTAAACTTTCTGTGTTGTCAAAAATTTAACCCTTGTGGTCATAAAACCTGGTGATCAGGAAGGAATGCCAGTGTAGACAAGAGGAGTTGATGTTCACACTCGGATTCTAGTGGCGGCACTGATAGAGGAACTTTTCAAGATGTGTACTCGCCTTTCTGATTGGCCTATTGTAATCGACCATTGAGTATAATTTCTTAGAAAAAAATTAACGGGGAGCAACACATGTTTTTCATATCACGACTAGCTCTCTGCTTTCTAACTTCCTTTTTGTTATATAAATTTTAAATGATAGTGTTACAGCTGATTTATCATTGCAGATCTTTTATCCCTGCACAGATTGGTTATTGTCGAGTCTTAGAATAAGTCAGGGCTAGCTCAGCTTAGTTTAAAATAAGCTTATTTCCTTTAGTAAAAGAAAAAAGTGCACAGCCTTTAAAAGTATTTCTTGTGGAACATCAGGAATGCAATTTTTTAGTGAACCTCGAAATAAGGTAAGAGCACATTTGATTAAATTTGATCCCACAGATTTTGACCCTGTTCTAAGTCAGACGGAGATAGACAATAAGAATTTCCGAACCAGACAAATACCACCGCTCTTGCCATTTCTGTCTCGATGACAGGTACCTACTGCAAGTTGATTTTCGAAAATAGGATTTTTTCTGGTTAATATTGGGCTATATTGCTAAACTGAAGTGCATCGAAGGCATTCTTTGATTGCGACAGCTTTGAAAATTGTGTAAACCACGTGTACAAGCACTGAAATTATCCTCTCATGTTATCGGCATGGCAAGTTGATTTGAAATAGCAAACAAGTCAAATAAACGAGAGATACTTACAAGGGCTGGCCAACAATGCAAAGGTAACAAGGGAGAATAACATAGCATTCATTTTCTGGTCTTCGCAAGAGCTGTCCTAGAACTGCGCTACTGGTCAACCGCCAACAAACAAGAATTTTATCGCTCCACCTGTTTACAGTCCAAATTATACCATCGCGGTTTTTGTCCGCATATCCAGTTGAAAGCCTTTGACCCCATGCACACGCTATGCGTCATACACTCAAGTTCCTCTTTTAGCCAGAAAAGGAGAGACAAGAGAATTTTAAGGGTTGAGAAAGCGAGATGATTTGATTATAGTAGCGCAAAGGTGGACATCAACGATTTAATTTGCCTTCCATTCTTAAGATCTTTGTGGCTGGTGCCGTCTCTTTCTCAACTTTAATAGATGTTAAACAAATCAAGGTAAGTTCCTTTTGTATGTTATGGTGCCAGGGGCGTCGCGACCGGGGGTGTGTGGGGGGTGTCACACCCCCCCCCCAATAGTATCTCGATAGGAAATTTCAGGTAAAATCCGCCCAGTGGAAGAAACCCTTTAGGTATTTCAGCGACCTTCATGTATCAACATCAATAAAGGATCAACCAAAGATAGATGCTCCTTTGGTAATTATGATACTTCTTGATATGAAGGAAGATAAAAAACTAATGACTTGAAGATTTGAATATTTCTTGTTGGCGCAAAAGCTAAAAATCCAGGCACTCTTTAGTTAAAATTGTGTCTTGTGTCCATTTCCCCTAAAAAGGCATGCTAAGATGGAAAGAGAGATCTAAATTGGCAACCAGTGCTCTTGTTACCTTGCTTTAGAAGTAACTGACAACATGGAATTTTTCAAAACCACGGCGAAATTGTACCAGTTGTTTTTATCTACTGTTCAATTTGTTTGCAAAAATAAAAGAATTTTCGGTAGGATTAGGAGGATTGCTTTAGTAAAAATTTACTGAAAAGAGTGCATTTTCCAAGGAACTGGAAGCATCAAAATTCGAAATTTTCTGCTCCTTCGGCGGCAACAGGTGCCGCCTCGGGTAGTTGCCCGTCCCGGTATACAGATTTGGCAAAACCATTAGGAAAGTCCCTTATTATCATGTTAAAATGAATGTTGTGAATTATATGCCACACAGTTAGATTGACAAAATGTATTGCAGAGGTTTGTGACAGCAACTTCTTAAAAATTTCAGGTAATTATTTTTTAATCAGGTAAATTTGTAGTCCACACCCCCCCCCCCCAACAAGGCTTGCTTCGCGACGGCCCTGTATGGTGCTGTGCTTGAGATTTACGTCCGATTAGCACTGAGGGTACACGATAAAAACTCACAATTGACACCACAGGTGACAGGGGTCGAAGCAGCTCCAGCTATTGCCCTTTCCCTTTCAGGGCAATTTCAAATATCACCCGATTCTTCTGTCTGTTAAAGAAAGAAAAGTAGGAAATGATATTCTCCAGATGGTATGATATGCAAGTGGAATGTCATTTCTTTGGAGGATAGATGTTCATTGTTCATGAGCTAGGGCGGAGGTGATATCACAGAATAGAAATTAGAATAGAATTCATTTCTATTCTGTGGTGATATGCAGTCAGGATTCAACCGCGCAGCAGTGGTCTTTTCACTATTTTTAGTCCATACCACAAACAAAGGGGAGGAGGGGAGAGACGTGATGATTCACTAGGACTTTCATGCATTTCTGGGCTGTTGGTTGTCATAGGGCTGGCTAGACTTCATGTAGCTTATTTCAGTTCTAAGTCCTAATCTTATCAGTTCTAATTTTATTCCATTCAGATAATGGCTTGGAGTAAAAACTAGTTTTCTGCTCAACTAGTCTTGGAGTAAAAAACTAGTTAACTTTTTTTTGTTTCTGCTCTTATTTTCCCTTCTGATGACTGAGTTAAAAAGGCAACCAACCATCGTTTAGGCTTTTTATGATTTACTTTTTAAAGAAGGACTATACGCTTCTCCATTTTACTGATTCTCATCCGTTACTTCTACAGCCTTTTCCGAGACCCTCCTTTCACACTTCTTGTAACTGCTAGGGCGACAGAACTTTTTTCTCCTCCCCTTTTTTTAGGCAAAAAACACCAACTCAACTTACGGCCTCATTTTGGAAATCTGTCCAAACTTCTTTTGTTTAATCACCATAATTTTAGGCCGGTTTTTTTTCAAAATGAGGCTGTAGGTGTATCGCCTTAGTCTAAACGAGGTCTTTAATTTGTAAATAAAATGAATGATATATTTAAGGAATCCTGTTACTTATAATTTCACAAACATTATGAAAGCTATAACCACTTTTCCGCAAAGCAAATAACATTCTTAAGCACGACAAAATTACATGTACATTACAAATTTTGCATGTACTTTGTCCTAAAATCTCAATATTACACTTTTTTCATACTTTCATTTCTAACTAGACATTCATAATGTTAATGCTAAATCTCCTTCCAAATAATTTTGCATTTTTTTCTCGAAATGGTAATTGGTACCAATAGCTCCACACATATTTCAAGAACCGATACCGATAGATAATTCCGTACTTATCAGAAAAAATTTTCCCCTAAATAATGGCACGTCCCCCGTACCTTCAAACATGTTAAGGTGCATGTATAAGATGCACCTTTGGTACCTAGGTGAAAAGGTAAGTGCTAGTTACAGTGAAAACAGCACTTTTCCTGACTTTTAGCGACAAAGTGATGAATAATTATATTTGCTACTGCGCCGATTGTATTTTAGCAAATGGTATGTGTCCTAAAAACTGTGTTTCCCCCAAGAAACTTAAGCAACTTTGTTGGATAAAGAAAAATTGACCAAAAGTGTTTTTTATAGTTCTATAAAATGTAGACATTAAATCAAACAAAATTTTTATTAATTTGTTTCATGTGTTGTAGAATGAAACGTTTGCCAAATATCCACCATTAAAGTAGTAATTTATGAAAACATTTAATCTATATCATTGCTCTTTTCACTATTTTATAAAAAATATATATATTAAATGCTTGTTCTTTCATTCAGTAATCGAATGAAAGTATCATCCTTAGTTTTACTGTACACTGATAAAATGGTTTCTTACAGTGATCAACAAGGAAAGTGTGCAGTAACTAGTAAATGTAGTCATGGTAGGAAAACTTTGACACTTTTTTGGACTTTGAAAAATATAATTGATAACCTGAACGTACCCAGAGAACCCGAAAGGGGTGGTAGGGGAGACAAATTGCCCCATGTCAAAGGGGCCTCGAAAAGTAGTGAGTTCCATTTTAGTAATGAAGTTAATCAATATTAGCAAAAATGTGTCTTAGAATAGTGAAATATTTAAAACAAATGCAAGAAAATGACTGGAATAGAAATTTTGAAAAGTGCTGTTCTTTTTTCTTTGCATTATTCTATTCAGTTTCATTGTCTTCTTCAGTGGATTTAGATATGCCTTTGAAAACCACTCTTGTTTGGCAGAATTCGATGGGAAGTTGAGCTAATTTTGTGACAGTTTATCCCATTAAGTTGAGAGTATTCTAGCACTCTAGGCTCTTGGTCTCTTCTAAGAGGTCACATTGGTGTCCTCTTTTTTGCATTACCTTTGTAAGAGGTTTCACGTTGCAGCTATTAATTAAAAGCGACCTCTTTCATTCTTTCAGTCTTTTGGAATCTTTCAGTATACTGTTTCTCCTTGCAGGCACCGCGCAGCCATTGGGCTAGCAGGGGCTATAGCCCAGCCACTTTTTTGCAATAATAGGCTAAACACTTTTTTTGAAGGTTTACCCTACTGCAACTTGGGATAGTTTACCCCTATGTAGTAGCAGTTCTCATTGACTGGGAACCATTTTTGTTTTTTTTCTAGGTGTTTCATCTTGTTTAATGATATAATATATTTTCTAACTCGGTTAGCTTGGTTTTTTATTACCCTCGAGCTAATTCTATCAATTTTTACAGTTATTGATATCTTCTCTGAACCAGACTGTTTATAAAAATTCAATAGAAATAAGCAAGTATTTTTTCTAAAAGGGGCGTTTTCCGGCGTTCAAGAGGGCGTGTTCTCAAAAATTTTCGGTCGCACCCATTTTGAGCCCCTCCTTGGACAAGGCTTTTTGTAAAGAATTAAATGTAGGCCATTTTATTTTAGAAATGGTACATGTACAAATCCTTGAAATGTTTTAATAGTGAATAGCGTAGCGAGGACGCTTAAAATGGATTGAGGTAAATGTGAAACAAATCCACCCTCATGTGTGTATTATACTTCGATACACCTTCCATTGTCTCTTGTTTTTTCTATTTGATCTGCTTCGTTTAAAACATTTGTTGGAGTCTGTAGAACAGTCCTTTTACCATTTTCATTATTCGCATATATAGCTGGGTGCTTATGCTTTTATCATGGGTGTTAAAACCGTTGTGGTATTGGTAAATGGAAATTCTTAGCATCTTATTTGAAACATTTTCTAACAAATTTACAACAACTATCGAAGGGTGTAAGTCAGAAAATTTAGTGTTGGAAATTGTACCTTATTACACGTAAATAACGCGATTAATGCAAATTGAGAATTCTGCGTTAAATAAAACCTCATTAATTTCATGTCCGCGTAGATTTCTCATCCCAAATTAAATGTGTAGCTTTAAACAAACATTCTTTCATTTCATTCCATTCTTTTTTATGTAGCTTTTGAAAACTACTGAAAAAAGCCAGATTCTACAATTTTATCTTAAATAAACAATTATATCTAAAAAAGCAAGATTTTAGAAAGCGTCCAAAATGGAAGGACCAGTTCTATTAGGTACAAAAGAAACTTAAAATACATTTCATAACATTTGAATGTCCTCATTATCCACTGTGTCCTCTGAAATCCCACATCTTCGTCATCAATTCCTAGCACTTTTCGAGTCATCAACATACTAGCCGGTCAGGGGATACTCGACCTCTTTCACTTTAGCCATTAAAGTTGGTAATTTTTCAGGCACATCCCAAGTGACTGATACCTTTATTGGAACATCCAATCCTCCTCGACTTGAAGTTTTTTGCTATTTGCGTAAATTTGTGACAGCATTAATTTGTTCCGCGTTATTTTTCGTGTAATAAGGTACTTTCTCATATCATTAAAGAAGTGTAATATTCCTTGGTGAGGATGATATGACGACAATATGATACGTTGTGAAATATGATACGATTTCGTTTCAATTCAAAATGCAAATCTTATAACTGTATTTTTGAAAAATGAGAAAAACCAAATTTGCACATTTTATCGGGGAAATCACAATGAAATAAACAAAGTCCAATTGACTTCCTAGTGGCACCACCTTAGTATTTTAACATTTGCACCACCAACAGTACCTTAGTTAAAAGGCCCATGTTGGCAAGTTTATAGCAATACTGCACAATACCATGCTTCCATGGCCGTACCAACTAGTAGAATAAGGGACTTTTCTTAAATTCCCCAGGATTTTGTTTTTGATAGCCCACCTCCCCAAATATTGAAGCGCTAGAATACAGAATAAACTTCGCAAAGAGACCATATAATACTTAAACTATCTATCATTACGTTTTGCCTTTTAAATCATTTAATTCTTAATTTCAGGTTCTCGTTCCGATCAGTGGCGGTTTTAAGGACTGCGGGGCCCGGGGCCAGAAATCTTTTTTCTTAGGTGTGAGACCCCTTTTGGCTACCATAAGCGCGGGGCCTGCTGCCATGGTCCCCCTGGACCCCCTTAAAACCGCAACTGGTTCCGATCGCCAACTCAGCCCCCCTATCGGAAGATCAAGCCCCTCCATTGGATAATTCCTCATGCCACCACCTGATATGGGAAATACACTGAAAGAAACTGTAGAGAAAACAACGACTGAAAACGACTTTGATCCTCTTTTGGAGGCTAAATAAAGCACAACTACAAAGTATCGGCTTTTTCAAAATAGAATGTAAGTTTGAATTTACTCTTATGACATTGTCGTCATGACGTCCTTCCATATTTTCATTAGCTGCAGTGCTCCAGCTTTGATATGGCATTGATGTACCCTGATCCAAGATAGCCTTCAAAAGACCGTTTGTCAAATGGTACATCATCCAAGCCAATGGCATATCGTGAAAACAAACGCCCATCAAAAACATTAATTTGTTTTCTCAACTTCGCTTCGTGGCCAAATTTTGTAACCAACTGATGAAGCATCCTTTGGTAGCTGGCGATTTCATCTTCAGTTGCATCTTTCCTCGTTAGCAAACCATGGGCCGGTGATCCAGCCATGTGGCACTGTCTGAAGTCTTTTGGATCTGGTGATATGTAGATAATTTACAAGGATTAATTTTTTTAACTTTGCTATGAGCATTTGCGATAGGTAAAAAAAGTTAAATAACACTATTCTGCACTGAGAACATTTGCTTATCAGATACCCTGGTAAAGATTACCCTGGGTACCAGACTCACTATATATGAAATAAAATATTATTTTATATAGTGAGTCTGGTACCCAGGGTAGGTAAAGATACACAACCCAAGAAACAGTATTTCCTTGTTATCATTTCTGTGACTTATATAACCTTGACAGTCAACACATTTAAAGATTTGTACATTCTAAAAGGGCCAAATGCATTTTACTAGTTGCCTACTTTGGCTGAAGGTGCTCTCTTACTTAGCCTTAGGATTTAAAGAGGCCCAGGCTGCCCAAAAAATCAAGGTTTCCTAAAATATCGAAGATGAAGTAAACTGTGCCGCTTGCCAAGCAGAAGTGGTGAAAAAGGAAAAGAGAAAGACAAGAAGAAAATAAGGAAAATGAAGAAGAAAAATGAGGCGGAGAGAAGAAGAAGAAGAAAGAAGAAAGATCTGAATGTTTACTTGTGTTGGAAAAAAGTAACTACACGTTTTCTATTTTCAAAGGGTCGAATTGCGGTTCACTGATGGTTGCTGTAAAGACTTAGAAGAATGCAAATGTTACCTTTCACCGTATCATCATTAGGGCAAAGAAGTTTATACTTTGCTTGCTCCTCTGGCTTCAATTTCATCAATATTGATTCTTTTATGAATGCTACATCTCCTGCTCCGTCTTTCATGCACTTGAATGCACCATGGTATCCATAGTAAGGCTCTTTAGATGTTCTGGAGCACTTGGCATCTCCCTCTCCGGAACAAACAGAGCACAGCTTTTCAGCTCCAGAGAGCGTTGGGTTGTATTTCGGCAGCTGTGCACCTTGAATAATATTATATTTAAAGTTGGTAAATTTTTTATGATTACTTTGTTGAACTTATTTCCATAAACATTATGAATAATACTCTGGTTTATCGCAACATGTTAAAATGTTTAAAACGAAGAGCATTCTAAAGAGTAATGTGCCACGTGTCATTTAATTGGGCCATATCAGTTTGAAAGGTTGTTTGTTGTTCTCTGGTATAAAAAAGAGGCCATTTTCATCAACCGTCTACTAGTATTGTATTTCACCAGCTGTCAGTATAGAGAAGTTATCTTGAATTAACAATCCAGATGACGGCAGAGATGCCTGCACAAGATTAGGGCAGGAGGGATAGTGTTGGTGCTGATGGCAAATCATAGAATTTTTCGAGGGTGGGGTAACATCATAAAATATTAACATGGATATGTGCCAACCATACAGCTGAGTTTTCCTACCATCAATGATTCTAAGCATAGAGAGAATGTTGACAAAAAATATCCATACATACAATGGATATTAAATGGCTTTGTCACTATACACAAAAAGTGGATTTATACACTCATGGCTGTTATAAATGGGCTGGTTGTAAAATTTTGATTTCCCGCAAAGTTTTAATACTGATTTATTCTTCTTTGGTTTCTGGAGTACTTGTGAGGGAAGTTTTTTGTTCATCTACTATTATCTTTGCCGCTCTACCTCTTGTGGCCCATTTTGTCACAGGCAAACATTTCAACCTTTGCGTTTTTTTGCTGGTATTACAATCTTTCTAATATATTCTAATAGAAATTAACATAACGAGAGTGGTCAAAGTGGTCATCAATTATCGATAAGATTCTACAATATTTCCTTCAGAAGAGGGCAGAAGGGGCTGCTTGCCCTCCAGGCCCCCGGTGTGGGCGCCACTGGATGACGGGAAATTTGTTAGAATGAAGTAGCAGTGGGACCTCTGAACAGACAGCAAGCCTACTTCACTCAAAGGTGCCAAAAACAGGTCAGTGGAGGCAACAACTTAGGAGACCTCTCAGAACTTCGAAATTTGCTTACCTGCCGCGCAACTACCACTGAAATACGCAGCAACGGACTTGGTTAGATCTCCATCCAGGCACGGCATCTGGCCGCTGCTAAGCAATGTTCCAACGGGTATGACCCAACCTGCAGTCCTCCAGATACCTGTATGACAAGACTTGGCACCCTAGAAATAGCAAGAAATGAGAAATACGTTTGCATCTCTTCTATAATTTTTCTTTGGTTCTCAAAACCGAGAGAAGTACACCATATGGCAAGTTAGAAAAGTTGGGAAACCAAACATATAATTTGTCATAAGAAACATGTGCAGCCAATTCAGCCTTGCCGCCATACGAGATATAACACGGTATTCTACTACACTTTTAACTAACGCTCCTCAAGCCTTAACACCCAATTTACGCCCAATTCAAACATGTCACATATCTCCATACATTTATCTTTCAAATTGCAAACATAAGGAAAGTTTTCTGTCATCAAATAATGCTACGAGTCATGAAGAGATGAATCTATCTAAATGCTGGAGGAGCTCCAAAAAATAGCATTATGCTTTCGCCTTTGAATTATTAATGCTCAAATATAGCAGGGTGGAGCCATAACAAATAAGGGAAATTCCCTTACAAAAACTTATCTAAAAACAATAGCAACAAAAAAGGGATGTTTCTCAGCATTAAAAGCGGGACTTAGCCCCCTCCCAACCCCAAAGACCCTCCAGATCCACTCCCCTGCACAAAAAAAGTTTCAAAAATCCGTACCTTTAGCTTACTGAATGTCAGGTTACTCGACTTTTTAACCACAGCGATCCCATAATACTTTGTGCCGGTATCTGCCAATTTTGTTAGTTTCTCCGACATGAATACCTTCAAACCGAATTCTTTTCCTATTGAAGGCATGATTAGGAAGTTGCATTACACGATCAATGAAACACAAAGATTCGCGATATTTTTGGAAAATGCAAAGGGAACTAACAGGCTGCTCTCGTGGCAGAGGGCGGTGACTTTTCACATATTTTTTTATTGCATTGCCACGACATTTAAGCAATGTAAAAAGATTCAATAATACTGCTTTCTGTAAGGATGATGTAAAGCTTCAAAAATTCATCTATTAAAACACAATTTCAGGTTGTAGACGTAATATGGATCCAGGAAGGATTTGCGTGGAAACTAGTCGTTCCTAGGTATGGAAGGAGACAATTTTTGTCAAATACTGGAATTGGGACCCTTGGAATCGTTACAAATTTTCTAGGCAAAGTATCAAAATGGTATATTTTAATGAGCAAAATGAAAGAATTGAAATACAGCCCTTCCTTTTCTTAGATATGTTGAATAAACCAGCAAGTCCGACACTCGAGTAATGTGAACCACTGACCCTGATCTGAGAGAAATATTGCGCAAATGGGTCTAGCTAGTAGCCACAAAGGACTTGGATTTCACAAAGGAATTCACTACACTCCAGTGTTTCGTATTGGAATATATCTTAGAAATAGTATAAAGGCCACAATGGTTGAATGTTTGCAAGCAAGCATATCTGTTTGCACGACCCCTATAACTCATTCAATAAGCAAGCATTGCGGATCATACCTGCATGGTAAATTGATCCACCATCAAAAGCAGAAAAATCAGCCAAGCCTTTAGAGATCTTTTCGTAGCAGTCCTTTTCGTCATTACCAAGAAGACACCGCAATGGTCTTTCGTTTTCTTTATTAATTTCTTTGCACTGATGGAATGCTTCAACTCCCTCAACACACCATACTGGCTTTCTTATAGCTGTAAAGAATCAACAACTTAAGCCAGTGCAAGCATTTTTATAAGAGACTAACCTCAACATACGTACTCGGTTCTTAAATTGTATTGCTGATTTTAGTACTGAAATAAAAAACCAAACTGGTAAAGAGCTACTTTTTAGATAAAAAATTATCGAAACTCGGGGTAACGAAAACACTTAAAATTTAGACGTAAGGAGAGCAAAAGCTCCAAATACTTGGTAATTGAACATGAAATGGGCACGTTATAGTCTAAAAAATTGTTTTAATTACAATTGTATTTCAATATTGGCAGCATTGCTTCAAGTGGTTGCTCGTGGTAGAAACGACTTGTGGGGCAAAAGAGGAATTACCAAGAACCTCTAGTGTGGGACCCTAGGCTAGTTATACTGCACCACGCTCTGTACTTAGCGAGAAGCAATACGCACTAGTTTAGGTATAGAGCAAGCGTGATAACTCGTGAAGTTTTTCAGCGCATTGCAGCAAGGCTCTGGTATGGCAAGAAAAAGTTAAGCTTGCATGATACCCATTTATTTGCTTGTTTAGTGCATTGAGCCATCTTTTTTGAACAATTTATCTTGAATCAACTTAGCACAAATTGTGGATTAGATAATTCCTTTCTAGCTTCGGTGGCATGAATCCAGTCTTCTGATCTTTACCAGGAAAATTGAAGAAAACGGCAAAACTATAACCTTAAGGAATTTTCTATAAAACTATTGATTTGTGTATTGTATTTTAAGGAAGCTTGTTTGAAACACAGTGGGAACACATTTATGAAGTTAGTTCTATTGACTTCTCTACTCTTCATTTGAATCCAAGAAATTGTTCAATCGTACTAGTTTCTGCTTCTTAATTATGAAAGCGTTTGTCGATTTTTTCAACTTTTACCTTAGCCAAATTTTTTATCAACATTTCTTGCTTGCTGTTTTTACTTTCACAATCTTCCATTGCATTCACGATTTCACAGCCCTTTCTGCATGTCAATTCAAATGTCTTTCTGCAATGTATCTCAATGCAGACTGGCACAATTAACATTAATGATGCTAAGCAAACTTAAACAGCTGCAAGCAAAGATAACTGGATGGCTAGAGAGACTGTCATTGCTTGGTGTAGTTTAGACATCACTATGACGTAAATTTAATTAAATTTGCCTGTAGGAAGAGGGATCCTGTTTCCTTTGAATGGCGCAGCAACATAATATCAACTGTGGTTGATATTTGAGTATCTTGAAAGGGAAGATGGGAACTCAGGTCTTAGCTTTGTAAGGGACCAGCAAAGCCAGGCAAGTAAATAATAGGGGGCGTGGGGGCGTGACGACCCCAAAGGTTGGAAAATCCAATTGTAGTTGGAAAACTTAAAAGTTCACTTGGAATTTTTTCTAACTATTATGATCAAATATATGAATTTTATAGCTTAGGATTTTGGGACTTTCAATGTAAAAATCGTTTTTAATTGTGAAGCCCTGTCTCCACTGGATCTCAAATTGCACCATTGCATCGTTTGTTTCCTTTTTTGACAGGGGTTAAGTTGAATTAGATTATTTTAAACAGGCAAGGTGAATTTCTGGATAAGAAGTTTAAATTTTACCGTCAGTATTGATTGACCCTGAAGTTTTGAAAAATCATTCCCTGTATCTGTTGATCGCAACAATTGAAAGTAGGAATTTTTTAAGAAACAACGGGTAGCCCATTCAATTGAAAACATTACAAATTTTTCATTGCTAGAAATTCTCAACGCTTCTTAACGGGTGTATGCTAAGCTCCCACTGCACTTTGTAGACCACCTTCAAATCTTATCATAAATTGTTATGATAATGGTGATGAGAAGCCACAAAACTTTGATCAAAGAAGCGGCAGCAGAAGTATTTTATCAAAGACGAGTGTTTTATCTTACAAATCAGGCATATGCACTTGCCCTCAGATCACCCTTTTCAGTTCCAAAAAGCAAAGGACATTTAGCCCTTTGAAAATTGTAAAAAACTTTCTTCGATCCAGAACAAAAGATGAAATGGTAAATTCTTTGATGCTTCTATATTGTGAAAAAGATATTTTATATAAAACTGATCTGCAGCAAAAAGCTTTAAGATGTGCAAAGCAGAAAAAGAACAGAGAATTGCTGTTAATTGACTTGAAAGAATATTAATTTTTAACATTAAACATACCCAAGATCTGGACTGGTATGGCTTTGATGTTGCTTTACATCTTACGAAAAGATTATATGTACCTTTTACGTCAATCAAAGTTTAGAGATTTGTTTTATCTTCTTTAGTGCTTTTATGCTTAAGACTAATTATTGTAAGTAAAATATTGGTAATTATACAGAACCTAGAAATCTGGAATAAGTAGGTACAGAAGATTAACAGGTCGATCGCGTTCACCTTGCTTTATAAAAATTCACAACTTTTACTCTCTTCTACATCTAAAACGTATAAAACTGCAGCATATAGCTCAACTCCTTCAAGTCAACGAGATAAATTGTTATCTTTACTTCTTGCTTTTTTGTTTTTCATGTTTTACATGACTGGCTGGAACCTTCTTTTCTAATCCTAATCGTTCGAGGTACCTTGCTGTACCACTGTTATTCGGATCAGCGTTATAACCTCTGAGATACAATTTCATATGTACCAAACTAACTGGATAGTTCATGTACAGAACGATGAAGATAATTAAATAAATACCTGCTCCCGAGGAGAAGCCAATGAATGCAGCAATTGTGACAATTGTGATTTTGAAGAGTTCCATCACGTCCTCTGAGATCAGCGCAGTGTCTAGGAATATTGGTCCAATGTGGCTTTTATACTTAACCAAAAACACTGGTTTTTGTGGGATCAGCTGCAACAGTGTCAGATAACAACCTTAAGGGGGACCCAAGATAGTTAACCGGAATATTTTGTACCAGTAGAACATTTCACTGATGAATGAATAATGAAACAATACATCATTGCTAATCAGAGACTTGAAACGTAACACTCAAATTAATGGAAGAAAGTCTGACCCCTATTAGATATTGCATAATAAGTTATAGGAACGGTGCAAGGAGGACAGAGTTCCTAAAGGGATACTAAAAGATTGGGAGAGGGGAGGGAATAAGGATTTTGGGTGACATATTGTTATTGTTAAACAGTTGTAAACAGGATGTCCAGGATGTCCAGAATGTTATATTTCTGTTCTTAAATCGATAAAACATTAATTCTTTCATACCAACTGCTTCCATGCTAGCCCTAATATATAAAAAAAATTTGATCAAATATATGAAACTTTCCCGATGCAAAAAATTATTTCATTAACGATTAGACTAAACCGCGCTTTTGAGTTGGTTGTACAAAAGTTTACTTTGGGTTGACGAACCATAGATGACGAACCGTTAGGTGGTGACTCTCACTTTAACAGGTAGATATTGAATAATATTATATCATCTTATAGTATACTGAATTATGTTATATATTATATCATATTATATTTTATCATGCTAATTATACTATGTTGTGTTGTATTATCTTTTTCATTTTATGCAACATGCAACTTTAATTTTGTATTGATGGCAGATTCCGGAAGATATTTACTCCCCGGAAGATATTTACTCCCCGGAAGATATCGAAGCGTAAGATATGAAAATCTAAGAATGTTCGAATTTCGAAGAAGAGTAAACAGCTTTACCCGGATGTTTTAAACGCATTCCGGGAATGATAAACGTATTCCGGGTCAAGCCTAAAGCTGAATCTCCAATAGAAAAACCTTGTTCACGTATCGTATCAAAATACGCGTATATAGATATGTTTGAATTTCGGTGCAATTTCCATTACAAAAATTTAGACACGTGATACGAATGATGGATGGCGGCTGTATTTAGCGGAAAAATAATTCTTTTATTATTGTTAAAAAAATCGTTTTACCAAGAAGAGAAGGTTCTGGTTAAGAAAACTATAATCAGATCGAAAATCTAAAAGAGAGCTTTATCTTCTTGTGCAAGATATGCTTTTGCACGACCAAAAGTACTTCTTTGGATTCTTCAGGATGACTCCACATCAGTTTTAAGTTCTACTTGCAAAGGGAATTGTTCTCGTGAAATACTTTGTGTTACTCTGAGATATCTGGCAACACGTGTCTTCGACAGAACTTTAGCCGCCATCTTGATTTCATTATCAATGCCCAGAAATACAGAAGTTAATTGGTTGTTTTATGGCTTGATACGGCGTAGTACGAACAAAATTGGATCCAATTCAACTTTGTTTGTGTGCATATGCACTAGAAACACGCATGCGCGGCTGTACGATCCGTTTCGGTACGTGTAGAACTTTGCTTATTGGAAATCCAGCTTAAGGCCGCTTATCCTGTGATAATGTAAAAATAGCGAGAACTGGTAACTGGTCATGTGAGAGAAGGGAAAGGAAACCAGACAATGTTGTTACCAAAAGGAGGAAAGAAAAGTGGCAGATAAATAGATTAATTTCTGCCATGGATAAGTAAAAGAAATTTGAATTATTTAAGGAAAATCTATGAAGAGAGACAGAATCGAAATAGAGAATCTATTGAGAGAAATAAGGGAGAAGGAAAATACGAAATAAAGTCAAACGTTTATCACACAGCTTCAAATCAACTGGTTTTCCCTGGCATTATGACAAATGGTTCCATTAACATTTTTAACAGCCTTCACCAGGGCAAAAATCGGCATAAGAAAGTCTTTGTTTTCTCTTTCCCCTTTCTTAATTCATTAATAATTGTAATTTAATATTGAAAGTGGTAAAAATATTGCAGATATTTTTGAGTCAAAATTGAAGCTACACCTTAGATTTTTAATCTAATCTTGGATATGCATTAAAGATCCAATTGGTTCTAGCTCAGGTAAACGAAAGAAAAAGTTATTGTAAGTTCAAGCTTTTTGGAAGTTTTTTAATGTGGATAATAGCGAGGATCTCAACTAGAACCAGTCCTCGTTATCATATGCATCGATATAACCCGATTTTAAAGCAAAATGAAAATGCTGATGTTTATGAAAAAAATTTAAACATTATGTTCTTTTTAGATTATACTGCTTAAATGATAAGCAGAATTAATGATCCCTGAACCGGCCAGAAACGTGGCTTATTCCTAACAAGTTGTCGCATTATGTGCTAAAACCGAAAGTTATGTGGTTGTCAGAAAAAAGCGTCTTGAGGTTATACCAAGCGCAAAACAAAATACTAACTCTTTATTTACAATTGATCTTAACAACAGGTAAATAAGAACAAGAAATGGGCAAAATTGTTTTCAATACTTTTAATCTTGAAATTTATAACGGATTCTATGATAAAATACGTCATAAGTAAAACGCTCCATTAAACAAAAACAGGACGGGAAAGAGAAGTCAGAAAACGACCCCCGTCCTGTTGGATCTAAAGGGATAAAGATTTCGTTCTTTAAGGACTAGAGGGAAACATTGTCTAAGACATCCCAGCAGCCTTTGCGGCCTTTTTCTGTTTCTTTCTTTCGGCTTCCTCTTCTTTTTCCTTTTCTATTTCTGCTACATATCGATCAATTTCCTCGTTTTCCAAAAGCTAGGAGAAAAAATCCGGTTGATTACTGGCACCCAAATCAGGTTGCTAAAAACATTAATCCCTGTCGTAGAAAAGAGTCCCAGAAAGATGAAGGCAAGAAATTTTATAGCTGGATTAAAAAAAGCCAGGCAGAGTTTGAAAAATGGTATTAATAGCAAAATAAAAGAGGTGAATACATACCTTCATTCCCTCCCCACGCTTCATCACCGCCATTTCTACATTTTTACTTCCAGACTGAACAACCTATTAGGTCAATAGAGAGTATTGTTAAAAACATCAATCTCTGAAAAAGTTCAAAAATTTCAAACTGAAGGGTGCATAAATGAGAGCCATTTTTTCCCTAAAAAATGCCCCCAGCTAAAAATATACTTTTGAGCAATTTGCTGTAGCATTGATTAAAGGAGGCATTTAATAGAGGGAGAGGCTTTTGTGGCTCAGCAATTGTTAGAGTAAATACTGTATCAAATAGAATAAATGATTGCAAGTCAAGAATACTTCTTTCAGACAAGCTTTTACCACTTATGGGAAACATGAATCAATGCCTTTTGAAACAATCCCATATTTACTTAAGGCCATACTCCTTGTGTTTTGAAAATAACAACCTTTTTGAGGGTTGATGGGCAAATAAAGAAAGCGGCTGGTGTTAATCTGCCACTAAAGCCTGACCAAATGACAAACTACTGCTTCATATTTAGTAACCCCTTTCGGTGAGATTTTTTCAAATCCTATATTAAGCTTTATCACCACATGTCATAATCCATTCAAAAGATTAGAGGTTTTCTAATCAGCTGCTAGTGGTCTGCTTGGTTTTGCTTCTTGAAAAAGGAAGCAAGAAAGCTGAAATCTTTTCAACCATGATGTTACGAGCCCCAAATTTATTTCAATGCAATTTTCAGAGAGCATATTTCAAAAAAATTCTTATCATAACCCTGTTACTTAAACTTGGGCCTGTGGTAAAGTATAATATTGAGCACAAACATATCTTATTTCTTTATAAACTACAAACATGTAGTTGTAGTCTGTCTGTAGTCTGTCGTCTACTAAACATTGTAGCCTATCTGATGAGCAGGCAAGCATGAACAGCAAAAATGTATCATTTTTAGCCCAACTTACTGTAAACTACAAACAAAGATGGACTCCAGAAAGGCAAATAATTATACTATAATAATGAAGATTTGCTTATTTTCACACATAATTTTCTTTGAATGTTAAGCAAAAGCAGAATAAACTCAAAAAGTTGAAGTACTCACTTCTAACAATGCCCTTAATGCCAGCTTTATGGTCTCATCGTCAGATTCAATGAGTTCATCAGTATAGTTTTTCTGTAGAAATTCTTGAACAGTTTTTGAGCTTCTACCTATGGCATTTGCTTTCCACTCATGGTATGTTCCTGATGGATCAGTTTGATAAAGGTGTGCCTTGCCATCATAGTCGAAGCCAACTATCAACATTGAGATTCCAAATGGCCGTCTGCCATTACTCTGGGTATATAACTACAAAGAGGCAAGAAAACAATATTAGGTAGACAAAGTTTAAGCAACCACAATGGCGTCAAAATCCAGAAAATACACTCACAAAAATGAGAGTTTGCAAGTTTAACAAATGGTGTGCCCTATTTGTATGAATAAACAGTCCCACATACTTGTTTTTTACTGGCAATGAATCTGGTAATATATTCCAAAGACACAGGATCCTCCACACTTAGTTTATGACTTTGGCATTCAACCCTGGCAGCATTCACCAAAATACGTGCATCAGCTGTCAGACCTAAAAATTAGAGACCATATGCATTCTTATTGTTAAATTGCCAGAATAGGTACAGTTGCAAATTTTTTTTGAAAATGGATCAAATGGAAAACAGATACAAAATGCGAATATAAAGTGCTAACAATGAAAACGGATAATTTTTAAAATGCAAACAGATGATAATATTGCATTGTTTTAGCGGAAAAAATGAGCATCAATCATTAGTTTTTCACTTGAATATTCATTTCGAAAATTTGACTATTATATTTATCAAAGGTGTATTGAAAACCTGTTACTTGAAATGAATGTGCTTAAAAATTCTTTCAACTTTCAAATTTTTTGTGACTTGCTACTTTACAAAGGTTTGGTATTTTCTTCAAAACAGTAAATCACGATTGATTCCCAAAGATCTGGAGCTTTAAGGGGTTTCTAAAGGAGCTAAAAGCATAAATATTGAAGCTTTTCCATTCTCTGACCAATAAGATTGACAACACACTTCATTTTTTGTTCTGCCATGCTAAATCATATACTCCCCTATTTTCCTTAATCTGAATGTATACTCAGGACTATGACATTTGCTTCAAAACATTTGCTCATAATGAATTATCTGCAATTTATAATGCAAGTTGAAAACTATTTACCCAATTGACTTAAACTTTGTGAAAACTTCACTTCTTATAACTTATCGAAACAGTCTGTTTTTGAAAAAAGACCATTATGAAATTAGCTTCAATGAAAATACTTTCTAATTCCCTGTTAAGAGAATCACTGAGCTTAAATGAAATTTGAAGACTTAATTTTTAGATCCTTCCAGATTAAACAGATTCAATGTGTGCCTTTGAAAAGTTCCGTTTTGTTTTGTTGTTTCCTATTTGACAGCATGGTGTAACATTTCTCACTTTAATTATTTGAAGCATTAATCACGCTATATGTTATTCTTTTCGTGCAATTTATTTTCTATTGCAAGTTTTAGCAGATAATGCAATAGTTTGTTAACATTGGCTATAAAAGGAAGCGGAAATCTCCTATTTATATAAGGCCATTTGATAAACACGTAGATGTGTAAGACCTCTTTCTCTTTATTTTCTAACACTCTGATATTCAGGGGTAAGTAGTACAAACATTGGGAAGCTAAACTGCGTGGCTTAAATGAGAATGTTGGTTTGAAAAACTGTGCGGTGGAAAAAAGCCTTTGCAAATTTATTTTGCTTGGGGATTGCATGGGCACGAGCTATAGCCTGCATCTCTAGGAAGACCTGGCTATCCCACACCACTTTTAGTGCCCTCTAATTTCACAAATCAAAATGATAATTCATTTTCAGCTTAATCAATGTCAATTTTTTTCAGTTTTAAATTTGAAGTGCTTTCTCCAATTATGTTACAGCTCTCTGCAAATCAAAATAGTTGAAAGATTGCAGAAATAGCATTTTTAATTAAAACTGCAAAGCATCACCATAATACTTTAAAACCATTGTTGCAAAACTGTACCTGCAAATGCTAAGAAGACATGGTCATCTAGAACACAGATTTTTCGGACAGTTCTAGGCTCTTGAAGTTTTGCCACTGATTTTCTTTCAACTCCAAGTACAACTATCTCTTTACCTCTGACACCAACCTGCACAAAATTCAAAATCACTGATAAATGCTAATAGTAATGAAATAGGCTACACAAACAAACTTCAGAAAATAAACCAAACAACAATGACAGCCTATACATACTTCTTTACAAGCATATATTATATATCAACATCAAGGCTTAAAACGGCTGAAATTTATCAATAAACAAAGAATAATAGCTAAACTAAAACTGAAACTTTATCAAAACTAATTACTATAATCTATATTCAGAAATACCCTTAATCATTGAGGAAATATGCAAAGACATTCATTGATTCTTTTATACACATATATGTATATACACTTACATGAAAAAAGTATATGAAAATGGCGGCTCTGAAACTATTTTTCTAACATTATTTGAACAAATCTTGTTGTTGTGGCAGGATTTTAGAAATGGCATCATGAAAAACAATTCCAATTTCGTTTCTACATTTTAGTTATACTAAAATTTAACAGGGAAATGAAGAATGTCAAAATCTTTGTTGCAATGCCAAAAACACAAAAAGGCCCAGAAAGCAGAGAGGCCATTAGAGGATTGGTCTAGAAAGTCGCTTTCTGGAAATGCAAGAAAAATTGGTTGCAGAGAGTCTAATTTTCATGATGCTGCTCTTTCAGGTTATGGGATCCAACTTCAAAAATTCTAAAATCAAATAATTCTATGACATCACACTTAACTCTATTGAAGTCAAACTGGTTTGAGTTATTTTTCTTAGTAAATAAAAGAATTGTTCGCACAGCTGAGGAAGTTGGAAAGCATCTAGCAGGGACTCCCAAAGTGAGGCCAGGCCCAGGGGCAACCAGTGCATGTAGGCCTGACTGTAAAGTTTGCCTTCACAGAGAATGAGTTTGTGCAATAATTTTTATCATTCATTCCATCTGCTTATTTTTTAGATTCTGCTGCAGATTCCACACACAATGCATGTTTATTTCGTCATGTTCCCTGTAAATATTTCACCATTTAACAGGCCTTGCTCTAAGTAAAATGAAGGTGCTCCATAAAAAGAGCCCCTTAGAAACTCTAGGCGCTCTATTTCGCACCTCTAAGTAAATTTTCTTGAGAGCATCCTTCGAGAGCTTTAGGAGATCAAGAGCTTCATATTGAAAGCTTCTGAAGAATGTTAAATATGAAATTCAACGGTGATACCAGAAAGCACCATAATATAAAATAGCAAAACATGCAACAAACACTATGTTAATATAAATATAGAAATATAATAAAACAAAGTCGCAAAATTGTTCAGATTTTTCTAGATATGTAAGTTGCCATCATTCGATGAGCTTTTATCAGTGTCAGTATCACTACTGTTATGTTCAGTTTCACATATTGCTTCATCAAAACGCATGGCTTTAAATCGAACATTTAACTTTGTTTCCTTTTTTCATGTTATCCATTCTATAAGAAACGCTAGAACATCTACTACTCGCAAAAGCAAATTAAAAATGAAAAGCAATGCGATAATTTGGACGGAAACGTGATCGCTGATTTGCACAGGCGCTTTCAAGTTATTAAAAAAACTGAAAATATTATATACTTCAATAGAAGATTAACGCTTGCTCGAAAATCAAATGAATCTGCCGGAGAATACGCTTGATGGCCTGTGTCCTTGATGGTTATTAGAGGGTTATTAGAAAAAAAATGTTAATAAAAACCCAACGTTGAATTTGCTGAATTTTTTCTCAAGGGGTAATCTTACGCAAATCATAATATTGCGGTCTGTTGGGAAGATTGTTTAAGCTTGATCAAGTTGATTCAACAAATTCCAAAAATTTATTTTGCTCCGTGTTAATATTGTTTTTACGTTTTGAGGGGCTCTATAAATCGCTCTCCAAGGCTTTTTTTGGGTGCGCTCTAGGCGCGCGCGCTCGATCGAGCGCCTTTCTGGGCAAGGCCTGCATTTAAACTTCTGACTTCTGATAACAAGAAAAAACAAAGAGTACAAGGTCTTTTCAAAAGCCTTTGCTACAAATTCCACACATGAGTTGGCAGGAAACATTAGTTATCTGCAAATTTCAAAATTATTGCTCTGGTGTTCCCTGCACAGAAAAATACTTTGCAGTCTGGCATGTAGGGCCCCAGAGTGCAAAGCGTTCCTCGCGCATACCCAAACTTTGCAGTCTGGGTAGGGCCGTTGTTTGACAACAAATACAGATTCCAGAATATGAAAATTTACATAGATTCCATTATTACAGGCCCAAAAATCAGCCCAGACCCCCGGGTACTTGCTCCTGCTATCCTATCTGTCGGTGGACCTGTCGTCTGGTACAGCCTATAAATCTTGTCAAAAAGTGCCTGACTTTTCAATCAAGGTTTTCTGTCTTGCTTAAAATGTATAAGATTGAATCTTGAATCTTACGTAGGCCAAAATAATTGAATGCTTGTTAGTTTACAAGATCTTTTTATCTAGATGGATTTTTCAAAAGAAACTGAACTGAAAATCAAAGGATCGGTGCTCAAAATAACGATTTGGCAATAAACTACACATTTACAAAAATATTACCGCAGTAGTCCCTTTCTTCACAGCTTCTTGGGCATACTCGACCTGAAAGAGATGACCATCTGGGGAAAATACCGTTATTGCTCCGTCATAATTTGAAGACATTTTCAAATTAAAGTTTAGTGCTGACAGTATTTGCGAATTTTCTGTGCTTTTGTGTCAATGTTCTGCACAATGCTCTCTCTAGGCCAGAAATGCAGACTCACGGACTTTATGAAATCGTCTCAATTAGAGTTGTAAATTTCGGAAAGAGGCTAGCATAGCACAATCCGAGGAAGAAGGAAACACTGAAAACAGCGGGAAAAACGGGAACTATGTAGCTCGTGAGGGTAAACCATATTTCTATGTGGGGGTAAACCCATTATGTTTTTCGGAGACAAGGAATCATCATAATTTTAGTAAATTTTATTCATTCTTTCAATTTTTTCTAATTTTATCAATTCTTTTCATGGTCGACTCATTTTATTTAACATTTCATTGGAATCGGGACGGGAATTGGTTAATTTTTGCGCGCGTGACCCAGGAATCGATAACACGGGGATTCCGGAATTGATGGTCGGGAACGGGCTTAAAACGTAGCAGGAATCCGGGATTCAGTGGGCCTATTGGGTACCTTCACTGGACCATCTTTGACCAAAGGCCGAGATACAACTTTTTGTTTAGGGGCTAACCCTCATAAATTAGTGTAACAACAGCCATACTTTACAAAATAAAAAATTTACTAATGCTGTTTAGGTTTTTATGCTTATATTTATTAAGGACGTAATGTACTTATTGGCTTTGATATGCTTGTGTAAACGGGGTCTAAGTTTAAAACAAGGCAACAACAAATGATTTTTATTCCAAATACTTTTTAATTCCAAAGTAATTTGTGCTTTTTAGGTTTTACAGCATTTGAAAATAGTAGAGAGAAGCCAAAGAATTGCAAAATCTAGCTCTCAGAATCTTTGAAAAATTTTCAGGGTTTATCGTTATCGCGAAATTCGTCAGTTTTTCCTTTTGTCGGAAAAAGCCAAAAAAGCTCAACTTTTCAAGCTATCGAAAGAATTGTATTGTTTGCCAATTTTTTCACAAAATTTAAGCAATATCACTTTTACGCACTCAACATGTAATTCCCACGAAAATTCCTTTCGCGACTCGCTTTTTACCAAAATGAGATTTTTAGTGAAAAAACCCCATTAAAAATTGTATGTTTAGCACTTTGATTGCTATTAGAATTGGGCAGATACAGGATATTTACCCTGGGTACCAGAGCCCAAGAAATGGGAAGGGATTTAAGATGCGAGAAAGATTCCCATATGCTGCTTATATTTTATTCGGTTATCATCGGGATAGGTATTGACTGCAAAGCAAGTTCAAAAGTATAAATGCAGGGATAGAATCTACAGAACGTATGAGGGCACATGACGTAACACGCGAGCCAAAAGAATGGTGAAAAGTTTCACGCGTACAAAAGTGCAAAAACATTTGTTTACGAAACAGTTGTATTTCTTTAGTACAAAGCTAGCAGAGGAAGAGGCAAGTGTTATCATAATCAAGGTCCTGAGTTTTGAAGGGTTCTAAAACATTGAGCATATTTTATTTCCAGCACCTTGGGTACATTTATGGTGGACATAGCATCAATTTTTCAGTCTAATGAAAGCTCAAATGTTTGTATAATAAACCCTAGATAAGTTAGGCCCATTCCTTGACACTCCAAAATGCATGACTAGGTTGCTGTAGATGATGTTTCTCGGATAAAGCTATGCCTGCCAAAAGAAAGCCAAGCAATTTGCTTTGCGTTTTTTTCGCACCCCCTTCCCTCAAAACAATGTTGATAGCATAGACAAATACTATACAAGTCACAGGAAAAAACGTTCTCCCCAATCTCTTTCCCTGTTCTGTAGTAAATCAATATTGTTCAAAGGGGGAGGAGGCTGGCTGATTCTGCCGTTGAAAACTGACGCTAGTGTTTCCAGACATTTGGCAGGCATTGTAGTCATTATTAAGGAAAATATTCTGCACCTTCACAAGTGAAACTTCAAAGATAAAAACAACAAAAAAGTTATTCTTTATAGCTAGACCTAAAAGCCCTAGAAAAAGAAAAAGAACTTAAAGAAAAGTTTTGCGAAGAGGTAAAAGCGAAAATAGGAATAACAAATAAAAATCAATGCACTGAATACATGATCAAAATGTTTGAAACGACTTTAAAAGTGGCAGCCAAAACGTCAAAACCAATTTGTCCCAAAAGGAGCACCAGCCGTGGATAAGAAGGCAAGTAAAGAACAACGTCTCGGCATATAAGAAATCAGGCAGGGAGATTAGAAATGTTTGCCAAGGAGCAAAAGAGCATATGCTCAACAACCAATGCCAGGAAATTGTAGAACTAGAAAAGAAAAACGCTAAACTAATGCATATCAAAATTAAAGAAGCCACTAGAAACTACAGAACTTGCTCTTTGATCAAATGCATTGAAGCAAAGGAAGGCACTGCTATTACGGAAAAAGAAAAATACTAGAAAGATGGAAAAAATACATTTGCGAACTATTTGAAGAAGGTAGATAATCTAATTGCGAAGAAAGAAAGAGAAAACTTACCTATCTTGAAAGAAAATCACCACAAGCTATCAAAAGCATGGCATAAGTAAAGCAACATGTCCACATGAAATATGCATCGAGGTACTTTTTCCTATCTCTCTGCAGAATTGCCTACTGAAAGAACACCTCATGTGTCTATGACATACCCTTCAGTAAGACAAAGAGCTTTTCAAATACATACTTCACAAATGTTCTTCATGAATGGAATATGCTCGATGGAGATGTCAGAATTTCTGGGACAATTGTGGAGTTCAAACGAAAATTATTTATTTTGATAAGACTGTTAAAAAATTCTTTGTTTGGAGTATTCGATATCCTAGATATAAAACAACTGACAATGCTTAGATTAAAATCTAGCATTTTAAATGAACATACATTTCTTGACAATTTTCAGTGCCCAAGCGCAATGTACGTTTGTAACATGCGAGAGGCAGCTCGGGCTCAGGGGTGATTCACAAAACTGGCCCCCTTGAGAAAATTTTCTGTGGCTACGCCCTTCAGTTTCCCGGAGAACAAGGGAGGCGCCTTTTTTAGGTACAATTGTTGAAAAAGTTTTTAAGGATTTTTGAAAGAACGTGCGAAAGCATTTTACATGAATCAAGAACGTGTGGACAATTATCTGCGATAAACTTACAGGCGTTGATTCGATATAAGTAGCTGAAATAGTAGCTTTCTGCATTATAAATAGACCTTGTAACTTTATTACTGGCCCCATCGGAGAACGGGTCCTGGACCTTTTGCCCCTGAAAATTTTGAGATATGGCATTCCAAGATTGGCAAGAAATGCATCTAAAATATTTATGGCATCGATAAGGAAGAACTTTCTTTTTACTAATAATGACCCATTTGTTGTATTTTGAATTTGAAACAATTTCTCTCGTGTTAACAAAACAGAGGCGATTTTACCAGCTAATGAACAATGCTACTAAAAATGTCATGCAGAACTTTTATTCAGTTGACTTGGAAAATATTCATAGTTTACAGATAAAGAAAAAAAATTTTTTTAATAATTACAACTTTAAGAACACCAGAGCCTAAAATTATCCAAAAGATAAGAACAATTGTATTGAAAAAAATTGAATTGTTCTTATAAAAAGAGTGTAGTGCATGAAATATTAAAACTAGACAAGATAGAGTCAAACAATAGCAACCGGTGGTTGAATCAGGCATTTCTAAATGCAACAAAAAGCCAACTGTCTCTACAAAACTGCAACTAAACGTAGTCAGTAAGAAATCATTCAAGAATTTTCCATCTGTATATGTCAAACTTTGTGTACATTTTCTTGCATATAAAGCTTGCAATGCCTTTAAATCTTTCAATGGTAAGTGGGAAAGGTGAAGGAAAAAAGATAGAAGAAGACAAAGGTAGACATTTCTCGGATGGATAAGCAAATGTTTACACAGAAGGATCATGGCCATTATTCGACTGGTAGAAAACAAAACATTGTATCATGCTGTGACAGCCTATGTAGGGCACCATACGACGACGATTCTGCACCTGCCTGTTAAATATATTAGAACTAAAATGGTGACTGTTTTCAGTTTCGTCAGTGTTTTCAGAAGAATACAACTTCGCAAATAATCAAAGGAAATAGTTTAGCATTTATTATTCTGATGCTGCAAATGCTTAAAATGACTTACAAAGAGCTAGCTTTCTCCTTGGCAACGAGTTTTTGTGTTGTGTAATTTCCAGACATCGTCGTGTAAACTCTGATCAATTTTCAATTTCACGTTTGTTTTCACCACTTCGAATGAAAAAGAAAATTTTTTAATCACCCCTTCTCTGTTAATAATGTTCTAGTAACAAACATATCCCTAATGCATTTGAAATAAATTTATAAGAAGATACTACAGCGCTAGGAGGCTCGAAGAACTCAGATCAAAGCTCGCTAAGTTTCCTCCAATTAGAATTTACTTCGTTCATTGAGTAACTGAACAATATATTTCATTCTACGACCCGAAGTGATCTGCATAGGAGCGAAATTAAAGAGAGCAAGATTTCTAATCAAAATGAGCAGAGCAGATTGCATTTCAGATTGCAAATATGATGTATGAGTAGAAGAAATGTCCGGTGAAGTGGTACCTCTAGGTACCTCTTGATTGAGACTTGTCTATGGTGGAAAATTTCACATTCAAATCAAGAAACCTTCTTGTCAAAACACTCTGTAGATGAAATTTGGGATTATCTTTTCAGAAACTGGTTTGAGTAGGAATTGGATTAACATGAGAAATAAATTTAATCCATCAACCCTTCGATTATCCTGTAAACCTTTGGTTTGTTTTTGTTAGAGATGACTGCATTCTAAAAGAATAAATGTTCGCCAGACAGTGACTAATAATTTCAAAGATAGTTAAAAGCAGATCAAGAGGTTTGAATCGCAAAAGTAAAAACAGAAGTCTATTCCTTTACAAAGTATTTCCAACTGGCTTCAAAACGAACACAATATCCTATGAAGAGTACTGCAATCTACCAAGAACATTGCAAATTTTTTTTATATCAATCAACAGTTTAAAAACAACAAGGTTAATGCGTGATACTATGACATTTGTAGTGAGGAAAGACGCAGGGTCACCGAGTCCTCACTACCAATGCCACTTACAATGTTACAATGTAAGAAACGGTAAATTAACAATAAAAGAAAAGGTAAAATACATATACACGCTAAATCAAGACAAAGAAAAAAACATAAAAAGATGGGTTAGGCTGCTGTTTTTCCAGAAAATTTATTTGAGACGTCCAGTAGTTTAATGAAAGAAATAGTTGTTTTTAGGATGATTCTGTTTGCAATGGTGCTTCCATTTTGGTTCCCATATAATAACAAATGACAAAGATCCTTTGAGTTCATGCTAGCAACATCATATCCGACATCCGAGACTTGACTAAGGAGATCTTGGCGCTGAGCTGTAAACTGGGGGCAGTGCAGGAGGTAATGCTCATTATCTTCCTTTCCTGTACCACAAATACAAACTGGACTCACGCAGTCAAAATTATGCCGAAATCTGTGTTCATTCATAGGACTGAAACTAACTCGAAGCCTTGTTAGTAGCTTGACACCCAAAATATCATAGATGTTGTAAACAGGGTTTTCCACGGGTCTGATGATTCGAAGTAATTTGCTCTTGAAATCCGCCAGAGAAGGAGAATCGTGTACAGACTTGTCGAACAGGTTCCACTGATATATTGTGTTATGAAAATAAGAGCTGGAAAAACGCATAGTTCTATTTACATTTTGCTCATAACAACGCGGGTTACTTAAATTATCAGGTAAGTTATTTCTGTTTCTTGGTATTCTTTATCCAGAACAATGTAAAAGTTCCCCTCATTTCTAAAATGGTAGAAAGTGGTTTGGCTAGAAAGAGTCAAAATATAGTTCTTTTTTCGTTTGACGGCCAAGCAATAGAAGACAGTTGAGCGTTGTTTATTGACTTAAGAATTTGCAAAAAATTCAAGTTAAAATTTAGTGTTTTTTAGGAGGTGAGCATTCAAAACGAAGGTTATACTGTCAAGTCCTGGTCTATCGAGCGACATTTGCCAAAACATGTTTGATTAACAAGAGCCTTCATAATCTTAACCTCAATTGCCCTCCAGGACAGAAGATTTCATAGAGCTTTTGCAAGTTTTTAGTATACTTGCTATTGTCAATCTACAAAACTTGAGCGCCCGGGAGTACTCCCACTATGGCCAAACAGGGGGTCCAGTCAGGGTCAACGATGGCCAAAGCTAAAGTGTTGAAAATGTTGTTGATTCGGGATAGAAAAATCTTGTTCATTGTTTATAATAAACCGCAAGCTAAACTAAGCCGTTATGTGATTATCGAAACTGGGCCATTTTGTAGTCATTTGGTAAGACCGGCAAATCCCCTGTCAGTCCTAAATGGGAGTACCCCCCCCCCCCCTCCCCCCCCCCCCCCGGCTTGAATGCTACTTGTCCAAATAGCACTGAAAGATCTTTCAGCAATCTCAGATCGTTTGCTTGGGGATGCTTGAGGTCTACCATTGACCAAAAGGGTCAATTCTTGGAGAGAAACCCAGAAGTAACTTAACATTACAAACAAAAACTGAATTTAACAATACTACTCAACAGAGATGCAAAAACTGTAGAGACCTATAAACCTAGTTTGGAGGAAGCAAAATTTTACATTGTTTTTCTTCAGTGGCGTAACGATGCCATAAGGCAAAAAACTGAGAAGGAGACGGCAAGACTGACTGCAAGAAATTCCCATTCAAGGCTGTAGAGCCTAAAAGAGCATATCAAACACGATAAAAAGATATAAAAAAGGGAATTTTTTCTCGTTAACTAGGTGAGCTAAGACGTTATGAAAATGAGGTGAACTTGATCGAAGTCTTAAACCATGGATATAAAAAGTATTTAGTGGGGCCATTTTGGTCGGGGGTCCTTAGAAATCGGACCCCCGACCAAAATGCGTTACGCCACTGTCGATACTATTTTTTCAATTGTTGAAAGTAAATCCAATAATAATTTGAGCCATTGAAATGGTCAATATAACAACGGAAAGAAAATCTATAAAATATGAATGTTTCAGGAAGATTTACTCTTGCAAAACTTGGTAAGAGTCTAGCAAAAATTATCACAGGAAGATCGTTAATTTTGTTTCATACAAAACACTGCTTAGCTATTTTTTCAGTAATTTTACAGGTTTGGGGGGAAGGTGAACAGCTTTTTGCAACTCTTCTTCTCAAATTTGCAACTCAACTACTTTATCACCCCGCATATAAGCCGATCTTGTATACAAGCCTATGGGCTTTTATCCGGCTATAGGTCTGTAATATGTTCAGCGGTCTAAGGATTTATTTCCAGAATCCAACGAAAGAACAACGACAAATTTCTCGATCAGACCACCTTTCACTGAACCAATCAGAGAACCTTTCACAAGCGCTCTCATAAAACGAACTGAACTTAATACATAATTATGCAACATAATGGTATGGCTCAAGGGACAAATAAATGATACGCGAAAGGTCTATTTAAAATCTGCGAGATTAATAGGATTAAAAGATATAATGCCGAGAAAATACAAATGTGTTACTGAGTTAATTAAAAAACGTGAACGTAGAAAACAAGCAAAATGAGATTCGAAATATACTTCCTATGTAACTTTGTTGGTAGCAACCATTAAACTAAAATGCTGAGCAACACAAGTAAGGCGTGGCGGTGCGGTCCCTGCGAAGCATGACGTGTGTTGCAAGGCAAAGCACAAAGCAGTATTACAGGTCCAATAAGCCTTTAAGCGAGAGACGACTCATTTCGGGATGAGATGTTCAGAATAAAGGATACTTCATAAGAGTTCAGAAGCATTTTTTCCTTTAAAGTTTCTTTAACTATACCTTTTGTTTTTTTAAGATATGTATCTGGTCCCCCAAGAAACGTAATCACGTGGGACCTCTTAACCATTTCCCCTCTCGTTGTCTCTCATTTTTCCCGCGGAGTTCAATGTCCAACAGCAATATGCGGGGATTTATAGGAATATGAGCCTATATTCGGGTGCAGTTTTTCGAACTGCAAAGTTTAAAATCGTAAAAAAATTCAAATAGAGACCCATGGGTACAAATGCGGTTTTGCTCTGTGGCATTGTTCTGATTGAAAACACACTCTTTTTTTATAAGAACCAACAAATTTCAGTTAAGGCTGACTGTTTTTAATTTTTTTTCGAAAATCTGAGGCTGGGTTGTTCTTAGTTTGTTCTTAATCTAATAGGGTGTAAGCAGTGCGAGTGCCAGCTTTTTCGCTCTAGGGAGGTGTTCAGGCCTCATTTGCCAACAAAGTGAGTGAGACAACCTTCATTTGCCGAAAAGTTTGAATATTCGACGAAAAAGCACCCACTCATCGCTACAAATCCTCGATTTTGAGAAAAAACGTTGTTCAAAATTGCATTTTGCAGAAGCTCAGCCTCAGCTTGTTCTTAATTCGTTCTTAACTTTTGACCAATTTTGAGGCTCGTGTTCCTATAAAATTGTTCTTAAAAAAAATGTATTGAAATGTATCATGGTCGTGCTTGACGGGAATGTCAGGGGCGTGTTGTATCCCAGAATGCCAATCTGCATGATTTCTGACGTCACTGATGTCGTAGAGCGAAAACTGGAAGGCCGGGCCAGGAAAGTTCTTTACCTGCTAGAAGCCACGCAACAACAGTTAAAGGAAAGCTGTTAGGAATCACTTTGGAAAGATCAAGGTTAGTTTTCACGCTGAAAGGTACACTTTTTCGTTGAATTTTCTACGCTTACATGATCAGTGTTAGTCCTGCTACGTGGCTGGTGTTATTAATGTTTTGCCAGAGGATGAAAATGTTTTGCCAGAGGATGTTTCGTTGTCCTGTATGAAACGTTTTCGTTGTAACTGTTTGTTCTAGCAGACACGCTAGACAACATTTCAGAGGACTTTCAAAGAGGTTATAGAATGGTTGAAAGTTTAAAATGTTATTTTGATGTTAATTGTTATTTGTTGATGTTCTCTTCCAAACTGGGGGGGGGGGGCGTGGAGTATCCCAAGGGTTGATAGCCAGCTTTCAACTGACTATAGTAACGGTGGAGGTCTGTTTCCGGTGCCCCCAAAATACTGGTTTACAAATCATTCTGAGCAGAATTTTTGTTGTTGTACAAATTCCCATTCAGAACCAAACATTCTCATTGGTTTTATTGATTTTTTTCTCGGCTAAAACAGACATCAAACCCTTGAGACGTACTTTAAGCATAACCACTTTGTTTATAAAGATTTTCAGTGCCCTCCAAACCTCCAGGGCTTTTGTTCAACATTTATTTATTGTTGCGTCTTTCTTTTTTCAAAGAACCACTATTATCATCAGTCATATTTGGTTTTGAACTTTTTTCAAAGCATTTTAATTTAATTTATTTAGTTACTCCTTCCTTTGTCTTCTGCTCAGTTACTCCTTCCACAGTGGAAAAATGTGACTGAACTGTCACATCCTCTAACTTTATAAACTCTCTTACCAGCTGCCCTTAAGCTAACACCAGTTGTTCATTATTGATATGGTTCCATTGCAATTTATACAAGTGAGAAAGGCTAAATGTGAATTTTGTCCCACATAAAGATTTATGAGACAGATTTGGCCGAAAGAGAACTATTGATGCATGTTCATTTAATCCTTTATCAAGATTATCAATTCTTTATAGAAATTGAGTCATTTGTAAGTCATTATTTTGTTCTTTAATCTTCTGTCAAGGATATTCCAACCATTCACACACAGTAGCTGATCTCTTAAGCAGCTCGACAGTGCCACAAAGTGTTGTCAGAAGTTTTAAAATCTAACCTTTGTCAAGTATAAACAAAAGTCTAAAAGTCTTCAATCACCCTATCAATCAATTTCTTATTTTTCAATCAAACAATATAACTTGTTGCACATTATTTTACTTTGTAACCAGGCCTGGTTTCAGGAATTTTTTTTGGGGGGGGGGGAGTGCAAGTGTTTATCTACAGTGTACATTTTGGTAGCATTACACTTCGTTAATGCGATCAGAATATTTTAGCATTGTTAATATTTAAATTTCAGCTATTACAAAGCAACTTCAGCTGTAAAACTATTAGTTTAATGAAAGTTCTTAAATAAGCTTTTGTGGTCACGTAGTTTAATCAACTTTTAGAAACACTGAATAGAACTCTTCTGTTCTTCAACTGGACCCACTTTTTGATAACAGACAAGTTCTGTGAAATGTATTTCTCGCACGAAATTAGGGTAAAGAGATGTAGCAACAAGTGGTGCATTGTGCTTTGCAGTTTCAGAGACGGGCCACAAAACTGAGCCTGGGGGGCTAAGAGACTAGTTTAGTGACATATTTTTTTTTTTGAATTCTAGCCTTCTAGGATGGCTAGAAATGCATCTCCCAGACTAAAATTGTTTATGTTTTTGTCAAATATCTTGGGATTAACCTTCTTCTGTGATGTTCCTGAAAATTCTATTCTGGATCAACGGAAAAACTGAACTGCAGAACTTTTTAATATCTTTTAATGTTTTTAAAAATTACATGAAGTACAATTTTCTACAAAAAAGTTTATCTACCCATCAAAATCCCAATTTTACCGACTAAAATCCTAATTTTACCAACTAGAACACAAATGCCTATTCTTGAGGGTGTTACACCCCCCCACACCCCCCATGGAACCGGCCCTGTTTGTAACCATCATTTGATCAGGAAAGTAGACATTGATGACAGTGTAAAGATTTCTATGCGGCCAACTCCACTTATAGTCACTCTGCTTAAAGTTTCCCTACAGTCAACAGTCACATAAATGTTTGACCAAAATATGCAAAGCTATTCACTTTAGCTTCTTTTACAGTCACACTCTGCTTACTATCACAGTTTTTCAGATAAAATTTGGTGTGACTGTACTCAGAGTCTAGTGTACAATGTTTAATTTGACCTCTATTCATTGACAGAAATAGTTTTATTTAAGACACACTTAAATCTATTTCTTTTCTCAAGTATAGCCAATGGATGAAGGAATCATGTTCTTAATCTTAAAAAGGCATATTATATTCTATAAATGTGATATTGTTTTATCAGTTGTCCGGTAGATGTTTTTACAACTATAAAGGGAGGTCTCAATGTACAAGGAGTTAACCTGTGGCTCTGGCATTACATCTACATCTACATCAATACTGAGCAGGACCAAGTATCGGTATAATGCTCAGAGTGTATGAAGTAATGAAATGAAAGTTTAATGGATAAAACATGCTAGAAATGCCACTGATCATTGATAAGATTGGACATTTACATGTCAAATGAGAAGCTGTAATTTTGTTTGTCGTCAAGACCAAATCAAAAAGGGACTGAAAATTAAAGGGGACATTGAGAGGGTATTATGGTAATGGAATGGTCAGTGGCATTAGGGCATAGCATCATAAGTTCAATATCTTATAGATATATCTTTTGCTTCATAGTATGGACTCACAAGAAGGGAATGGCCATATTCAGATGTCAAGCCCAAAGAAGGACAAATGGGTGGTTCCAATTTCAGTTTCAGCAGAGCATACAATGAACCCAATCAGGAGGATAGTTGATCAAATGAAAATTGAGCCAAATCCTGAGTATGAATTCATCTCCGTATCTATTGGTCAGTTTAATTTCATTTTTGTATTTAAAATGTAAAGTCAACTCTGCTTAGACTTACTCTGCTTAAAGTCACACTCCCAGTTACAGTCACATGAAGTTTAGACCCAAATTTGCAAAACTCTACAATATCATTCCATTTACAATCAAACTCTGCTTACTGTCACAAATTTCCAAGCAACTTTTTGTGTGCCTATAACCAGAGTCTACTGTACATCTAAACCAGAAAACCAAAATAAAGGCACATGACTTTGAACGGAATAGGGCCTCTACGACCTCTGGTAAAAAGTTACAAGAAAGAAACCGAGACATTTTCAAGCCTGTCACATAGTTTACAGGGGCATTGTTTTTCCCTTCTCCCCCGCCCTCAGGCCTCCTAAACCTCTCGGCGGCACTGGATGGCAGACAGAAAGAAGTCATGTGCATAGTTAACATTAAAGGAAAAAATTAAACCACACCTCGTCACAAAATAAACTGTACACCACAACTTTTCTCTATTGATCAATTTTCCTTGTCTGGCGTACAATATTTACGGATTTACTAATTGCTCATATTTTCGGTGAACATAAACAAATGACCCGGTGGATCTTTAATAAAGTTTAATTAGTGCCCTTTTTGTGTCTTGGACCCCTGCCCTCTGAAATTTCTGGTTGCGCGCCTGGATACCCTTACTATAATTGTAGCTCAATGGTGGAGACAATATGTTTGCAAAAGTTAACCTCATGTAAAAAATAAACCAAGATATGAAATGAAATGCAGTGTTGGTGAAAACCTCTTCTGGTAGCATTGGTTTTGTAGCTTGCCAATATTCTTGATAATTTTCACTTTATCTTAATCGCTTTATCAACCTTGAAATCTCTCCCAATAGGTGACCCAACTGTTTTTGGTAATTTAAATCCTCCTCAAGAAGCTGTTGATGCAATTGTGGAGGCAACCATTTCAGGAAAATATAATGGCTACTTGCCAGCAGTTGCTGTTGATGCATAAACATGTGGAGGCAACCATTTCAGATCATCTGATTAGCAATTAGCTCAATTTTGTAGTTTTTTTAGTTTACAGTTTACTTTGTGATTCAAAAGCCATTTCTGCTGGTTTTTTTTCAACTTTTTGGCAAACATGTAGACAGTTTTTGATGAACTTTCATGCACCGTGCACCGGGTTGTGACAAAACGTGGCCTACGCCATTGGTGTACCTTTTGGTGTAGCAACAGATCAATTTGGCGTAGGAACAGATCAATTTGGCGTAGCAATCGCTTGCTATGATTCGGTCTAAAATGCAAAAAGTTCTAGAGCACTAGGGAGGAGCAAGAGGCAATCGTCACTCGTGGTTTTCAATTTGGTGGCGATCAGTCCACATTATTGTTAGTTATGTTCCAGAAATCTCTCTTTTTGCTGTAATCTACCATTGCTTGACCTATCTTTATAGTGGTTTCAGATCTCTTATGTTAATAAAGGTTGTGTCTGCTTAGGTGTGGCTGAAATAAGCTAAAAACTTAAATAAGCGAAGCATTTTTACAAAGTTTCTGTTGTCAATATTGACTTGCAGAATGTTCCTTTCCAGGCAGAGCGCAAGCGGGGGGTTACGGGGGTTTTAGCCTCCTCGATGTGTGATATGATCAGGCCTGTCCCGGAGACGCGGCTGTAGCCCGCGCCCGCGCAAACCCTACGCAAAACAAATTCGCGAGGGCTTTTTTCCGCCCGCACAGTTGTTTATAACAACATTCTCATTCAATCCACTTCATCTCACTCCCCAGTGTCTTACCGCTATATACCAGGGTATCTATAAATAACGTCGGGTCAAAAGATAGACGGTTTTAATATCGTTATAAAAAGGAAATTTCAGTTTCTCTTGGCAAAAAATGTTAACAAACTATAGTATTACCTTCTAAAACTTCCATAGGAAATGCTTGTGCATGCAAGGAACAACAGATAGCATAAAATAGCAAGAATGATAATTATTACATAAGAAAAGAGTACTGGGCAATCGGAAAACTTAAAAAACTTTATTCCTCGAAGCAAAAACAGAAAAATTCGTTTCGCAGAAGAATGAGTATTGGATTTTTCAGAAAAACAGAAAACAGAAGAATGGGTTTTGGATATTCCAGTACCGTTAAGAAACTGAAATACTCAACATTGACCTTCATTTCTTATAGAAAAGAAGTGTATTTCAGGTATATTTTCTTGAATTTTTAAGGCAAATCAACTTTATTTTACTCTTTGAATAATATTTATTGCTATTGTTAAAAGACGAGTTTTGTTAGATCCTACTCAATAACTCTGTCTTCCTACACAAAAAATTTCCATCTTGCAAAATAACCAGATATCCCTTTTGTCATTGTAAGGAGTAGTTATGCACATAAAACTGTCTTCTAAGGATAAAGAATGTTTACAAGTAGACAAGGTAATATAATTTTTTACTTGTATATACCCAAATAGAAGTAGATAAACAACAAATTCTGCAAGGGCTAAATAGCCCACGCAAAATGACCAGCAGGGGTCTATTTTAGCCCGTGTGCTCTTCTTCCCCGCAGAGGCCTGCAATGCTCCGCGGTCCCTTCTCAAAGTGAGCTTGAAAGAAGCCAAAATGTTTTTAAAAAAAGTTATTCAAACAAGGCCCACGCCACGAATTTGTAAGAGGAGGCAAGGCTAGCAGAAGTAGGGGGCCAAGGCTTTTTCCCCTTTTACTGCAGCTTTAAAACTATTTGATTTGCAAAAAAAGTGGGGGGTATGGCAACCACGGCCTGCCGGTGGCGTGGGCCCTGTCATATGATGTCGTTCAGAACATTCTTACTATCCCCCGCCCTCATTTGGGCCCTCCACCCTCTTGAATAAACCCTCATCCAAAAATGTCTCAAATTAATAAACCCCTAAGGGGGTAATGCGATGACTTACAGTATAGTAATTAAGTAAACAAAAAGTAAATATATCTTCTGTACCAACACAGAAAATTTCTTGGTAAGAGAAACTATCAGTCAATTCGGTCACAGAATATTATTCTTATTCTGTGGTTCGGTATTTCTGAATGGTATTTATGTAGGTATCTAGTATTGCCATTAAAATTATTTTGAGGCAAACTTGCAAAAATACTGAGACATTAACTAGAAGAAATAATGAGAGCCCATTTTGGATAAATTGGTGTTCACGTATATTTAAGTGAATGGTCTGAGCTAAATGACCAATGCTAAATGTTGATTGATGGATAATTCTGCATTTCCTTTCAAAGACGTTCTTTCCAAAACCCGAATGACATCCTTTTTAATTTTGATTGGTCCTTATCAGTTTTCCCTTTTGCACATACAATTGTAACAGTCTTATCTATCATTGCAAACTATTTATGTAAATTAGAGGTTTGTAATTGTAGTGTAATTGAATTTGAATGAAAGTTTTCATTATTATTATTATCATTTTATTACAACTATTGTATTCATTTTTCTTATTACCTTTGGTCCGCTTAAAGAAAAGGTTTGAAGGATCTGACCCAGTCTCCAAAATGGTTTCACACCCCTGTATTTGTTGATGCTCAATCGAGCACCTAGAAAATTGAAGGTGCTCAGTTTGTCAAGTGCCTGCTTTTGGTCATCGCAAGGCCTGGCTTTGTATCAGCAAAAGCCTAAATCTTTTATCTCCACTGAACGGAATGTGAGCATTTCGTGGCCTTTAGTTTATTGGACTTTATCTGTTAATGTCCTTTGCATAATTTTGACAGGACTTTCAGCTGCAAGGGAAGCTGTTGCAAGATTTGAGTCTACCCCAGAAGCTCCACTAACAGAGAAGGTAAGTGATCATGTTTCGATGAATAACTGGTCTCACAGGCTCGCAAATCTACAAAGGACCATAATGTTCTCAGCTTTCCTGTCTTGGCTTTATTATGATAATAGTTATGGTGACCAGATTTGTGTCCATCCTTATCTAAATTAGCTAAATCTCTAAATGGCTTTGAAAAAAGCAAACATTTAGTAAACTAAAGCTTTTCGTCTGACACTCTTCAGAGTTTAAAACGTCAGAACATAGATCGAAAACTCTACGCTAGGAAATATATATACCCAGTTGTGGATCGAAATAGGCCAATCTGAAAACACGAGCACATGACTGTATAGGTTGACCAATCAGTGCCGCTTGCCTATTGAGAATGTTACCAATGGAGTCCTAAGGTGAAAACGAACTTTTTTTGTCTACACAGTAGCGGTTTTTTCGTGCTTATGTAGATAGATTCCAAAACTACTAGGTGGAACGACGATCGGGCTTTACCAATAATCCGAAACATGTCGCCATTGTAGTTTTTTGCACAATCTGGGTTTTCTAGTAAATGCTGCCCGATAGCAGAATTGCAGGTTTTAGTTGTAATTTTAGATTTGATAATTTTAGGTTTTAGATTTGCAAGACCGAGGTGGCTGTTCTCTTTGCGGATGGAGTGTCAGACGAAAAGCTTTAGTTTACTAAATGTTTGCTTTTTTCAAAGCCATTTACAAGTTTTGTACCACCAAAAGATTGCTTAAACCTATCTCTGTGATATTAATTAATCTGATGCCTTTTTGTTACTGAAGAGCAGGGATATATTCATATTGCCAAGCAATTAACAACATCCAAGCTTCCAAAGAAAGTTTGATGATGAGAAAATTCATGCTCCGTTGCTCTGCTTTTTTATCTTGATCTCAATTGACATGAAGGAAAAGTTTTGCAGGGCAAGTAAGCAGTGAAACTAAGTTCTTTTTGCTGGGCAACTAGTTCAAATTGTTTAAATATTTCAAAATATGATAGACATGCCCACCAAACCCCCTTGTTATTGCACCACTCACCCTGGCCTATGGCTAAGCACCAATGAAAGCAGAGTCTTAACGAGCTGGACACTTTTTTCTAGCACTTATTTAGTTCTCAAATACCTTTGGGCTCTAATGGTGAATTCAGATAGGGCTATTCATCAGTTGTGATAACAAATGAAATTCAAGGAATATGGGGTGTATGTTTAAAGAAAATGTCATACAAAGTCGTTACAACAGAATGCCCCCAGAATGTTTATTTTCTATTTTGTGTTTAAATTAATTTTAAGCATTCTTTGGTAGGATGTTATAATAGTGTCTGGATGTTCTGCTGCTATTGAAATGGCAATGCGGGTTTTGGCAGATCCAGGTGATAACATTCTCATTCCAAATCCTGGGTTTTCACTCTACCGAACCATCGCTGGAGCAGAAGGGTTTGAAACACGCTTCTACAGGCTACTTGTAAGTTAATCACAAAATTTCTTAGGAATTAGTGAGTAAAAATGACATGGTTTGTTACCCAAATAATGTTTGAATCTAAGGGGCTCATATTTGATATTTACAATGAATGTAATTCTTAGGAACCAATTCTTCTGCATTGTGTGATTTTTGTAGTTATTCAGAAATTATAATTTTCTTAACAAGAAATTATTCTTTGCAACCTTCCTAGTTTCTAATTAAACGAAGGCACAATTCGTTGCTTATTGCAGGATCAATTTAAGTAAGGAAAGGAATGCATAACACGGGTTGGATTAGATTTCAACTTATACGAGTTTTTTTATTACAACAAGTGTCAATCGTTTACTCAAAGCAGTTTAAAAACTACCCATTTTTCTTAATCCAACAGCCAGACAGGGGTTGGGAGGCAGATCTAGAACACTTGGAATCTCAAATCGATAAAAGGACACGCTTTATTCTCGTGAATAATCCTTCAAACCCATGTGGTTCTGTTTACAGCAAAGAGCATTTGTTGCAGCTTATAGGAAGTAAGTTTTCTGTTTGTTCTCAGGCCAATTTCAAAGGGGATTTATTAGCATCAATTATTATTAGTCAATTTGAAGACGAAGTAAGTTACAATGAAAACCATTTCGAGATTTTTTTGTTTTTACTAACTTTCTATCGATAATGAGCTGTCTTAAAAAATCGATAATTGTTAGTTTTTACTTTGACTTGATATCAGAACTTTGTGCTTTATGTCATGTCGAGTGTGAGAAAACGGCGTGAATGCATGACAGGAATGGATGAGCCAAATTCTGTAACCATTATCTTGAATGATTTTACTGAAATTCTTCACACAAATACATTTTGAATACAATTGTAAAATTCTACAAAGCATCAATATTTTTTTGGCATGCCTTTTACCAATCTGTACCTCATTTATTTTCAGTTGCTGAGAGACATCGTCTTCCTATCATTTCTGATGAGATATATGCCTACTCGGTATGTACGACATTTTTGTTGTTTTGCCTTTGTAAGAGATTCTTGCAAAAACATAATAATTCCTCGAAGTAGAACCGCTTAGATTGTGTTGGTTCATCATGATTTAAAGTTAAAACCTTCTGTGCCAAAATATATGATTTTACCTGTGATAACTGACGTGCATTGCCTATGATAATTATGTGTAACACTATGCTTATTGCTTTTGGCAGGTTTTCAAAAACGAAACGTTTTATCCAATTGCAAGTCTGACAACAACTGTCCCAGTCTTGGCACTTGGTGCAATTTCGAAAAGGTTTGCTTTGCAAATACACATTGCTTGATATCGATTTAATTTTTAATGTATTTCAGACAACTTTTGCAAACAGCATACCTTTTAGGGGCTGCTCAAAGGTTACGTCACGTCTAGGAGGAAGGTTACTCTACACTTTTCGGTGATTCTCCGTGACTGTGAATGAGATGAGGGAGTTATACTTTATTCATATCCATAGCATCACAGAAACAACAAAAGGGGTGAAATTGTCATGCGGAAAGAGATTTCTTTGCTTCTTCTCCTATCCCTTTTATTATTGTAAAATTTCGAAATGGGGAATTGGGAAATGGGGTTGTTTGAGCTTAGGGTGACGTAACACAAGGGGGTTTTCTGAACAAACGTGACCGCGCGTGGTTATGAGGAAGGGTGATTCAAAAAGGCAATTTTAGCGTGATATGATTATTGAACAGCCTCTTATATATTTGTTTGTTTATTTTTAAAGAACTTTTAAAAATATTTTGATACTAGGCGGAATAAAGTATTTTCCGTTTTTATTATAGGTTTCTTGTTCCTGGTTGGCGAGTGGGCTGGATTTTGGTTCATGATCGTAATGATGCTTTCAAAGATGTGCGCATTTACTCTGATTTATCTATGTTCTTCGCATTACTTTTGAAGATGGTTTAGGGTTCTCAACCGCCAGGGGAGACGTTTTTTATCCTAAACAAGTTTCCATTTGTGCTGATCTTACCTTCAGTTCAATTGCACTGCGATCTATCTAAATTGACCATAGGATCTATTGACCATAGAGAATTTGACGCTGTTCAGTCTTAGAATATAAATATATCGCTTTCTCTAGAGTTTCGATTCTAATAGTAAAGTGAAGTTTAGCATCAGATTCAAAAGCGTAGAATCTGAAACAGCGTACAGCAGGATATGGAATGGCTTTTGTGTATGATATTTCCAACAATTTTGAGCTATGAGTGTTTCCATCTGTCATTGTCTCTGAAATGCTCTTTGGCGGAACTGCAAAATTTGGATTTTTGTAAGTAAATTTTCCCCAAACTTAATTTCTTAGCCATAACTCTTTTCTTGCACAGGTGCGCTCTGGCCTAGCTGATTCGGCTACCAAAATATTAGGTCCTTGCGCTATTATTCAAGGTGCTCTCCCATCGATTTTGGCAAATACACCCAAGTCCTTTTTTGACGAGACTATGCGTTATATCGAGGTTGGTTCTTTTCTTTTTTGACCTTAGTTTTTATGAATGGTTTTTGTATTAAATACTTTGAAAATTTTGAAAATCTGCCAACAAGAAAATGGAGGAGAAAGACTGTGACCGATAATTAAGTTATTGAGGGTTTTTCGCTCGTTAACCCTCGAGCAAAGCGCTATATATAGCACACTGCTTGATATCTGATTTGCGTTATGAATTTTGGAGAATTGTTTAAGCTCTCATTTTTAGAACGCATTTATATTTTTGATATCTCTTATTACGTTATAAAATGGACGATCAGTTACCTAGATTTCTTCATGATTTTGTTATCCTAACCAGAGTAAGTATATATCTATTTTTAATAAAAATGTAAATACGTTTTTTAACTTTTTCACTTTTGTACTTCTGAAGGGGAGTGTCGCGCGAATTCTTTTTTATTTGGTCTCATTTGCTAACAAATGGAAGCATAACCAGATGAATGAGATGAACAAATGAGATGAAATATTTCCGTCCAACTCCTCCTTTTTGTTATGACAAGTTATCCTTTTTTAATCGACATAATCTTTTATAGAAAAATGCTGAAATCTGCTACTTGAATCTGTCTATGGTGCCCGGCCTCAAGCCTGTAAAACCACGAGGGGCAATGTACATGATGGCAAGTAACATTCCTATGCTTGATACTCCTCTAACATTGTCAGTGTTTATTACTAAAGAAGTGGTGACAATGTTGTGGCACAGATTTAAAACATGTAGTCCATTTTTACCCCATCTTTCAATGCCACACAGCTTGTCTCTATTTTCCGCTGTCATTCTTCTTAATAGTGGAAATTTTCGTTCTTAAAGACGTTTCTTGATTTTCTCCCATTATGCAGAGCACGGGAAGTGTGGGTCGAATCTGAAAAGCTCGACCAATGGGTTGGCTCGCTAAACCATGTGAATGCGAAAGATAATTTTACGCACCCTCACAAATTTTGATCCTTTATTTAAATGATACATGGGTTTTGCATCCTTTCTCTCCATGCATAATTGGAGGGCTCTTTGAAAACCAGCATTGCTGAAGGGCTACCATCCCCCTTAAGTGAAATGAACTATACTAGCATGAAATACACAATCTTGAAACGATAAAACATCCTACATCACGAATTTTCATTCTAAACCGCAGGTTGGAATCGATGAATCCCTGATGAAACATGTTAAAGATGAACTTGATTTTACACAACGATTGGTGTCTGCTAAATCGGTCTTCTGCCTTCCCGGATCGGTATGCCTTCTATCCTGCGTTTTTTGTACCTTGTAAACATGTAGTATATTTAAAAATATACCTCCACTGGAAAACTTCTTGTTATATTCTATGCACTCTCTGAGCTTCAGTTTTACTTTAAGGATCCTATCATGTCAGAAGTTTCATCTCCAAATCACCTTAAGGTGGAAAATATAATCAATGGAAAATATATCTCTTTAAGATGATTTTTTTATTCATTATCTCTTTTTAACTGGCACTTTTGCGTTAAAAACCATGTATTTGTTTTCAGTGCTTTGGTTATGCAAACTTTTTCCGGATTGTACTCACACCACCCGAAGAGATGCTGAGAAAGGCCTGCGAACGCATTGGACAATTCTGTCGCGAAATTCTTGGACCTGATGCTCAGAACGGTACTGAAAATTCCCACTGACTTTGACTCCGTTCTGAGAAAATGCACTTAGTGATTATGGATGTACGCGCGTCATTCATAGCTTGTCGCGAATTCTCGAGAATGCTTCTTTGTACCAGGTTTTCACATTTAGCGTTAAGGATGATCTGATTTCAGATTTAAAGAAACTATATGACATCATAACCAGGTCTTGCCTAGGAAGGGGACGTCTGGAAAATAATACCTTTTGTGGTGACTGCCGCACAATTGTCGGCAAATTCAAATTTTTACACCCCCTGTACAAAAGGCTCTCAGTGTCCCAATGAGCCGAATGGCTTGAAAATATTTTTCTGATTTACAGGTTGCCCTAAGCATATTGAAATACTTCTTGGACTACCTCAAGCGATTAGCGTTTTAATTGCAATGACAGTGTAGAGGTCATGAAAAATATCCAATTCGTGAAAAATTATTGCTATGAATGATGCGCTTTTAAATCCAGTATTTGTATTTAGACGCCAAAAGTACATCTCAATATGTTATTGCAAGCAATGCACAAAATTTTTATTATTTTAGAATTTCAGATAATTTATAGTTCCAAAGAAAAAGTACGTATTAGTTAAGTAGAAAAACTTCTCCCAGTGCTTAAGTAACCTTTAAATACATAAGAATCCTTGCCGAATTAATTGAATTTTTATTCGATTACCATTGCCTCTTTATTACGAGAATTTTAAATTTCCCCTTCCATTTCCGTCTTCCCATATTGCTGTTCTATTTTTACTGCAAACCAATTTTTTGCTAAACATCCCGTTTCTTAACACTGAATTGCCTTTATGCACAATGTCTATCATCCTCCATAATAAACTAGGAGTTGCTTGAAAAATCTATACAGTCAGTGTTTTTCGAACAGACAAGTCATTCGTATGTAGGTGTGTTTTTCTAGCACTTTCCACGTGCAACCCAAACTCAAGGTTTACCTGGAGAATATTATCCCATTGAATCTTTCTTTTCAGTTAGGTACCAGTGAGCGCCTCCTTCTAAACACTACTGCCACCAATTTTAGCAGCAAAGTAATATTTTTGTCGATTAGATGTATTTTTAAGGGTATTATTTGGCTCCTCTCGCTTGGTTTCGCTAGAGTTTTTGTAACCCCTCTGGAATTGAAGATGCGCCTAGATACATTATGTTTAAAAGACTGACTTAGATTCACTGTGGCGTGTTCAGCTTATTGGTTGGAGAATGTGTATGAGAGAATGTTATACGTGTGTTCTGTATTTATTTAGAACTTAGCCTGTTAGTGCAACCTGGCCTTTTCAGGTTATTTAATAGAATGGAGTCCTGTTGATAATTTTGCTGTTTTTGCTTTTATTTCTGGCTTGTGGTAACTGCGGTGGCTTGATATTCCAATGGTAATTGATAAATGATATTAAACTGCCAATTCTCTATTTGGGCGCAGTTCCTTTATAACAAGCGTAGAATTTCCAGAAAAGGCACCATGTACAGTATTGTACCAAGGAAACATTTCTCTAGTTTTATTAGTACTTCTGCTTTTTTCTCTTTTCTGCGTATTTCCCCTTTTTTTATTAATTGTATTTCTTAGCTCCATGGAGAAACATCAATAACTAAAATTTCTGTCGGAAAGAAAACGAACAAACTACCAATAACGAGTTGATTCAGGAAAATGGGTATTTTCAAAATTTTTCTAGCACTTGAACATGCGAAGAAGCATTTGGAGTGTAGGGATGTGTTTTACAGGGGTAGAGATTGAATTAAAGTTGCCATTTTCATAATCTTTTTTTTACTGAACAAGAAAAGTTAGGTTATTTCAGCGAATTTTATCCTTCAAACTCAGTTAAAAATGCATCTACGTGCAGTTTTGGTCCAATGCATCTATGAAGTCCTGTTGCAGTTTGTGGTCATTTAAGATTGGAATTTGCTTAAAATGGGCTCAAAATGTCTTTGGAATAGCAGAACAGTAAGTCTTGACAATTTATCTTCACGTTATCGCAAGAAGACAATGTCATGTACACTCTACATGCTTGGATGTGAATAAAGATCGTCTTAAGTGGCTAAATTTTTGAATGGAACAGACCGGGAGCTCTGTAATCCTTTTAATGAAAATTTTGCAAAAAGGGGGGAAATTTTGCAAAAAGGGCGTTTCCCCGCATTTGCGAGTGTTTGAAGGGCGTGGTCCAAAATATTTTCTGGGGGCTGCGCCTCAGACCACCCCCCCCCACTGCTTCGGCCCTGGGTACGCCTCTGAATATATTGGTATTTGTTGTAGTTGCCATGACTGAAGACCACAAAAGGTCACCTGAGATCTGTTATATTTCTATTTTCAACATCACAATTTTTGAGATGCAAAGAAGATGTTACTTTCAATCATTTTTGCTGATATTGTGCTCAAGAGGGGTAGGCAGGCCCCATTTGTCAACAAAATTGGCGAGTGAATATTTGCCGTAAGTTTGAGAATTTGCGGACGAAGCAACCCTAGACGGCAGAAATTAAAATTTTCTGTAAATGGGAATTTTCAAAAAGGTTCCACACAGCCATTTTTTACGAGGATGACAAAAATTTTGTTTCATGAGCGGGTCGCCAGCTACTACTCCAAAATGTCTATCTATTTGATTTTGGGATAGGGGAAAATATGCTTAATGGGTGTTAATGTTTAAAACTACCATTCTCAAAAGTATTTACTAATCTGCTTTCCATTAGGCTATTTGGCTGGTTCATCACTCGTTCTTAAGTTTCGTTCTTTTTTCAAAGCGATTTCACGTCAACTTGAAGCTACCTCACGGAATCAAGCATGATTTAATTGCATTTAATCTCAATTGCATCTAAGCTTATTGAGTGTTAATAAATTCAGTAGAACACAGCGCTTCAGATAACTCTTCTGACAACACAATGTAACTGTTAGGGATCATATCCTTGAACAAAATTTTGGAACCCTCCCTAAAATGCCATTTGAATTTGTTTCCTGCCTAGTTTTGTGGTCCCATACCCCCTAATATCGCTAATTGGGCTGGAGAGGTGCATCCTGGGATATGCTATGACTTCATTGGTTTGCTTTGTGTACGAAAAAATTTGAGCGCCTTTGTTACTTCGACTTTGGTAAAGGAGAGAAGATATTATATTGCGTACAAGTTGTTCTACTTTCTGGGTGAAAATAGGAAAGAGCAAAACACACTTTTGATATCAAAATATATGTTTTTAGGACAAAGCATCTTTATTGTTTGGAGCCATCTAATTACAAAGATCGTCTTGGTGTTTGTCATTGGGAGTGTTGCTGGCTTGGTTCTGCTTCCTTTTTCCACATTCTTTATGTTTCGCTCAGGATATTCGCCAAGAAAAGGAGCATACTTTATGAAGAGCTTACAAAGAAACATTTTATTCCGAACGCTTCACCAACGAATGGCATTTATAAGTTTTTCAAGTCGCGTGAACTCTCCACAGGTGCAATTTTGAGCTAAAGTGGCCTAGCAAGGGATTTGTTGTTATTTACGTCGAGTTGTTTTTGCGTTGATATCGTATATTTGCTGTACCATAGCCAAACGGGAATCACACGAGTTTCAAACATGAAGCTGTTGGAAAACACCACTTTTGACTCTCTCAGTACAGAACTGTCTGTTGAGTCAGAAAATATCAGAATTTGTGGCAGGTAACATCAACTACCAATATTTAGATAGTTTTGGTATGCTACTTATAAGATGATAACGTTTTGTCTCTATCTATATGATTCCAAACTACAAAAATATTTTCCATAGAAATTGTAAAATATCTTGCGAAAAAGGAAGCACAAGAGCAATTTTTCAATCAAACAAAATGGTTTTGCTAAGCAACATCAGACAAAAAGCATGAACCTAAGTTTTCCTCAGATAGATTGTTGTTTTGAAAAAATTACTTGTCAATGTGTGTTCATACAATCAATTTCCAGCGCTTCATTAGGATAAGAACCTAGTAGGGCTGCATCAGAGTAAAATGTTAAAAAATGGGTGGTATCTAAAGCTCAAGGAATATGGTCATAGTGGTTAGCTTGGTGCAATTACAATTCACTTGAAAATAGTTTTCAATGTTAATGGCTGTTAATCATTGTCAATGTCTTATCCTTGTTCATTAGCAGCAATTTAAGCTACTAATGAAATGAAATAGTTTACAATGAAATGCCCATGATAAAAAGTTCAATTCAGCTGAAAAAATGCTTTGTAGCAACTGCTGGAGTTGCTTACAATGATGTTAAAAGTTCTAAATCTTAGTTTGTCTGTAGAATATTGCTGAATTAAGTTTTTAAGACTTAGAATGTACCTTTACCCTAATTTAACCTTGCCTTTACCTAAACCGGTTATGTTTTTTGGAACTTCTATGGAGAAGCATAGATTCCCTGTATAGTCAACATTCCAGGGGTGGTGCCAGCCCTAATATAGTGGGGTGGACAATGAGGAGGTGGAGCTGATAACGGGGTCTGGGTGAGAAACTGGCGAAGCACTGTACGAGAAATCATGCTCGTTATTGATTAACAAGTTAAGCATGTTTCGAAACCACCAAAAGAAGAGTTAAATTTCATAGGCAAAGGTTTACACATATAAAAGCTAATAACATAAAAAGGTCTTTTATTCCTATTATATAAAACTTAAAGCAGCAGTATTTACCATGCCGTTTGAACAATAGTTACTACACTGTATTAAAACATATGTTTATTTGCAATCTGGTCGATATGTTTTCCTGGAAAACACTTTCAAAGGGACTTTCCAATCTCAAGGGACTTTCCCTAAGAAGGTATCTTGGCATACTTCCAGAAAATTATCAATCCTTTCAATTGTCAATCTAGAACCCATTTCAAATCCAACTGTTCTGGAACGATACCTTTAGCTAGTCCTACACAGACTTGCTAGCGTTACCTTTTTCATATATGACTTCAAGTTTTGTGAAGTGGACTCACATAAGTCTTTGTCATAAGTAAATATAGCTGTGCAAAATAGCCAAAAAGATCATGAAAAATAGTTTTTGATAAATTCTCTTTATTTCTTGCCAAGAAGTCTATCTGTGATGCTTAGATTCATACTGTTTTAGTATTTTTGTAAAGAAGTTGTGTTTATTCTGTTTGCTTTAATTCTGCATTTGATTTTCAGCCTTGAATGTTACTCATGCAAAATGACTGGCCAAGACAAAAGACTGTATAAGAACCTGAATGCCCATGGTCAAAGTCCGAATGACCTAGAAGCTCTCTCTCCACCTGAGTCATTGCTAAGCATCTCACCAACTGCCTATCACAAGGTAAGGTCAATGAGTATGGAAGAGGATGAAAATGTTGTCATCTCATCAACATGCAACCGAAAAACCTTGTTCTATCTTATTGCTACTCTGAATGCAAGCTTTCAGGATTATGACTTCAGCAATGCAAAGTCAGAAGAATTTAGCAGGGAGCCGAGTCTACAGTGGGTCATAGAATCGATCAATAGCAACTTGTCAACTGCTATTGGTGAACCATATGCTAAAATGAGCAGTAGATTGTGGTCAAGTATTGATGAGCAGATATCTTTGCAAGATTGTAGCATTTACAGGTATATGATAATCTTAGTAAATTTTTTCTGTATTGATTACATTTTTGGCAGAATATTAATGTATATCTATCTGTCCAGAAATGACATGATTGTCATAACAACTCATGTAGTCATTGATTGACATTTTGAACGTCTGTTATGTTAACTTCTGTATGCTTTCTGCTGTGCACCTGTTTTTATCTATACTATCATATTTGTATTACTCACTTGTGTTTTTCAGATATTTCTATTATGTTCTGATGAGTGTTAATCTCTGTGCATACTCTATGTAATATTTAAACCTATCAGTTTACAATTTGTCATTTTTCACTTTAGCTATAACCCAGATCTTGAATCAGATCCATTTGGTGAAGAGGGAAGTTTGTGGTCCTTCAACTACTTCTTTTTCAACCAGAAAATGAAAAGGATTGTTTTCTTCAATTGCAGGGCATCCAGGTAAATATTTTCTTTGATAATATTCAATAAAGTCAAAATTATATAAATTCTTCTATAACTTTTATTTCTAAAAGATGTTAAACAGAAGTTGTGTTTTTCATTTTGTATCTATATTTAATTAGTTTTTTTAAATTTGATATGTATACATAATATAGCTTTTTATATTTGAAAATGGATATATCAACTTTTTACAAGACTCACTGTTTCTGTTGCAATTCAACAGCTCATTTTTAAACATACTGATTTGATGCAAGTGACTGACTGACAAAACGACACTATGCTTCACTGAATAAGCTGGCTGCGTGGTTGAGGAAACTGCTGATGTGCCTAGTCATTGTATGATTCTGGATCAGGCATTTGATGTGTGAGGCTTTGCTGTATGTCTTAAGAAGAATATGCCTACACCAAGCACAACTCTAGACAAAACAGAGAACTTGCAAGTTGACAAAGACTGATTAGTGAATTACAGACATTACTTCCAATGACTGAAACACCATCCCTAAACACTACAGACAACAAATATATCAATGATATTTTTCACTATCCAATAACAGCTATTCCTAATATATTTCACCTTTAAAAAAAATTTTCAATGTTTTGCTTGTAGTTACTAGCAAATTTTTATTAATTTTTTATGTTAATTGAATTTTAAAAACTTTTTATCAAATTTCAAATTATCAGTACATTTCCATACATTTCATTCTGATTTGATGAGTTATTTGATGCCAGTAACCAAATTTTAAGCATCATTGACTGACTAAGACGTTCATCTCCCATTGTCACAATTATGCTATAGCCTATTTGCCACAAGCAAAGATGATTCAGGGTTGGACAGAGATGGGATTATGGATTTGGAACTAGATATGGAAATGCCAGATGAAGAATATTATGAGCCTATAGCAACCCCTGACAGGTATGCTACTATATTTGAAAGATTTTGAGTAATGAATAATTTTCCCTGTTTACTTGTATAATTTGGCAAACCTTAACAGAAAATGTGGTCCCAGCCACAATTTACAGGTAGTTTAAAGCACTTTTTATTTATAAATTTTCTGAAATTGTAACTGTTATCTGCTCGACATTAGCTTTTAAGTGCATCTAAGACTCAATACACTGACCATGTTGAGTTAACAAATTGCATTATGAGAATCCGCTTTGTCCCTATAGCAATGTGCTAAAATTTTTTTATATTCCTCTGTTATCCTCAACTGCTTTTATTCTTCTGCTCAGGTTTTCGTTTGACAGT